TAAAAGTGGCACCCGGGAGTCCTCTCCATATTGGGCCACTTTAACTGCAGAGCAAACGTGCCGACCGCTAGAGATGGCTAGATATACACAAGTCGTAAATAGAGAAGGTGCCAGGAGACAGCACTCAGCGACAGCTTCCTCTGTCTGCTCTTAACTCTCTCGGATACGTCAGGAAGCTGGTTCTTTTAGCTGCCAGCCCTGCCAGTTCACCCTGGGATTGGAGAGACTCGGCTGTGGCTTTCCTTCTTGGGCATCACCCCCTAACAGAAAAGGTTCTGCAGCCAAATGATCAGCTCTGTGCTCACCCTTCGCCGGCAGGTGTCACTGATTGGCTGTCTCACTGGAATTTCGTCCACAGTTCTGCTGCCCAAGCCGGACCGGCATCCAGCCCTCTCCCCCGGAGCTGTGTAGGCTCTGGAGGGTGCACAGGAATGAAATGCAGATCAAGTTTAGTTTGGTCACTAAAATCAGCTGGGCCAAACTGAGCCCACGCAGCAGGGAGGCAGCGAGGCCTGTCACGCCCCATAACAGGATCTCACTACGGCGGCTGAAATGCTGAACCCATTCCTTGGGGAGTCGAGCCATCCCTGTCCCTTAGTGCCTCACGATCTCTAGCCTCACAACACCCCCTGGGAGGCAGGGAAACACCGTTATCCCCCTTTTACAGCCAAGGTGCTGAGGCAGAGAGAGACTAAGGCCCAGATGCTCAAAGGTACGTGAGGGTATTTCCCTTGACTTCAGTGGAAGTTCAGAGCCATAATACCTTTGTGGAGCTGGGCCTAAGTGAATGGCCCAAGGTCCCACAGGAAGTCAGTGGCAGAACAGGGAATTGAACTTGGGTCACCCAAGCCACAGACTAGAACCTGAACCACTGGGCCATCCCACCTCTACCCTGTTTCAGCCTCCATAACTGAACTTTACAGCGTGGGCCCATCTCGAGTCAAAAGATTTAAATCTCAAGCCTCTTGGCAGCATAGCCCCCTCTCTGAAAGCCCCAGTTGTATCGTGAGAGTCTATATAACGGCCCGCACATTTTGAAAGCTTCCAGGTTTGGCACCCCACCAGCAGGACACATCCTGTCCCAGCTGCATTTGTCCACCGCGTACTATTGGGCAGCAGCCCGATGGACCCTCCCTCTGAAACACGAAGCTCAGCGATTTCGGAGAGAGGCTCCTTTCACCAAGTACTGCATTTTATAAGGGGAAACACCCTCTCCCCCAGCAGCTTGCAGGTCTTTAAAAAATACACCTTAATGATGAAACACAACATCTGGAGAGCACGCTTGCCCCTCCACGGAGGCTCCCCAGGAGGTGATTTGCCACATCTCTATATGAAACCAGTACAAGAGATCAGCCCAGAAGGGAATTGTAACTTCAGAGCTGGCTTTACCCACATGTGTGAGCAGCCCACATAATGTGTAACAGCTACACAGAGGAAGGGGCTGCAGGAGAGAAGAGCTTAGAGTTAATCGATACTCTGCCTGGACCTCCATAGGGGCTCCTGGCATTGTTCGTATTATTGATCATTTGCATTACATTAGCACCTAGCAGTGCCAGCCAGGAACAGGGTGCTGGGCACCATACAGTGACTGAGAGTCCCTGCCTCAAAGCGCTTACAATCTCTGTAGACAAGGCAAACACCAGGCAGGAGGGGAAACAGAGGCACAGAGAGGGGAAGTGACTTTCCCGAGGGCACGCGGACACAATGGTCAGATCACCAGAGTCCCAGCCCAGTGCACCATCCACTGGACTGCACGCCGTCCTGGCCCAACTGCACCTCCCCAATGAAGTGACTCACCCTGCGCAGTGACACTGGTTCTTTGAGATGTGTCCTGCTGCTATTTGGGTGATCCTTCAGCACTGGAAGGAAACGGCAGTTACACCTCATCAATCATTAAGCTTTCAATGACCATAGGAATCTACAAGATGTTACGGCAGCAGAAAGGGCCAAATTCAGCCCAGGTGTAACGTCCAAGGATGAGAATGATTTCTCAGCATTAGCAGGCCACTGGACTCCATTCAGTTCACATGCTCAGCTGGAAGCATCGCATGCATTTTCTAGGACCGTTTGTGCCCTTCGAGGGCTGTGGCGTTATTTCAAATGGTTGCAACATCTTGGTTGGTATCAAGAGCAGAGGTATTGTCCGCGCTGGTCTCTCTGGTTCACTCATTTGTGTTGATATTATTTATATTTTTTTGGTATTTCAAAACCATCAGCACTAGAGATGAGTCCAGCCCAAAGTTCAGGGGCTGGTTGTGTCCTCTCTGGCCCACCCCCAAATGCAGGGAAAGGTCAAATCAGACCCAGCTTGAATCCAGGTTCAGTCCCTTTCTCCAGCAATGGGCTGAACTCTGCAGCTGTCCAGATCTCTTCAGACCACCCATGAGGGACCACAGACCACAACTTGAGAACTGCTGATTCAGGCTCAGAGCCTGCAAAGACTTACTCACCATCTTGCTTAATATCATGCATGTTCCTAGTCCCATTGGCTTTAATGCAAAAACCTATGTGCCTAAAGGGAAGGGCATGGGTAAGTCTTTGCAGGATTGGGCCCTCAAACAGCAAAAAAAGAAAAAAAAATCCCAATGACCCATATATGATATTTTCCCTGAATGCTCTGAAACATTCTAAGCTTCATAAATTGCAACACATGGTGCTGGATTAAATATCACCATGGTCATTCTAGCCTAGGCTCCTGCTGATAGCCAGATTTTACCTTCAACAGAATTCCATGATTGAATTATATCCTTGCATTAAAACGAGAGCCCTGTATCTTTATCGCAGGTAGCTGAGAGCACTTACCCAGCACAGGGACTGCATACCGAAAAGTCTGGAGAAAAATGACCCAAGTTCAGAGCTGGGTTAGCTCATAAACGAAATAGCTTGGTGGTCTCAACCTAGGTCCTGGCTATTTCTTGATCCATAATTTGGCCCAGTTCATACACCGGGACGTGACTGAAGGAGGGAGTTTCTAGCGTTTACAGTAAGGATTTAGGAGAGAGCGCTCCTGGGATCCATCTATACCCTGCTTTCTCAGTAACTCACTACCTCACATCTGGTAAATTGGGCAAAAAGCAACGCTTGCTGCTCTGTGTTGGGCCACTGAGGCAAGGGGGTATCAGAACACTTATCTCCGGTATCTCACAGGGTGCTGAGAGGCTTAATTAACAAGGGCTAGATTCTGCCTCTCTTGTTCATTACAAATAGCGCTTCGGTGAGTAATCCCTTTGGCCTCCGTATAAATTGCTAGTCACCGTGAGCACTGGCGGCAGCATCTGGCACTTAATGTGTATGGAGATCCTCGGATGAACAACGCTTATGCAGATGCTCAGCGGGCTCAGTTCTGATCCCCTTCCCCACACTGAGCAGGATCTTACTGTCTGAGCAGTCCCACTAATTCATTTGGCTTCAATGGGGCTACAGGAGTGAAGCTCAGAGGACCAGCCCCACACTTTAGCAGTGATGCCAGCCAGGAAAACCCCATGGAATATCAGCAATGTTCCACTTCTAGGATTCCACAGGGATGCCTCTGCAAACAGCTTTCTGCAGACCCTGGGCCTTCAGCTGTGGGCATTAGGGGTTGCTCTGGCAAATAATAATGATAACTCGAAATATACTGTTTGTCACATAACCTTACCCGGCAGCTAGAGTGTTCAGTGTCTCCTAGCATCCTGCTCCTGCATATCAAATACTGAAACACAATCTTCTTGGTTAAGCTAAGCCAGCCATGTATCTAGTCATCAAAGGAACTGTAAGTGGCTAACAAATACTACAGAGAAAAGAATTCTGGACAAAGATCAATCTTCACTGGCAACTGCTGGATTTTTCTAAGCAAAAATACCCTGCAGAGTTTAAAACTGCATCCAACTTCAAAGGAAAGAGGTCTCCAGATAGAGATTACCACTGTTACTAACACAGCATGCTTTATCAAGTTACACACATTTACATCTAGAGTCATTTTGATTGTTCCCAAAGATGGAATTCAAACTGGAGGCCATGCTTTCAGGGGTATATTTTTAAAAGAATCATTAATATCCACAACCGATGTTGCACTTTTCATAATGCTATAGGCTGCAGCATTACGTATCGGGGTCCTAGTACTCTACCGCCTTGCACCTTGTGTAGCTGTTTACACCTGTTCCATTTTTATGTGGGCTGACATAAGGGTGAGTTTCAGCCCTAGTGACTTTCAGTTCAGATTTATTCAATTTATAATTGGAAAGATGAGTTTTCTAACTGCAACTTCAACCTGGAATCTGAGAGTCAAGCTGGGTTCTTCTCACATCACGCATCTTTACAAGCAATTTGGAACTTAGCTCATGATGCATGAAGCAGAAAATAATCCAGCTAATTCTCCCATACGTGTATTGGTTCTGGAGTACTAACAGGAGAAAAGACTTTTTGTCAGTAAAGCAAGCAATAGAAAATGCCTGGAGCCAAAAATTTCTGCTTCAAATGTGGATCAGAGCTTTCCCCATGTTTGGAATTGTTCAGATCTGGAGTTTTGGTTCAACTAGTTACAGAGAAAAAAAGCCAGCTGCAAAAGTACGAGTCTTGATCCAGATGCCTTTGAAGTTCCAGGATCTTGATTTGGGTCAATTATAAGAGCCAAAAATGCATAGAACTGAATCTGAGGCTTGATTCCCCTCTCACACCAGCAGTAACTCCACTGAAGTCAACGGCATTGCATTGAGGTAAAACGGACGTAAGCAAGGCATGACTAGGGCCCACAGTGTTTTAGGTGAGAAGGTGCCTTTTTCATACAGTCACCTCCCATCCCATAAATGCCCTTTACATTCTGTATAGCCCTGGAGGTGGCTACCACAAGACGAGCTCTTTATTTACTATTTCGGGAAAAACTCTCCCGGTCATTTTAATGGTGCATTTTCTGCTTCCTATTTTGTTACAGATGCATTTGCACTCAAGGAGGTTCCCTACCTTTGAAGGCAATAAATGATACCATTGGCCCATCAGTTATAAAAGATCAGGTTATTGCATACCTGGCTTTCTTCCCATGGAAGTGTCCTATGCTGTCCTCCTAGGTAATCCCTCATTACTGTCCCTAAAGAACAAGAAAGATGATTTAAAGGCCAATACTGGGAGATTATAGAATTTTGAAGGAGTATGTCTGCAAAGTGGGTGTTGTTTAAAATTTCTTCGTTTAACCAGCCCACCAGCTCCTCTGCGAGGCCTGACAGCTCTTTCGTTTTACAATTGACATCAATCTCAGGTCACTTCAGATGTGACTGTTCCAGCTTCCAGCCTGTGGTGCGTGATTTATTACCTGGCTGCCGTCCTGACAAATATTCATTTCAATAATTACAGGGGGCCAAAATGAGAGGGGAAATAAACTTGACAATTAATACAGCAATTAAAAAAATGGCACCCTTTCCCATGCTTCCTTACTAGCCTTATTCTCCCCCTCACATCACACACAAAACAAATACAGATCAGCCAGCTAAAACAACACCCTCAATGGGCTAAAACTGATAATAGACAGGAATAGCATCAGAAGGCTGCCATATTTTCCCTACAAGTTGCATGCCAATCTGGCGTGTCTAATCAGCTGCCAAGATCAGCTCTTTAGCCCAATGTATCATTATCAGCGAGCATATATAATTTCATGGTAAATCACAGAAACTGATGAATGACTATTTAGATTGCAATTGTCAGGAGAGTATAAAATACTTCCTGTTTTAAGGATCCTAAGAACAGTTACCTGCTTTTACTGGCCAGAGACCCGGCTGCCCAGCTCCATTCCTCATTTGAACAGCCCCCTACTCACCTGGCATAGCTGAGGGACTTTTACATAAGCAGAAACAATCCTGCCTTTCAGGGACCACAAACGCCTTCGCTGCAGTTCAACTCCCCAGCCTTGAATTTCAGTTTAAAAAAGAAACAACTGTTCGGGCCAGAAGCCATAGAGTTTAGGCTGCTGACTTAAACCAGCTATTTGGAGACTGTCTTTCCTTATTCAAAGCCAATCTGTGGTACTCCTCATCTAGGCCTGTACATTGCTCCTGCGGGGAGGGGCATCTTGGCATGAAGGGAAGTGTCAGAAGTTACAGTAGAAATAGCTTCAAAGTCGCAAACAAAAACCAAAGCCGCTTCCCCGGTGAGCTCCCATAACACTCTGTAAAACTGCTCCACCCGCCAGAAATCCTCCGGAGTGTCACAAACAGTGCAAGTCGGGAGAGTGCCGTGTGGGGACACGGGAGGAGCCAGGGAAAAGGTGAATGACCACAGACCCGGAGAAACCACCGCACCTGCTACAGGAAAAGTATCACGCGAGTGGTGCTGTGAACAACAGGAACTGGCTGTCAGCAGAGCTCTGCACCTCACAGTGGCTGCGGGACAGATTTCCAGAAGAGGTCAGCCCCGGGTGTCTGCTGTGGGTGCTGGCTCATGTTGTGGGTGCTGCGCACTGGGAATCTGGTCCCAGAGTGTACATGTGTCACAGGGGTGGCCCTCTGATGGGTCCAGCACCCAGCCTCCCTGGGACAGCCTCCACTAAGGAAAATGAGCCAACCCAGGTCCACCTGTGTCTGGTTAAGGGGATAAGTAGCAGGGCATAATTAGTTAATGAGCATAATAAAGCATTATGAGGACTCAGGCAGGAGCCCAGACACAAAGAGGAATCTCCTGGGGAGAGAGCTTGTCAGAGGAGCAGGGGAGGAAGCTACTCCCAGTGGTGTCTCCCTGGAGAGCAGAGGCTCCTGGAAAGAGGAACAGGCCTGCAACAGGAAGAGAGGAGGCCCTGGAGGAGAGAAACTACAAAGCTCTCCAGGCAGGGAAGCCTAGGAGATCTGTGCTGTCTCAGGGTGAGAGACTGCAGAGCTCCAGGCAATGGAGAAGCCTGGGGACTTACAGCAGAAGGAGAGGGTTTATTTACATACCACATTTTGGGGTAGATTAAATAAACCAGAGCCCTGAAGGGGCTTTGATCACTGTATGCAAGCCTCATTGAACTTACTAAAAGCCCACTAGGGGAAACTGAAGCAGAGGCATATCCATGGTTGCACACTGGGCCATGAGGGGGCCCTCCAAGCCTGAGTGCCCGCCATCAAAACATGTCACAGAAGATTTCTAATCATAAAGGGAACATCTGTTTGCATCCACAGCTGGAGGCCAGATAGTTGACCAAATGGATCCTTGTTCGGGTCTGGGGTGGCACTTCCTGTGTTCTTAGAGTATCTGCTAACAGCAAGGCAGGATAGGTCTCCTCGCAGGCACCATTCACCTTTTGGCACTTTTCAGAGGAACAGCCGTGTTAGTCTGTATTCGCAAAAAGAAAAGGAGTACTTGTGGCACCTTAGAGACTAACCAATTTATTTGAGCATGAGCTTTCGTGAGCTACAGCTCACTTCATCTGATGCATACCCCACGGTATGCATCCGATGAAGTGAGCTGTAGCTCACGAAAGCTCATGCTCAAATAAATTGGTTAGTCTCTAAGGTGCCACAAGTACTTCTTTTCTTCTTTTGGCACTTGTGTGTTTTTTCTTGCAACATTCACCGCCGGATCCTACAAATACTTTCCCCTTAACCTGTGCTATGCATCCCAGTTCTGCGACTCTTTGCTTACAAAGGGAATTTAAAGCACCGTATGAAGGGCCCCTGATTCTGCACCCTGCATTTAAAGAGCAATGAACATTGAATACTCGTCTGGCTGCTCTCTCATGCTCTGCTTTCCCTCTTCACTTTCCCTTGGACAAGTCCTTCCAAATGACTTCCTCTCACTTCAGTGATTTCCAAACTAAGAAATATTCTCATAGGCCCAATTCAGCAGCAATCCATCATTGCCAGACCAGCTAGGGATCTGCAGGACCTATCGCCTGTCACCTCTCCCTCCACTTCGTAACCATCACTCATGACCCTTTCCCCTCCAAAACTCTGCAGCCAGGTCAAAACGTAAGAATTCTGAATTTCTATCCTTTGTTACCAAGGTGTTTTCAAGCCCAGCTGCTTTTGTACTATTTCCCTTTCAAGTCTTTATGGACGCAGCCGGACGTTTGCTATCATTAAATCCTAAGTTTTGGCTTCGAAGCTTGAAGTCTGCCTCTGCTTCTTCAACCAGAGTAGGAGTTATTGACGAGGGCCATCACTGTCACGCCCCCTTATTTAAATCTGACCACTGGCAAAGCTGTGTCAGGAAGCTGGGCCTGCTGGAGAGTCAGGTCTTCTGGCAACCTAAGGAGCGCGGCAGGCTGCCCGATTGGCTACGCTGACGGATTGGTTGGAAGAATCATCAGACTGTCTCTTATGCCCAACAGTGGCAGTTCAGAGGCTGCTTCAAGCACTGACCTGCAGCTGCAATAGCTCCTGCACCTGTTTGTTCCCACTCCTGCTCCAGCCATGGCACCAGTCTTGCCTCTCTCCAGGTAACCCAGTTCTGACCCTTGGCTCCGATTCCTGTCTTCTGACTTTGACTCTGACCCTTGGCCCTAGCCTCTGACTCCAGTTCCAACCCTTGGCTCCAGTTTCTGATTTCAGCTCTGGTCCTGGGCTCCAATTCCTGACCACTGACTGCTGCTCCAACCAGTAGGCATGACCACCCACATCCCGATCACGGACGAGCCAAATAGCTCTGCTTCAGTCGGGAATATTTGCTGGCTTATTCTAGTTGCCTTCAGAAAGGGCGTTCCAAAAGGACTTCAAACCCACTGTTACTGGTCTCAACAAACTTTAAACCAAACTTAAGATTGCAGATTTATACCTTTTATCTTATGCACATGGGACTCATGTGAGGCAGAAGAGTACTTAGATACTACGCTGGGGGGGGGGGGCTGCAGAAATGTCATAAATCAATCAATAGATTGATCAGTAAGCAAGCACCATTAGCTGTCTAGATAACACATTTATATGATCAATATTGCCTGGATACTTCCAACACTGCTACCTGGGAACCACAATGATGGGAAGACACAGGTTGGGTTAGCCGGGCGACTGTGCAGGAGCAGAGGGCACCCAATGGCCCCTGATGCTCAGAGCCATTTGGTGACCCCTTGGTCTATGTTCGCTGAAAGTTTTAAATATATGCAACCGTTCTTCTTACAACAGCCCAGGTCAGAGCAGTGTGACAACCTGCCCAGGAGCAATGCTACATTGCCCTTCTCAGGGGCAGTGGAGGAGAACGGACCTGAACACTGTTAAATCCCCTCTGGACCCCACCAGGAAAGGCGGCTGTGTGCTCCCAAGGACAAAACGAAGGACTGGCCCTTTAATGTATTCAATTCCAGATAGCCATCTGATTTTTACTTAAACACATTATAGCCACTTGGCTCCACCACCTCAGTGGGAAGCCTGGGCTACCTATTCATCACTGGCTTTGTAAGCTAACACCTCCTTAAAGTCTGCTTCCATGCGTTTCCCCTTGCTGCAGCCCTCCGGCCCCCTTTTTCTGGTTTGTCCCACAGCCCCGCAGATAGCGCATCAGTAGTCAATTCAAACATTTCCAGCATGCTCCCGTCTCAATCATCTTCTCTCCAAAAGTGCATGTTGAACACACGCCTTAGCCCACACTGGAGTGCAAACGTGCCGTCACCCATGTGCCAGCAATCAGGTGCGTGGCTGGGACATCCGGTCTCAGAGCTCCAGTCTGGAATACACAAGCCGTGCACTCTGGTTTTCAGACCCCGCCCCACCTGTGGTCGCTACGTTTCTCTGCTTTGGTTGCCCAGTGGGATGAAGTTAACACTGTTTGAACTTGAAGGTGACAGTGAGGAAAGTGCTTGCAGATGTTGGGGTCCTGTTACCAACGAGTTATCAGCCAGGCTGGAATGCTCATATTTCAGAGGAAGTCTGGGTGTGACGGGCTGTGCATCCCACACCAGCCCTGAGAAAGTTAACAAGGGCCTGAGAGGGTCGGGGGGGGGGGGGGGAACAGGGAGGGTTAACTGAGGGTGAAGCCCAGACTATAAAGCCAGGAGGCTAAAAGCAGAAGGGGGCCTGTAGAAGGAGGCGGTAGGTCTTCAGGGACAAGGGGAGAGTAAGCCCTGAGATCCTGTCCTGCCATGAGGCGCAGAGCAGGCTCCTGTGGTAAACCCAGACAAGGGGAGAGAGATCTACTGAGTAGGAAGGAGCCCAGAGAAGTGGCAACAGGGCCGGAGCCTGAGCTGACCTGGACTGCTGGTTATAGAAGCCCTGGGCCAGAACCCAGTGTAGCGGGGGGCTGGGGCTCTTCGGCCAACCACTGCTATAGTTGCCCCGAGTCAGAGCTGAGCGGTGTCCAGAGAAGGCATTTGGCCTGGGGCCCTCTGTTGGGCTTTGTAACCCTGAAAGGGGTGGTCCAAAGGGTGACCTGGCCGGAGGGCCAAGCTCCCAGAAGAGAGAGTATCCTAGAGCAAGCGGAGAGCAGACTGGGAGGGGTCGAGGGGCTGGTGCCATGAAAGCTGCTTTCCCAGATTTGGATGGGGGAGACGCCCTAGCAGGGATGGGAAGCCCTGCTCCGCTGGGTCAGGCCAGGTCCATGAAGTGAGGTGGCATCTGGTGAGGGGTTCGCCTGCACTTTCCTGGCCTGCTGTGCCCCACCCAGGCTCGGAACCCCCTGGGCTGTGCACAACAGCCGGAGCTCAGCTGAAGGGAGTCACGAGGCGCTCTGTGCGGCTCCAGTTTCCCGCCATCCCCAGAGGGGGGCTACCTCAGGGCTCACTCAGACCCAGCATGAGTCTATTTCAAGAGCTCGCTCCCGCCGCTGTCCTTTGGGATGGAGCAATTCGGGGTGCCTGAGCGCAGCAGCATGCCCCTCCTGCTTGGGTTAAATGGCAGGCGCTGGAATGGGGACAGACACCTGTTTCGCTGCTAAGTCTCCCGGCCAGCTACTTGTCGGGCTCCACAAACTCCACACGAAGAATCAGGACGGCAGACACTACTGTGCACGTAGCCAGGTCTGTAGTACAAACATGGAGACAAGTATGAACCCAAACCTCACTGGATGCCAAGGGGGACCAAACAGAGCTTCGGAGCCCGCGAACAGATAGCCCACGGATCTCCTAATAAACCCCACCAGCTAGAGCAGTGTGGACCTGCCCTTTGAAGGCTTCCATCTCCAGGGCTCTGGGAACTGGGACTCGGCAAAGCCAGGCATGTTAGTCTCTGAAAGGCACGTGGCAGCCTTTGTCTCCATCCAAAATCCAGGCCCTGAATGGGCTGACCAATACACATCTCAATCTAGGAGACCGTCAGCATCCGGACGTGTCAGGGAAATCATTCAGCCTTTTCAAGGGGACTTTTCAGAGCTGCTACCATTTCCCCCTCCGAGCCTAAATAAAGCAGGGAAAGAACTTCGCAAGGAGATTTCAGGAGTATTCAAGGGGTTTCAATTTCCGCTCCAATAATCCAGTAAAAACAGTCTACTGCCCAAGGAAGGGATGAGGGGGGAAAAAGCCCCTGGTCTTATGCACTTTGCGGTCTGCTGTTTCCTGCCATTTGTCAGCTCTGCCAACAAAAACCAGGGGTTGTTTGAGTTTTATTGAGTTGCAGGAAATAGGGAGTTCAAATAAAAAAAAATGAAACTATGACAATAAGCGCTCGGTAAGTTTTAGAGCTGACAGGACAAATTAACTGGAAGGGGATGGCAAATTAGTCCTTCCTTGCAAGAATTGGCGGCGGATCGCTGCTCAGCTCAGTTGTCTCCTGTTGCCTTGTGGTTTTCTCGTGTCTCATTTTTAATGTTTTACCTGGTTTTGGAGAATTTTTCACCTTGGTCTGCCCATCAGGGAGGCACCATGCAGGCTTCCTTCACATCACATCTCCAGCATGCATTCAGCCCTGGGCTGGGCAGATGCTCCGATGGTAATGGGGTGTAGCCCACGGAGATAGCTTAGCATTCGATTTAGCAGTAGCACAGGAACCTAACAGGCCTATATCCTGTCAGCCATTAGTTTAAGGAGTTAGCATAAGGCTTTGAGGCCTACAAACTTGAGCATACCTAAGTGGCCCAACTGTGACCCTGAGTTTTGGGCAACTAGGAACATCGTGCTTGGCGGGAGAGCTTGAAGATAATACCAGGTAACCGTAGGAACACTGAACTGATACTAGACTAGGATATTTTCGGATAAAATGTTGGCAGATTCTTAACCATGAACTTGCCTTGGTGTTGAACTGATGTGTAGGATAATTAATTGACTAAATCTATAGGATAAGGACACCCCAACATTATTAGGGTGAGGAAGTTAGATATGGACAAAGGAGGCCGGGCATTTCTATGAATATACATGACAGCCCCTTAGACCCTATAATAGGCCAGACTACCATGTAAGGGGGAGATTTGGACCTTCATACCAGGGACAAAATCTATGTCTCCCACCCGCGCCACATCTCCTAGGAAGGGCGTGAGCAGACATGTAAGGAACGGTACAAGATATTAGCTGCACTACCCTGTACTACTGCTACATTGCTATGTGGTTTGGAACATTTGTGTCTTTACTAACTGTGCTAATAAAGTTGCTTCAAAAGTTTTGCTTTGCCCTCAGTGTGAGCGAGTGTCTTTGTGGTGCACATCAGGGCTGCCAACCAGATATTGAACTTGGGCAACAAATTGCTCTGCCTCATTGATATCCTTGGTAATGTGGTTGTGTGTTAAGGAATACAAAGAGTATGATACTAGGCCATCAAAGGGAATCACTATCACCCCAGGGACCCAAGCCCCCAACTTGATGGTGAAAGGCTCTGTGTCCAGTGCACAAGCCCCCTGAACAATCCCATCCCTTGAAGCGTGAAGAGGTCTCAGCAAGGCTGCACTCCCATCTATCCTCCCTGGGCGAAAGGCCATGGTGGAAGTGCTGCGTATTATTGTTTCCCTTTCTCTAGCCAATGGCTTTTAAAGCAGACATGACAAATGATGTGGGAAGAAATCATATGAATAAAGCGGGATCCCCCAGCCATTCCCAAGGTTGCATTTTGTTCAGAAATCTTGTTCATTAGGATGGGTTCCTATTTGGGCATATCTGTAGTAATAAACAAACAAACATACATCATCTAGCACTCAGCAGCAGTCCTCAAAGTGCTTTACAAAGGAGGTTAATAGCATTATCCCCATTTTACAGATGGGGAAACTGAGGCACCAAGCAGTGAAGCTACTTGCCCAAAGTCACAGATCAGGCTAGGGCAGAGCTGGGATAGAACCCAACCCTCCCAAGTCCCAGTCCAGTGCTCTGTCCACTAGGCCATTTAAAACAAGTAAGGCAACGGTGTTGTCTAACAGCTGGCGACATGGCCTCAGGGTGCACAGCTCCAAACTTTAATTCAGCCCCTTTTATGGTCTATTTGTTTGCCAAATGCGTGTAATCTTTTCTCTAGGTGATATGGAATAAAACATGCTTTAACAAGCTATTTACCTTTAGACAATATCAATAGGCCAGCACCCGTAAGACAACAAAGCAGCACGCAGATCCCAAGACTCGCTAGCAAATCTGCAATAGCAAAGCACCATGCACAGCACTTAGCACTCAGAGGCAACCCTACAATAACAAATTGGCACCCAGAGCCCTGCACTCCCTAGCATGTCGAACGCAAGGCGGTGCTGTACCTGCCGGTGGAGGAGGGGGGAATATGGCTAAACCAGACCTCAGCTGCAAGCTTGTGTAGGACCAATAGCTGCGAGGTGGGAGGAAAATGATTTTTAAAGTTATGAGAAATATCTTGACTCTGTCATTTTAATTAACTTTCGGCTCAGAAAGCAAGCAACGAGCTGAGCGGAGAGATACTCTGGATCTCCTCCAACAGCTTTTGAAATTCAGACCTTGACCACTTTGATTCTTAAACCCAAACCTAGATTTCAGTTCCGACCATGCAATCAGTTGGCCTGACACCTTCTCACAGGGTTTCTAGGGCTGTGTGTTTGGGATACAAGTAAATCGCAAATGGGACTAGCTCCCCAAAGCACAATACCTTTTACCTATAGAGCACTTTTCATCCACAGATCTCAAAGTGCTTTACCAGCAAGGTCAGCATCATCACGCCCATTTTACAGATGTGTAAACTGAGGCACAGACTAGTGACTCACCCAAGGTTACTTAGCAGCAAAGCCAGGACTAGAACCCAGGTCTTCTGAGGGGCCAGCCAAGGGCACTATCCATTAGGCCACACTGCTTTCCCATGTAGCCTGATCTCCAGTGCAGGGGATTAGGTGTAGCAAGGCAAGCCTCAGAGGGAGGGAGCAGATGGCTGCTTGCCACTTATGAGGCCCGAGCAAACAGCCGAGGACTTTGGCACTTGGGCAGAAGGTGGAAATGACAGGGAAAGAAAAGAGCTGTTGACTGTGTCGGAGAGGCGTTCTGGGGCCCAGCGTGAGTCCAAAATCAATCCAGCTGCTGTGGCGGCTGGGTCACGCTGGCGCTTCGCTTGCTCGTTCCCCGTCGTGGCACATCTGAAAAAAAATGAAGGAGTTGTTACATTAAAGTGCCATTTGGGAGCTCAGGCCACACCCCTCCCATTTCCCCCCTCTCTCAGCCTGGGATGTTATGGAATGAGATCTATTTAGAAGTGCTGTTATGGGTTTCAGACACTTTGGGGGAGGAAATATTTTAAAGTGTTTCTGTTAGGGCTCCCTTGTACAAACACTGCATTTCTGGAGACCTTTGTCTGAGGATCTTGCAGCCGTTGGCCATGGTAGGGGATCAGCTGTCGGATGGGGAAGCTGAGGCACAGAGCAGGCTCAGCGTCGCGGCATTACTCTCACACGGAAGCAGTGAAGCAGCTGGGCCTAGAACCTGAGTCTCTGGACCCCCAGTCCATTACTCTAGACCATGTTATCCCCATGTCCGCAACCCATGCTTCTCCCCTCAGATCCAGGGGGATCAGCCCCTCAAGGGTCTTATTCAGCAAGGTTGGGACCTTGGGCAAACTTTGCTGTTCAGAGGGGCTGTTAAAGATGAAAGGCACGTGCTACCAACCTGTCCCTGAGACAGCCCCCTGCCCTTTCAGGATCTGGCCATGTATTGAGGGGAGGAGACAGGCAGAAATCCAAGCTCCTTCGGATACCCCATAGCCTCTCAGCCTCGGGCGCGGGAAGTCCAGTTCTGCTGCTGTCCAACGTGCCTGTCTCAACGGCCAAGAGCCCCTCCTCCCACCTCGCTGCCAAGTGCTGGAGAGAACCAGGTATTGCCAGCCTCTAGTGATAAAAATCTTGAGTGTCTAGTAACTCGCTCAGAATTGGGGTCTTTTTTATTTGCCTTCTGGCGTCACATATTCGAGCCTTTCTCCCTATAACCTCCACGTCTTTTAAAACGGAAAGCAGAGAGTCTCCCTTCATCACATGACTCCAGCAGCTGGGGCTTTAAGAACCCCCCCAAATAACGTGAGGCTTACCCTCCAATCACGGGAATCGGCAACACCCAGGCCCCTCTCCGACCCCGACTCAGTCTGAGGCATGAAACGAAGGGGCTTCGGTGTTGATTTGCTTTCAACTTCCCTAAGGAAAGGCCCATGCAAGCCAAGGCCTCCACAGCAGCCAGGAGAGGAGAGGGCAACTCTTTGAGCACCTTGTCCACTGCCAGGGAGACACTCACGACAAAGGCCAGTGCCAGGAGGTCGCCACAGGCTACAGAAGAAAGGATGCTTGGTTAGGCAGATACTGCCACCTTGTGGGACAAACTGGGAACAGGCACCAATCAGCCAACCTGCTTTATGATGGGTTTATTACAGAAGATTTAATTCTGGGCAGGGACCCTGGAGGGTTTCCCTAAGAGAGAGGCATCTGCAGAGACAATTATTAGCTGTTGGGGTGGACACTGGTTCCCCAACCTCTTTCCTCCCCGACCATCAGAATCCACCTGGAAAGCTTGTCCTGTTGGCTTCTTTGGGCAACTGTAGCTATTTCAGAACGACTTGCCCATCCCCTCTAGCTGACCAACACACATAGATACCCAATGCTGGAGGCTCCAAGAGGCAGGGAGCAAGTGCTTGACAATCCAATGGGACCCAATACAAAGGATCAGTTGGGCTGTTGGCCTGGCATATTCCATGTGCAGGGAGCCCAGTTTTCAAATCCTGTGCTTGCATCAACAGGGGGGTCTTTAAAATGAGGATTTCAACACCGGTGTGTAGATTTGAGCTCCCAAGAACAGAAATGGGGGGGCCAGTGAGGAATGCAAGCTGGACTCACAAGATACAACAATGCCCTTAAACGCATGGGTGCAGCACCCAGACCTTCTGCAGGAGTGACATCTGCAGGCAGAATGAATCCCCCCCATGCCCAATCCTCTCTCTACAGCTGGTGTCATTGCCCTGCGTAACTTTCCAGGTACTTGCACAGTGCTTATCATCTGTGCACTGAGCTACTTGGGGGGAAGCAGCAATGTGTGTTGCGGGATAATGCACGTTCTGTGTTTGGCATGTTACGTGTAAATGCAGGATTTCAACTCACCTGCCTCAGAGGGCACATCCACACCGCACATCGCTTATGGCGGTGTGTAGAGGACACACAGTGCATGGCCTACAGCCTGGGTATAAACTGCAGTGTAGACATGTGGCACTGCCTAGGCAAGTAAAAGACACCAGGCCTGAATCCTGTGGGTATGTCCCCTACACAGCTCTATACAGGCCCAAACAGCACCTCTGCCATCTACACTCTGCTATTTTTAGCAGTGCCGCAGCCTCCCCGCTGCTGGAATCTTTCCCTGCCGCAGGAAAAGGCTCTGTTGGTGGGGAAAGGCTCCGGCAGCTCCTTGCTGCCAGAGCTCTTCCCCGCTGCCAGAGCCTTTCACTGTCCCCTGTAGCTATGCATTGCAGAGGAGAGCAGCCTGGCAGGCTTGTACAGCGCACCCTGAAGCCTGTAGCTTGCATCTACACTACTTAGCCATGCTAGCGCAGATAGATCTACCTACGCTGCCATCCCAGTGTAGATGCACTCTTAGCGAACTCCTCTTTAAACTCGACCCAGTTGTCACCATCGGGTGCCTCTCCTGGAGGTTCGTGCTCTCTGGAAAGGTCAGCTGACCATCTTGCTGCCACTGGGGTGACGTACACAAGAACCAGAGGAGAGCGCTGCTTTGTTGGCAATAAGCTTTTTTTCCTTCTTCTTTTTTATTTAAAGCAGTAAAGCAGTGTTCAGACACTGCTACCCACAATGCCAGTGGGCCTGTTGAGCAAAATGACAGCGAACAAAAACTTCACCTTCAGTAGAAGAAAACCAACCCTTTATAGCAAGCCGCATAAATATTTACAACACATCAGTGCTATATACAGTCCATTCTATCATACAACTCGCTTCAAAACCGCTATGCACAATTTGGTTGTACAAAAGAGATTTTTTTCCCCCTTGTACAGTTCAAACAATAAATTGTCCTTTTATCTTTTTGTTTTGTTTGTACAAATTAGAAAGTTGGTTACACTAACTTCAAACCTTTCGTTTTAAATAGTTTACTATAACCTCCATTTTTGATTGCACGATCAATACAAATCATAGCAGGTAGCACAAAGACATAGGTCACCAAAATCGGACAGAGATTATGCACACAGTTTTGTATGAAAGAGTCTTTCCTTTCAGCTAACACAGACGGTGCTCACCTTATATGGAAGTTGCAGTCAATGGAGTCTGAATTTAGCTGAATTGTGGTGAACCTGATTTACCAAAATTCAGCTTGTATGTTTAGTACATCCATGGATATATGCCAATAAATCGATTCAGGCACATGTAAAGCATGTGTGTGTGCACGCCTACACACACATGCATATGGAGATGTATATACACACACACACTCACACACACAGAGTCTAGGAGTGGACACACACTCTCACACAGAATTTACAGTATCTGGGCACAAGGAAGTACCTCGTTTTGAAGGGACTGTCATTCCCGAATCCCTGTGTGGAATGTACATGTGGCCGTAGTCACGAACACTGGAGAAGACTCCACTCCCTTGTACTCAAAACAGCAAGAAGAACCTGTTAGATGAACATCAGAAGTGACCAGCGTATTTACAACATCTGTCCTTAGCACTGCATTCCGGAAACCTAAAGCAACGGGCTCCTGGCCACACACCTCAGCATACTACCAGTAAGTAAAAACAACCCTCTGTCCGACTGATACCATTGCCCCAACGCCGCTCTGGGCAGAGCCAATGACTCTGGGGAAGTCTCTTAAAAGGATCAGTCCCTTGAAAACCAAACACCGAGCGGAGGGTTGGGGTGGGGTTACAGTTTTGAAATCTTAGTGTCTCTAAGTGCAATAGCTGCTTGTTCCAGCAGCTTTGTGCAAAAGACTGGATCATACCCAGCACTGTAACACTGAAATACCATGTACTGTATGTAACTATAAGGAAAACACCAGTCCTCAGTAATACAGAATACACTCTCACAACATCCTGGGTCACCTATTTCTATTCCGGAACACCGAGTGAGAGAGCCTACCCTCCATTCTTTCTTGACAAAGTTGACAACATTGATGTAAGAGTCACTGACTGGACCTGAATGAATGAATTTACACCAGGAAGAGAGTTTGCACTGCAATCAAATGCATTTCACACTCCATGGTGGCAGCTCTGCTCCAGTCACTGATATCAACCGGATAAACAAAAACAGCCCGACCTGGATAAACCCTAGTTCAGGTCTAACCCTACTCACTGAGTTTCTTTGGTCCCACATCGGCCAAATATCATGCACATGGTTCGGGACGTGATCCTGCCCCCAGGGAAGTCAGTGGAAGTTTTGCCACTAATTTCAATAGGAATATGATTTCTCACTTACTAAAAGAAAACATTCCTTTAAAGTACAGCTAAGACCTATGATCCAGATCCTCAAAAGTATGGAGGCTCCTAAATCCCATTGAAATCAATGGCTAAATACCTTTGCGGATCTTGGCCTAGGATGCCATGAACTGTGACTACTCCAAGCTTGTGTACGTTTACCAACCCACCCCATTTTCAGCTTGGTTTGGTGCTGTCATTAGACTCAGTGATGCTGGATCTGTCACATAAAGAGCGCCCAGAGAAGTTCTAGGCACACGTGGCTATTGGAGGTTTTGTGGTTATTTCTGGCAACACTACATGCTTTTGGGTTTGCCCTTGGTGTCTTCCAGGGGCGCACACTGTGGATGTATCCGCACAGTCGGGTTGGACTGCGATGACAGAGGGGTGTGTGGTTTTGGGGGGACATTTTTTCCAATGAAAATCATTCAACACCTGCCATGCAGATGTCTAGACAAAGGAGGAGCAAGAACAATTCAGACTCTAGCCCAACCAGAAAGCTGCAAAGCTGAGATCGGGAGCTTTTAAAGACCCTGCTGCCTCCTCCCCGTAACAATCCTAGCCAAGACCACCGGTGAGCTCTGGGCACTGCCTGTCTGCATTCGGAAGCAGGGTGGGGATCCGTGGGTGCACTGAGGTTTAATTTTTCCTGGTACTGTACACAGAGGAACGGAACAGTATCTTACTAACAAGGTTTTCTTTGAGCATTTGACCCTGTGAAGAGGAGCCTGGGCGAGTTCCCAGCACAGTCGTTTGTCATTGTTGAAAAACGAGCTGTCCAACTGCTCCATGTGGCAAAGCAGCAATGCCTCACAGCGTACTGCTTAAGGGTCCTGATTGCAACCACCTGTGTGGAACGAGTCGGTGGATCTCTGTCCTCACCCCAGACTGGAGGAACCATGCCCTGCCTGGCAGCTGTGGGCAGACTCACAACCAAATGGACCAACCTCGCTCCCTAGAGCTGGTCCCTGCAGGTCAGACTTGGGGACCTCCTTGCAGGGCAGAGCGGGGAACTGGCACTGGGCTGTTCCTTCTGCGAATAGCTCCGGGGAGAGGTGCTCTGGAGCATGAAATTCTCTAGCTGCAGAACAGGAAATCTTTTTAGCCCAAAGAGAACTATAGTGGCTTGAACCTCTTGGCGGCTACAGACCCACCCACCATTCCTGGGTAGCTCACCTTGGGCATCCGGCTGTCACTCCTTCCAGACAGCGCATGTGCCTAAAGACCAGGTCCCTATTTCCCTGCCCCCTTAGCAAAGGCAAGGTACCACAGAAGCCACAGGATGACGACTATCCAGCCATATAAGATGAGCACTGCTGCACAGAACCCAAACAGACTAAGAGTCTCAGCAATATTTAAAGAGGTCTGGATTTAACAGAAGACCTTTGCCGAGTGGTTTTGGAGGTTCTCTCTTTTTCAGTAATCCCAGGCCTGTCCTTGTTAAACGCAGCAAGCTCTGTGCTTCGACGGGGACATTCCAGGTGGTGAAGCTGCAGTTGCACTCATCACTTGACGTGCAGTAAGTGCAGGGAAGAAAAGCGACCAATGACTCAAGACTTACCACTCAATTAAGGCTTTGAAAGACTCACTCTGTTCCCAAGGTATTTGACTTCTGGGGCTAAAACCCTCTATGGTGCAAACATCCGGAAGGAAACAATGAACAAGGAGACCCTCCCCTGCTCCTCTGCCTGAAACCCTCCCTTGGGTATCAAGTAAGCAATGGGGCAGCTGAGGGGCTGCAGAGACAAACAGCTGCAGCTGCCCGGGACATCGAAAGGAAGGATTTCCAAGGCTCCCCCCCTCCCCATTAGACATTCCCCCCTCTGATGTAACAGTGACATTCACCCGGCCCGGGCTGCCAAGTATAACAGGCATCATCAGATGGCAGTGCATGTTTGTACGGCTCTTTGCCAGGTTATATTTGAACCATGCACTTTGCAGGCATTTCCTTTTCTTTCTGTCAGTGGGGGATGCCCAAGGCTGGAACCCAAACTGTCCATTTTGATGTCCAAGTGTTTTCACTTTGACTTGGAGAGTCATGTGAGCATGAATGGGGCAGTGGGACAGGAAGGAAGGAAGTGGAACCGTTCTAGCTGGTTGGTTGTTGTTATCATTTGCGCTACATCAGCACATCTGGCATGGGCGGGGAGGGGAGGGGCTCTGTCAGCAAAACCCAAGCCAGTTGGGCTGGCATTTGCAAAGGGGCTTAAAGGGGTTAAGATTCCCAAGCTTCCACTGAAGGTCAATGATAGATGGGTGCCTAACTCCCTTAGGCCCCCATTTAAAACTTCCAGCCTAAATTCTCAAATGTCTCACTTATCTGACATGTTATGACGGCCGCCTTCAGGGATCAGCCCATTCAGGAAGAGAATCCCAGCCCCTCCTCCCAGCTCAGCTCTAGTTTTCATACAGAACGCCACTTCCTCTGCACTGCACAGCCAGATTCCCCACGAGGTGTGGGAAACACACAAACATCCAGCTCGCCCTGCCGGGATTGATGCACCTATCCTGCTAAGCAAGGACTGGATGGCAACCCCTCACACGTCTGAGACCAGCTTTCTCTGTCCATTCGCACAGGCTACTTGCATTTATTTCCTCTTGCTGTCACTTACTGCGAGGTACCGCTGAGGTCTAGTCTCACCGTGGCTGACAAAGCTTGGATCCCTTAAGGAAACAGGAAAAAGCTGCAGTAAAAGGTCTAAATCTCTAGAGCTAGCTGAAAACTGGGAAGGTTTTTGTGACAAATCATATTTTTTTCTTTTCCAGCGCCAGTCAAAAATGGGCTGGATTTCTGGTAAACATTTTGGTGAAAAGCGTGTTCATGTCTCATTAAAAAATTGCAAACATTTTTGGCAAGACACTGCAGCCAACCTCACTATTACTACAGTGCTAGGCTGTTCTGACCATGTAATTTTTTTAAAGGGGCTATTAGGGGGAAAGATGGGGTGAATTTAAACTTCACCCAGAAGAACCTACGGTTTCTTTGTAAAATATTATACCCAAAACGGCAGCCGTCGACCTTTTGTTTCTGAGCTGTGCCACACCTTCAGCAACAAACACACTTCCAAATATTTTGTGCGTTGAAAAAAAACACAAACCAAAAAATGCAGCAGAAAAGACACAAACATCTGGCAACTTTAAAAACCAGCACATTGTAAAAACACCCCAACCAACCACCACGTACGATCTTCCTGTTGCTTTGAAATTGGAATCACCCTTGAGACGGTGTTGAAGAAAAATAACCATTGATAGTGTGACACTGTGAACCTTTTCCGTCGATATACTCCTCGCAGATCAGAGATTCTGTGCACAGCAGCTGTCTGTTCCAACAGGCAATGGGAGAGGCAGAAAGTCTATGTCCTGCTCTTCTTTCCTCTAGCGTGCAGAATGCAAAGCATTTAATACATCATCTCCCCCCCCGCCCCGCAAATCCCCAGAGTGAGAAAGCAGAAGTGAAGGAAAAACAAAAGTCTAATATTTTGTTCTTGAACCGTGTAACTGCAGATATGATCCAACATCATGGAATGAAAAATAATATAAAGCAGAGCGTTCATGTGCATCAGAAAAAATACAATACCAACGTTTTAAGTTTCTCACGAATCCCCTCCCACTGCAAACAAAGCCACCGACAAGGTCTTCGGAAAGGCTCCCTTGAGATCTCTGTGCCAGAGAGTAACCCCCTGCAAGGAGGAGAAAACCCCTCTGGGCTTGAGAGCAGTACATGTAAGAATGAGGAGGCCCTGCAGGTGTGGTAACATTTTTTTTTTTTTTTAAAACTAAGTTAATACATTCTACTGACGTACAGACAACTGGGCCGGGCCAACGAGACCTCTTTTACATTTCCATACAATGGACAAACTCGTCAAACTTTGCACGCAACAACAGAACCTCTTTTCCAGGAGCCGAGACTGAAAGCAGCACGTAATACTGTTTTAAGTCCTTCCTCACGTCAAACATCTTGACATAATTCACTGAAGGTATCAAAAATATACCCTGTAGACCAATACATCATTTACAATTGCTTTTTCTCACCAGTCAGGAAACAATGCACTTAGAGCAATGGAGTCCCTTCATCTGCAGATTAATGCACCACAAGATGGGGAACGTCTTCTGATTACAAGGTAAACCAAGGGTTTCTTTCTCAGAAGGACTTTTTTTTTTATAAAAATGGATCCTTAGTTTTCCTCCCCCCACCCTGTAATTTTTATTTGTTTAAGCTTTTCCGGGGCCTGATCTGTCGAGGCACTGCTGGGGAAGTTAATCCCATGCAGGGGATGCCTGTAAGAAAAAGAACATCCCAAGCAGCCCAAGAGGAACAACATGGGGCCCGTTTGATTTTATAAATCAGTGGCGCAGCCCATGGGCTGATAAACGCACGGAGCAACCTGGAGGCTGGGGAAGGGCAGTCTAATCCTATTTCAAGTACTCAACAGCAGGCAACACGGGTGTGCAGGCAGAGAATACATGCTATGTGTGTGTATTGGCACGCGCACACACATATAGTATACGCACACGCACCCAAGCACGCTCATTCTCCTCCCAACATGGGTTTCCTCATTCTCACCGAATCTAAGGAGGAGAACTGGAGCACCAGCTGGTCTCCCCTGAGTAAACAACTGGGATTCAGTGAGCGACTGCATCCTTTGGAGCTTCCTCCCCCCTCCCATCAGCTGTTCACAGACTGTATCTCAGGCTCTCAGCTGCTGGGTGAGGACACCAGTGCTGGAAAGAGAACTAGGCTGGGTTCCATGTGGCTGTCTTAAGGCTTTAGACTGAAGAGGGTTCAGAAATTTCCTGATGTGAGAAATCGACCGATTGGAAAAGCGCTGCTCCGGTTTCTTTGCTGACAGCGCCATGGCCTGATATGGTCGGAGTCCACCTTGGCCAGCTCGCTACCCACGCGTGTCCGCTCTTCTCCCTCCCTCTCTTTCGTTCATTCGCTGTCTGACAGCGTTTCGTACTGGGAGCAGAGCAGCGGCTTGGGCTCCTCCTCCCAGGCGTGGTGCTGGCTGGTGGAGTTCCCTTGTGGAATGGACGCTGGCGGCGGGGCCGTGACCACGCCGGTTGGAAGCCTCATTGTCAGTGGGTTGTATGGAAATGGCGTGGAACCTGAATCGGTGCAGAAGGAAAGGAGAAACTCAACATGGTCCAAGAAGTGGCCCAGGGCAGGGAATTCACTCACCAGCACCCCCCCACTCAGTGTCAGAGAGCCCCCTTGCAATTCAGCACAAGTGGCAGGGAAGAGAGGCCCAGGAATGGAAGAGCAGCGGGGCCTGTGGGTCAGGGGTGCGATGAACTGGCACAGCTGACTCCCGAGGGGTGTCCCCAGGTATAATAAGTAGTAACTTCCCTAACGGGACGAGTTAGCTGACACTGACCCGGGTGTCTGTCTGGGGAGGCAATCTCACCCTCCCACACCTGGCAGAGTGCAGAGCCAAAGCCCCCAGGGGGCAGCGCTGCGATACCTGCGGACGAAGGCCTGTCCTCCCAGACTCGATTGGTTAGCGGTGTCCTCCTGTTACAGTCCCCCTCCGAATGAACGGAAGAAACAGACGGTGGTCTCTCTCCGGAGGACAGGCCCGGCGCTGGAGACTTGGCCTTGCGGCCATTGGGTCTGGCAGCAATCTTTGGCTTCCCTCCTCCTCCTGCAAAGAGAAGCACCTTGCTTGTCAAACTGATCGCTGGAGACACACGCCACATGGCCAAGGCAGCAAAAGCGGCTCATGATTTTGGGTGCCTAACCGGAGATGCCTTAAAGGAGCCTGATGTTCAAAGGGGGGGGGGGTGTGCTCAGCAGCTCCTCAAGGTCTGGCCCCTTTAAGGAGTCTCTGGATGAGTCCCCAATTTCACTAGGAGCTTGATCTAGGTCTCTTGCATGTTCAGAACTGCACGTGCAGCCTTCAGGTACCACTAGAGGTACAGGAAGCTTAGCATCCGCGAACCTTCACAGCAGACGTCTGGGCGGGGAATGGTACAGAACAGAGTTCTTGGCATTTCCCAGCCAGAAACGGGAAGGTTTTCCCATGCTACAAGAGTGCGCCTGTATTCGGGGCGTTCTACCAGCAAACCCCTATCGACCATTCGCTAAAATGCCCAAGGATTTCAAAGCCCTCTGCTGGAATGAAGAAGCTACTGCAGCTGCAACGGAAAGGCTCAAAGGGCCAAATACTTCCCTGACTTACCCCCCCACGCCACCATGGCCTTGTCGGCTCCTTGTTGAACTCACCTGCTACCACGAAGCAAGCTGCAGCAGCTTGTGTCCGGCATGGGGGCTGCGCACTTGGACGCACTGAAGGGTCTGGCACAAGGAGAGAGTGGGCTGATGAAGGGTGTTTGCCTGCTGGCCCGGCCTGGCCGTTTTTCTGCAAGGGACTGGGGAGTGCCTCATTGAACTCCTAAAACCCAGTGCCAGGGGCTTTAAGTGACTCAGTAGGACAGGGACTGCGTGTGAGAAGGAACAGGAACCCACATGCTCCTCCTCCCTCTCTACAGACAGTCTGGATGCAGGGCCGCCCGGGAGCACAAAGGGGGCAGTTTGCCCTGCCCCTCCACTTGAGATGGCCCCCATGCCCATGGAATTTGAGTGCGTATGGCCTGGGGTTACAACACCACTCACTCCCTGTCCTGACAGACAGACAGTCAGGCCAAACCTGAATGGTGCTTTTACCCCATGCACCGGGCTGCAACGCCCAGAGCAGGGAGCTGGACCCAGCCCTGCAAGATGGGAGTCGCTGCTGTGGGGTGAGTGTGGGATGGGCTCTCTCTCCAACCCCCCACACCCCTGAGTCCCATTTGTCTCCATGGTAATGGTTTTTGGAAGGGTAGGGGCCTCACTTTCAGATTTTGCCCCAGGCCCTCAAAATCTCTGCGTGGCCCTGCCAGAACGGCTCCATTCTGGTGAATTCCCAGGATAAGCAGCAGAGCTCCCTTTCTCCAACCCAGCCATGTCCTGTCCTTGCCAGGACAAGATGTAACTCAATGCTTCTGTAACTGGAGCCATGTTAACCCATGTGGATGGCAAATCAATTGGTATTTGGGGGAATGACGGACTCCCCACCCCCTGCCCACATTTCTGATTCTACCCACCTCCGCATGTCCTAGCGGCATTGGGGAGATTCGTGGGAATGGCTGTCCCCGGAGCTGTACAATGGCCCAACCCTGAAGTCAGGGGCAATTCCTTGCATTTGACCTGCTGCACAGGCTTGCAAGCAGTGTTCTCACGTCCTGAGATGCCCAATTCGTGGCATGGGGCGGGAGGAGCAGTGGGTCTTCTGGCCTCAGCAGGGATGCTCCCCTCCCCAGCTTTCCAAAGTTTCTGCCTTATCCCACCATTCTCAGTTGCCTTGAGGCTTCCCTCCCATTCCAAATGCCTCCCTCTGCTGTCCCCTGACACGGCATCTCTCCCCAGCCCCGGCTGTTTTGGGGGGCTGCCGTTCCCACCGCTCCACCAGCGAGCCTGTCTTCCAGAAGGCTCCAGAAGGCTGTCTTCCAAAGCAGAGTGACAGATACAGCGCCAGGCCTTTGCAGCGGCTGAATGGTGGGCAGGCAACACTGACAGCTAAAGAAAAGCTTGGAGCCAATCTACAACCGTGGTTAACCATCAACCCAGCCGAGAGCAGGTGAAGACTCCCCCTGGCAGGTACATGGGGAGCCCCAGATGGGAGGTTAACCACGAGCCCTGCTACCATCTGAATGAGGTTGTTTCCCCTGGTACTGTGGATATCACACAGCCAGAGCTAGGGACACCTGGGCTGGAGGGGAATGGAAAACTTTGTGCTTCTCTACCTCCAGTGCCCCAAATGTCCCTTCCCTGATCCCCACAATGGGGCGTGTGTGTTTTAAAGGACTATTTTTATTCAGGGGGCACATTTCTACCAAGAGAAGCATGGATTTCTCACTGGGCGAGTATCTCTTTTGGGGCAATATGATCTCAGGCCCTGATTCAGCAAAGCACTCAAGAACTTGATTTCAATCAAGTGCTTTAACTGAAGCAGACGGCGCTTTACGCAAATCTAAACGTTTGGCTCAGCAGGGAGGCTTAAAGGCCTTGCTGAATCAGGATCCTCGCTCGGGCTTGGGATTTGTTTGAAATCCACATTTCTCTGCAGTGTCTTTCCGTTGGCTTTTTTTTTTTTTGTTAAAATAAACCTTGACAACATAAGAAGAAAAGGAGATTAAACAAGGAAAAGAGCCCGGTCAGTGTTTTAGAGAAAAAGCAACAGCCCCTTTCAGGCTCCGACACGAACATAACAGATTCCAGGATTAATCAGCGAATTCACAAAGCTCGAAGGGAAAACACAAAACAAAGAGGATATAAAAAAAGAATGAACAACGCTGAGAAACGGCGAAGGTGGAAAGGGCTGCAGACCTGGCAAGGAGCGCATGTCGTCATTCCGTCCGTCAGCAGCGGTTATGGGCATAGCAGCGGGCACGCTTGCACTGGCATTCAGAGAGTTAAAAGCATTGGCACTGAGAGGCGAGCGCTCTTCCCACTGCTCGTCATATTTACCCATTAGGGCCTTCCTAATTATTGCCTCCAACCCCATGTTGGTACTGGAATTTTCTTGAACCGACTGGCTTCTACAACTGATTAGCCCTGGGAGATACGGAAAGGGGAAGGAGAGGTGAGGGGTGGGAGATGGGTTGGGGGGGGGAACCAAATAAGAAGAAAGATGGGGGGGGGAGAAAGGAGACAAGGGAGAAGGGAAGAAACAAACAGTCAGCACATTCTTGCAAAGCAACAAAATTTGTCATATTGTTTTTAAGCTCTGCAGTGCACTCCATCCCCCCGCCCCGCCCCAGGGCTTGGCAGGAGCTGGGGGGGTGGGGAGTTAGAAAACTACTTGCTGAGTGAGGAAGAGTCTGGGGGGGGAAAGGGGGAAATGATTTAAAAAAAAATTTTAAATGGAGACCCCAATGCCTCAATAGCTGAGGAGCGACAATGGAGTGACAGGAATGGATCCTGTGGCTGGCAGTGCCTCGTGGGCACACGGCCCAGCAACAACCTGCTGGGGAACTTGTCCTAGCTCTCCTGTCGGGTTGTTCTCTACTGGGTCCGGTGGGGCAGGAGGTCAAGAGGAGAGAATCCGTCCCCGTGCTGTTTAATTCCTTCCCAGCCCCCTGCACCATCTGTAGTCCGGACTCCATTGGGGCCCAGACACCCACATCTACAGGTCAAATGTCATTAGGAAACAGGATGCAGAAACGCAGTGATGTGTTTGAGTGCTTGTGAGTCATCAGAAGCCATGCAGTTATGGTGCAGCGCCGCACAGGGACCGTAGGGCACTCGCTCAGCCACGGGACCATCATTCCCAATGCGTCGGTTACAGGAAACGAGCAAGGGCAAAACTTAGAGAGTCAAAATACAGGCAAGAAAATAAAATGCCATGTTTCCTTAATGGCCACTTTGGTGCCTGCAGCCCCCTCTTCCCACCCTCAGAGCAATTCTCCTCTCCCAGTGGGAATGCTGCAGCCATGGTGCCCCCTCCTCGTATCTTATGCAGTGGAGCGCTCACACGTTCATTCCTCCCCCTGCGAATGAGCAGCATCCCTACCCAGCTCCCAGCATCACACACTCTGCTCTAGTGTCCCAAACCCACCTACATTCCCGAGCGTTTGCCTTTCTCCTTCGCTCAGCCCAGCGGAGCGACCCTTAGCTACAGGCTTTTCCCTGCAACACTTCCAGTCTCACACCCAAGCTCCTGCTGACACAGACAAGGACACGCAACCCCCCGCCTCCAATGCTCCTAGCTCACAGCTAAAGGGATCCACCTGACTCGACTGCCTGCATGAGTCAGCTTAACCACTGTGCAGGGTCAAAACCTGGCTCTTTGGTCACCGCCTCCCTTCCCCAATACTAACTCTTACTGGGAAGCTTTAAGGCAGAGAACCCCATTGCCAGCAGCCTCTGCCTTGCAGATACCACAGAAACTTGGGGCTCAACCTGGGGCTTGGATCAAACAAAAAAGGGTGGGAATGCACAGTGGGCATGGGTCTAGTTCCCTAGCATAGAGTGGGATGCCAGAAGGATCCATGGCTGATGCCTGCCTTTCGACCAAATGGCAGGGTTTGGGGACAGTGCAGGTCCCTGGGAAGTTTAGGCATTCTACAAAAAGACCAGTCCCGGCGTTAACACCACTGAAGTCCGTGTTCTTAGAGTGGGGACTCAGCTCGGAGGGCCATAGGTTTTGGTTTGATACAGAAAAGCAAATGAATATGATCCGCTAGCTCGGTTTGTCTGCCTCATGAAGCGTGCTATATAGTGATGCATGTGTACACAGCACACTTCAGCTGAGGCGTGCAGAGCGCACTCCAGCTAAGAAGGAAGCCCCCGCAACTTCCTTGGGAAGCAGGCACTGCTGTACCCATTGCACAGAAGGGGAAAGGGAGGCTTTGCGAGGTGAAGTGACTTGTCAAGGGCAACCAGCAAGCCAGGGGCAGAGCTGGAGCGAGAACCCAGGAGCCCTGACTGCTGCTCCCTGTCCTGTTCCAGTGCTGTTCTTGGCCCTATCAATGCCTAATCCCTTTTGGGAACGCTCTCCACGAGGCTTCGATAAAATCCGGCAGCGCTTTCCACAGGTTATTTATACACTGCGTGGGAAAAAGGAGCCTCTGGAGAGGAAAGGCGGAGAGCAGCCCTGCTCCAGTAGCCTCTGACGTCTGAAAAGACACACATCTGAGCTGGAAAAAGAACAGGAGGACTTGTGGCACTTTAGAGACTAACCAATTGATTTGAGCATAAGCTTTCGTGAGCTTTTCGTGAACGCATCCGATGAAGTGAGCTGTAGCTCACGAAAGCTCATGCTCAAATAAATTGGTTAGTCTCTAAGGTGCCACAAGTCCTCCTTTTCTTTTTGCGGATACAGACTAACACGGCTACTACCCTGAAACATCTGAGCTGGGAAGAGCAAGCCTGTTACAGAAGCAGCCAAGGGGCTGCCAATGAAACCCGAGCCTGTGCCCCCAGGGGCGGCCTGAGGAAAGACAGGCCATCATTTGAGAAGCGGATTCCCCTCAGCTGCAGGGGGAGGATTCTGGGAACCCCTTGGAGCTGGCTGCGCTCTCAGTGGGGAGGGAAGAGGCCTCACAGTCCGGGACTGCTGGGCTCCCCTGTTGCAATGGAGTGTAACAGGGACACTGGCACCAGAGGCCTTGACTTCTCGTGTGGTGCTGGAGTAGGGAGGAGTAGCCTGAATGCCTCCTTTAATGCTGAAGAGCTTGGAGAGACAGAGAGAGACAGAGAGAGAGAGAGAGAGACACGCAGAGCCAGGAGTCATGGACTCAGCTCTTTGGAGCCCCGCAGTGCTCTGGTGAGAGGGCTCCCGTACGAAAGTACAGTCCCTCCACTTCCAGAACCACCGTTCTGCAGGAAGGGAGCAAAGGTCTTTTTCGCACAGGAGCTCATTGCCACTCAACGGCAAACGCCCGTGAGGCAGGTCGAACTTTCAGGCTCTGGGCCTGTGGAGATGCCTACACTCTTTTCTCCGAAATAGAGCTCCTGGAGGTCAAAGGTGACTACTGCCTCTGAAAAACTGCGGCTGTCCCCTCTCAGTAACAAGGTGGGACCTCTGTCTCCACGACAGCATCGCACAGGGACATTTCTGCTGGCCCACCTGGGTGGATGCCCTGTTGTCCTCCTCTGAACCTGCCCAGCCCCACTCACACCTCATCCCCTGGGCAGGCTCAGCTCTCAACGGCGGAACTGTGCGCCATGCTCTGGAAAACCACAATGCCCCCGCAGCGTGTGGCGTGACCTTCTGGTCCCACTCTGCCAAGTTGCCGTCCTCCCTTCATTTAAGACTATCCGCAGCCATTCCCCTTTCTGCATCAGGTCTCAGTCTTGGAGTTCTTTGGGCACTGCACTGTCCCTGTCGTTTAGACAGGAAGCTCTTCAGGGCAGGGACGGTCTTTACTTTTATGGAGTGTACAGCACCTTGCACAATGCCAGGGCTAACCAAGTATTAACTTAGCACAATGTATACAGCTCATATTGTTACTGATCTAAGCTTTAAGCCTGAAGGCCCCTTAGTTTCAGAATAATGTTTTTCTGTCTGTATAGGAACCAACATCTGAGCCCACCTTCTCTCTCTCTCTCTCTCTCCCCCCACCCTCTGGGCTCAGATGGTCATTGCTTTGTCTGGCATGTGTCCCTTCAGCAAGTATTTACAAGTATTAACAAGTCAGTGTATCTGATGTAGTGTCCCCTGGATAAAGTCTGGGACACCACGCTGCCCAACCAGCCACCAAACGGCTTAAGACACGTGGGGACTTTCTGCTTTCAGCAAGACACACGTCTGGGAAAATGAAACAAGAAGTTTGCTGGGAATGGCGGGCAGACTCTCCTCAGTTCTGGGCTGAGCTTGTAGCACTGTTCAAGGACCCGAATTCTGCTGCCAACGCCGACGGGACCGGCATGATCATCTAGTCTGACCTCCCGCCTAACATGCGCCACAGAACCTCACCCACTGATCCCTGCATCCAGCTCATCACGTGTAGTTGAGCTAAAGCATCCTGTTCCCTTTCCCTCTCCCTCTGACTCTAGCTCCAACCTTCCTGTTTGCCAGCTCATACCTCTTCATGGCAGCAGAGTCTGTACCTTATGCTGCCGGCCCTCTGCCAGTAAGAGTCCATTTAAAGATACTGCTTCCCTACAGCGTCCTCCCTGCTGGCGTTACATGGTCTCCTCCCAACCCAACAGATCCCAGGCCAAAGGCCTCCAGGCTGTAAGTTTTCGTGTCTTCTCAAATTCTGACAACCTGGAGGCTTTGAAAGGGCTAGGCCTGTAGCCAGCAGCCCGACAGAGCAGTTTCCAAAGCAGGGAAGGGCTGTACGCACATATTCTCCCAGCCTCCCACCTTTCCCACCAGGAATATACTGTATCATATTGCAATAAATGACACCGGAACCTGCTGAACTCCTCTTCTCAGGCTGTGAATTCTGTGTGGCGTGTGGCAGAGTATGACATACAATAAAGATATATTGGGACTGTTACCTGCTCCAGTAATTGCTGGCATGTTGAAAATCTCTGTCCCAGGCTGTCCAACATCTGGAGGAAGACAAAGAAGTCCCTCAGTAAGAACTGCAGCGCACAACGGTTGACTCCTAGGGGAGCTTTTCCTTCCTAACACTTCCTCAACTCCAGAGGATCATGGGACATGCAGTTGGAGGCCTGGCACCTACATTACATTACCCACACTGACAAAATCCCAGGCCAAGTTCGAGGCGTGGGTGGGTGGAGTGAGGAATGATGGTTTGGGACTAGAAAGTATCTCTGTTTTTAAAGCAATGCTACCCCCAGACACGCAAGCCCTGGCCATTCCAATCAACATCAGAGGTTCTCCAAGTATGACCCATGGACAATCAGTGGCCTGTAAAGCCCTTCCAGGTGGCCTGATATGCAAGGAGTGGCGGTTTGGGAAGTTGGATGCATGGGAGAATGCTGCTCTCACCAAGTGGACCAGAGATGGCAACAGAGAACCACAGGTACAGGTCTAACCCTACTGGCATTAATGCAGCAGAGCCCCAGAGAGTCATGTTGATTTCCACAAGTGCAATCCCGTCTCCCTCTACCACGAGATCCTGCCCTCTGGGAGGTTAAGCTGGGGTACAAAACCCAGAGCTTTCTTGGGGTGTTTCCAAAGGTTCATTCCCCCATTCTCAGAGAAGAGTTTTTGTTCATGCATTCAGCAAGGGGGAAATACTAAGTCAATATTTTCCCTCTGAGCTGAGCTATTTGACTTGGGTATCACTTTTCTTAGAATAACAGCAGTTCTCTAACACAAGGCGTTTCCTATTTCTGTATATTTTCCCCGATAAGGAAACGAGTGGGAGGTCACTCGGTTCAACCATACGTCCCCCAAGGGACATAATATGGTTGGATCATGGTAACAGCACACACAGGACGAGACAGCTCGATCCTTCTTATCCAATACAGCTGTTATAAGATGGATTCAAATTGAATTAGTATTGACTGTATAATGCTGAGCTAAATTAAATTATGATCCTATCTACTCTATTAGCGGCTAATGAAGGAATGGGATGAATTTTGAATACGAGTCAGGCTGGGTGTTTTTTCAGAGCTGTACCAATATTGATGTCGGGTCTGAGAGACGCATCTTCAGGAGACAGAATTCAGGCTGGCTGGGCAGTCATTAAAAATGTCAATAGCTCTTAAGACTCCTCTATTCTCCACTTGTTAGTTAGTTTCTATAGAGGTCAGTCAGTGCTGGTGAATGGTGCTGGACCAACAGCCCCAGGGAAAGGACAGGCTTCTAAGAGGCACCTTCGGGGTAGATCAGTCTCACAGATCCTGGCCTAGCTGCCAGCACGACCAATGCGCCTTGCAGTGGCGGAGGGGTATATCTGACCTAAATGGCCATGACCCATCCTTAAGGTCCCCAAGTCACCTGCCTTTCTATCTCTTTTCCCCATCAGCAGATCTCCCTGCCCCGTTCCTCTCTGACGGATCTGTGCAGTGGGAAGACACTGAACTAAGACGTTTCCCAACATGCCCGGCCACACACAGGCACAGTACTTGTATGCAGGAGAGGCACAGGATGTGCTTACGCCTCTGTACTTAACAATATGCCACTGCATGGATGGGATAAGAGCATGGGGCAGCAAATTCTCATCCCCAAAGCTGCAGAAGAAAATGGCTTCAGACTGCTCAAGTTTGGGAGGTGGGCTCCTGTCCCTTTAAATCACAACAGCAGCCATGTCAGAAAGAGGGCTACTCTGGAATTCCCTCTCCCTTCTTTGTTTTTGCAAGGCGCCTTCATCCCACACCACCCCCGCCGGCAGCGGCTGCATGAAAACCCCAGCCTGGAAGCCTTACTGTACTCCGTTTCGCTCCTGTTGGTCGTGCCGAGCTTTTTGATGATCTCCTGCTTCTTGGATTTCACCATGGCGGAGTTGCTCTCGGTCAGTTTGCTGAAGAAGGCTGGGGGCTGGGTGTTGTTTCCTGGGGATTTGGAACCCATTCTGTGAAGCAAAAGGCAATCAGCAATGGCTGTACAGGGCTCAATCTAAGTCCTTCTGTCTATTGAACCCCTATCCCATTAGCCACCCAATGCTTTGAGCCAGGCCCCAGGCCACCCAGATATTGGGGGCTTTCTAGCTTCCATTTATGAGTTAGGTTGTCTTCAATTTGAGACTGATCAAAGGCCCCTAAATACAGTGTGGCTTATTCCCCCAGGAGGTCCCAGACCACAAAATGTCTCTTGGCTGGAAGAGAAACACTTCTGGCTTCTTTCTTCTTACTCTAGATTGAAGGGCCCCAACAAAATTCTCCTCTAGGCCCTGAAATCCTCTGCCCTAGAAGTGAATTCTTTCTGCTCAGCCAATCACCGGAGCAGAAAGATTACGTGGTAAGGCACCTTGGGAAGAGACTGAGGACAAGGGCAGGGGATCTCTGAGCTGCCAGAACAGGCTGGCCCTCAGCTGCAGGAAAGAATTGGAAGGAGTCAGGATCCCTGGGTTCCACTCCTGACACTGCCTCTTGCGTGTGACCTTGGGAAGTCACTCAGCCTCCATCTATCACCCTGCAGCAGGGGTCAAGTACTTTGCGCCCTGGGGTTGGGAGAGTTAATGAACTCTGCTTGGACAGCCACAGATGGGAGGCAAAGCACTATCCCCGGGCACTGGCAGTCAGAGGGAAGGACTTCGGGAAGAGGCTGCAAAGCGAGTTAATCCCTCACTCTCGTTATTTGGTGGCATATCCAACCCCAGCAGCAATATAAATGAAGAAAGCTGGCAGTCAGCTCAGCCAGCCACTCCAGGCCTGACCCAGAACGCTCCAGGGCAGGCAGCATAGAATGACAACTGGCTACCATTCGAGGGTAGTCTGTGCTCCCAGGAATGGCCCAGCTCTGCCCCCCAAGCGCTCAGAGTAGAACGCGGAGGGGAAGGAAGACCCCAGAGTATTGCTTTTGTGCTGTAACCCCCGGCCAGGCAGGAAGAGCCCACGTTCCCCTCCTCCTGTGGTTACCTCTGCTCTGACTGTTCTCCCTCTCGGTACAAGATTGGGTACGAGGTGCTCCTTGCGTGCTCCGACTCTCCCATGCCGTCTGGTGGCGAGACAGGCTCAATGCAGTCATCCGGTGCACTCCCTGCAGACGCTTTGCTCTGCTCAGGAGATCTGAGGACGTGCAATGAGATGCTGTTATTCCATTACAATGCTCTTAACCTCTGCACAGCAGCACCAGGGGAAGAGGGATTAAAACCCTTCTGCAAACTGGAGCGTCAGGGAGAAGGAGGAACCAACCCCCCCAAGCCCTTAATGTTACCCTTAAATTGCATATTTGCTAAGAGCATGTCGCTTTGTGTGTTTCTGAACCACACACCTATATCGGAAGGATTAAATTTAGACAGGCCCCAAAGCTGTAGGCAACTCATATGTAATCCTGCAATTGGCCCTAATAATAGTTACACTGCAGAAACAGAGGAACTAACCCTGGGACCTTGTGGCTCAGATCAAGTGTCCTATCAGTACATCCTCTACCCGGGGCGACGTCCTGCATTTGCTGCAAGCGGGGCCTCATCTAAACTCCTCTAGAATGTGTCAATCAAAGCTGTGGCATTACGGAGAATTAACCCTTCGAAGGTATGGCTCTGCAGAGTCCAGAGAGTTCATTTTCTCTTACTGCAGTGTTAACAAACTGTGCATTTACACCTGCCTCTGGAAATTTCCACTACATGCATCCGATGAAGTGGGTATTCACCCACGACGAAAGCGTATGCTCCAATACGTCCGTTAGTCAATAAGGTGCCACAGGACTCTTCGCCGCTTTTACAGATCCAGACTAACAGGGCTACCCCTCTGATACATTGTGACGGTCTCTAGGACCACAGAGGACACTCCTGCACCCTCCGAAAGCACTAATATATCTGGGTGAAAAATACAAGGGCTCAAAACTCCACCAGTCACCAGGGACAAAGACGAACAGGAGCTTTCTCTAGGGATTTTTTTGTTCTTATTATTTTCTCCTTGGTTTTATTTTTAGTACTGAGCACCCTGTTTCCTCTGCAACCAACAGGGGGCAGATTCTAGCACCCTGCAGAGGAAATGCAGGGCTCTGCTCCTGAGTTATCCTAATATCAAGAGCTAGACCCCTGCATAAGAAAGCTGCTATTTCTGGCTGCTCATGCTGGCAGGTGAGTCCACTTTGCCCCAGTCTGGGCTATCCGGGAGAGTGGAGAGTGTCTCTGGGGCAGAGGGCACTAGGTGCAGGAAGAGACGGGTCCTGCAGAGAACACTCCTAAGAGCAGCCAGGCTCTGGAGAAAGCTCAGGATTAGGGCTCGGTTGTTTGTTCACACGAGGAAAAAAGGCGCGTTTTAAAAGCATGATCACTACCACGTTAAAATCCCTGCGTGGCTGGGGCAAGCTGCATTAGCCGGTGGATGTGAACCCTATAGGGGTAGCCTGGAACTCCCGGCGACCAGCTAAGCCACGTTAAAACTGCACCGTGCCCTGTCTCCACCAGAATGTTTGCCTGTGTTTGTTCCCACATGTTTCAAACGCGCCCTTTCCCCTTTGTGCAGAGCCCGCTGAAGGAGGTGAGCGTGAGCCATATCTCATAGCTGCCCCGATCAGGTGCTGAGCTCACCTCTTGTCTCCCTCGCTCTGTGGGGAGATTCTGGAGGCCGGAGCGTGCTCCTGTGGCTGGATGTAAGCCTCACTGGGCGTCCTTCGCAGGTCCAGCACGGGACACGTGGCCCCAGGGAAAGAGTACACCGGGGTCTGGAGGTGGGAGTTGAGCTGCTGAGGATGATGGCGTGTGTAGTCTTGCGTGATAACCTCCTAGAAGAAGAAACTCGTTGAGTCAGCACTTCTGTCTGCGAACCTTCACTAGGCAGTAGTTTATGCGGTACGGAGATGGGGAAGGGATGGGAGGGCACCCTCTGCCGCTGACCCCTAGTTATTTCTCCCCTCCTAGTTATGTTGGCTGAATGGTGAAGCACCCTTCTCCCCTGGGGCGGAGTGTGGCTTCTCTGCAGCATTCTGCTGCCTCCAAAAGCAAAAGGCCAGAGGGGTTGCAGTAGAGCGAGGTGAACTGCTACCCTGTGGCCCCCGCCCCGGGGCCTGCCACCAAGGCTCCTGACGCCACTCCTGGCCCGTTCTTTGCTGACCCCATTGGAGATGCCCCGGAACAACTGCTGGACAGGAGGAGGAGAGAGAAGCTGATTACGCTGATGTGCTGAGCCAGCGTGACCACCCGCTGCTGGTGGCCTTTGATGTTCTGGGACGACTGCAGCAGCTGACATGGGGATTGCTGGCCTTCGGGCAGCTGGCGCAGGTGCTGCATGTGAGCGGCTTCCGCTGCAGAGAGCTTCAGGGAGGCTGTGAAAGGAAAGAAACGGACATGACAACCCAGGGCAATCACACAGCGTCTCCGCCTACCCAGCACAGATGCTCTATTCTGCCCTTCCTCTCTTGAATCAAACAGTTCTTTTAAACTATGCTACTTACTTGTTATGAAAGAAGCCAGAGACGACTCTCCAGAGAATTTGGTGTAGGGGTTACAGCAAGGAACTGTGAGTCCGGAGACCTGAGCTCTATCCCCCACTCTGCCAGTGGCTAGCTGTGCGATCCTGAACAAGTCATTTAAGCTCTCTATGCCTCTGTTTCCCCATCTGTAAAATGGGGCTGATGATATTTACTAATCAGGTGGGGCACTGAGGTGTTCCCAGGTAATTAATTAATGAATATTTATGGAGTGCTCTGGAAAGCTCCCATGAAAAGCTCTATCCACCGGGGATGTAAAGCAGCCGCTGTTAGTTAACGTACTAACGAGACACTCCTTGGCAGAGCTGCAGTTCCCTGGACCAGTCTGCTGTCAGGAACCGGCAATGGGAGGCCGAACAGGGGATGCTGAATTACGCCAGTTGATAAACCCACGGCGTGCTAAGGTTATTCTTCAAACGCTGGTGGCAGCTGCAGCAAAACATGCCCAGGCAGGCACAAACAGGACCTCGGCTACCCACTGGAACATCCTGCCCTCCTTCTAAGCCTCTCCTGCCTCCCTGCACATTTCCTGCTCCCTCTCAGCCCGTCGTCTGCCTTCCGTGTGCCTCATCCCAGCCCAGAAGGGAATGGGCACTTTCCTGCAGCACGGTCAGCCAACGCCCATTCCCTGCTCCCAGCTCTTCCCTTCACTGCCTGTCACCAGGCACTGGCGCCAGCCTGGCATCACTATTGCTCGCACTGGGTAGTGCCTAGAGGCCCTATCAGGCCCCCCTTGTGCTGGGTGCTTGTACGCACGCTGTGTGAGCGAGAGTCCCTGCCCTGAAGAGCTCACCGTCTAAATGGAGAGGGCAGAGGAAGGAGGGATGAGAGAGTGACTCCGCCAACCTCTCAGTGGAAGCCCATGGTGGAGCCAGGAACTGAACCCAGATCTCCTGAGTCGCCATCCAGAGTGCCAATGGCAAGGCCAACCTCCTTCTCAAGGACACAGCTGGATCTTTGCAAGGCAGAAGCTTCCTGGTGGGTCCCTCCATTCATCTTGCCACCACCAGCCTCTGTTTCCTGAATCTGCCCACTGCTAAGACAAGCGTAGTCCCAGGGGGAGATTTCAGGGAACGCAGGTTGGTGCGGACACAGCTCGCTGTGCGAGGTGGAGGGGGATTCCTCACATATTTTGCCTGGCAGCCCTCGACTGGGCTGTGGGCTGGAACGTCGGCAGTGCCAGGGGCCACGTCAGATCTGCCTCGGCCAGTAGCAGCAACGGCAGCCCCTCACCTTGCTGTTTTTGTCTCACGTTGTGCTCCCCGTGCCCTTTCTCCACATCCGGCAGCACCTTTGCCCCTTTCTCGTGGGATACGCTGGGCGAGCTCACCGGGCTTACCGCTTCAACGCCATCAGGGCTGTAGCCTCCATGGAACCCTGGGGAAATGGAAGCAAGGGCCTTTATATAGTGAGTTTCCTTCGTTCCGATTAACCCTACGTGTCCTGCTGCAGCGAGATCTTCAGCATCGGCAAAGAAGTGACAGAAATAATCAGAGACCCTCCATCTAAAGCTGCAGGATGCACCTGCCTGGCTGACGCTTCTACAGCCCTTCTTAGTATGGCAGGGGGCATCCAGGGCACATCTCCCCTACCAGCGAAGGCGCGACGGTAGCTTGGGCATGCATGCTCTGCCAGGTTTAATCTAGCTACCATGGGTAATAAAAGCAATGAAGTTGCAGTGGCATGGACCCCAGTACAGGCTGGCTGCCCAAGAACATCCCCAGGGTCCCCAGCAGGTTTATATTTGGGTGGCTAGCCCGCGCTGAAGCCCATATCACCGCATCTGTGCTCCTGTTGTTACCAGTGCTAGACAGATTAAAGCTAGAGTGGGGGTGCCTACCCGTGCTATCAGGACACCTTCACATGCAGGGTAGATATAGCCCCAGGCGCGTCGAACAGTACCAGCATAATTAGAAGAACCAGCTGACAATCAGCAGGAAACACACACACACACGCACGGACAGCCACATTTGCTGCTTTTCAATTACAATGAAAAAAACATCACATTTTCCTGCAGAGCTGGAAACCCAAACACAACAGCTCAAGGCAGTGAAACTGACCGGCCTGGATTCACACCTCCCACACCAGGGAAATGCAACAAATAGATAAAAGCCACAGACACAGTGAAAAGCAAATTACTGTTGTGGTTGGATGTTGAGTTTTAACTATTCTAGGTGGCATTTTCACTGGTAGATCTCAAAGGAAAGCCAGTATCACACTCCTGCCAATCTCAACTGGTCAAAAATTGAGAGACAGGCCACCCCAAACCTGTGAGATTGAAGCCACGAGACTAAACACAAATACTAACAACAACAGTTGGGTTTTATTATTTTCCTTTGGGGTGCATGCAGGCCACATTTTCAAGCTTTTATCAGCTACCATGGGGCGAGAAACTCACTTTTTTTTTTTTTTAAATGAAAGTTGAGATTCTCCAGGAGCTGGAGTGTAAAATGAAACACGTGATAAAACCCCGAGAGCCGGCAACACTGCATCATCATTATCCCTATCTTACAGGTGGGGGGATTGAGACACGGAGGGGTGCCATGACTTCCACAAGATCACAGGACAGATCGAGAGCAAAGCCAGGAAGAGGACTAAGGTGTCCTGAGTCTCAACCTTGCGCCCTGCCCACTGGAAACACTGCCTCTCTGGCTAAGGAATTTCACGCACTTCTTGATACGCCTTTAACTTCCTAAAGCTGAGTTCCCAGGAGTTACCAATGGAGACAACTCACACTGTTCCCTCCTGGCTCTGTGAGACCCAAGTATATTTCACCAAGGGCTTCCTTGACCCCAGTGCATTCTCTCTGGGAGCCAGTCACAGACCAGCCTGCTCGCCCTATCCCAGCCCAGGTAGGGCACCTCTGCCAAGCTGGGCTCACTTGCTGAACCCAGCGGATATCCATGGACTCAAGTGAAGTCACTGGCGGAGAGGTGGGACGAGTGGGAGATGTGCCATTCCCATACACCTACGTGCCTTGTATTAAAGGGTCATTCTGCTCACTCCCTGCTTGACTGGGTCATCGGGCACACGCCTTCTCATACAGATGGGGGAGGGATAGCTCAGTGGTTTGAGCACTGGCCTGCTAAACCCAGGGTTGTGAGTTCAATCCTTGAGGGGGCCGTTTAGGGATTTGGGGCAAAAATGGGGGATGGGTCCTGCTTTGAGCAGGGGGTTGGACTAGATGACCTCCTGAGGTCCCTTCCGACCCTCAGATTCTATGATTCATTGCTTCTAGTGCTATTGCTCCTTAGCGTGAGTTCCCCACTCCTTCCGGTAACGTTCCAGTGAGTCTTGGCGGAAGAGCCAAACCCTAGTAGCACTGGGACTCCACCCCACTCTGAAAGGCTTGTCTCTACTGACAGAACATTGTCGTCACTGATATCCCTGATCAGGGCTGGCTGGTCATAGTCTGATCTGACTGATGGCTGGAGCTGGGGTGGGAAGCAGACCAGCTCCCTCTGCTAGCACTGGGGCATTTGGAGCGTGGGGAATATTGTGACCCCCAGAAATCAGAGCAGACTGGAGAAAGCTGTTTGTGTTCATGCGCATCTGGAGGAGGAAGAGGAGTAAGATGTACTAATGGCCAGCCACGGATCAGAGAGCTTGTGGGGGGGAGGGGATCAATGGAAAAGACTTAAAGTAATATATAGCTAATTCTTGTTCTAAGGCTTTCAGGATACTGTGTCCCTAGCTCTGGCCCATGGGTCATTGGAACACAGCCCCTCTCTAGTATGGGACAGTCAAACACAGCAGGACAACATAGCCTTGGCTCCAATAAAAGGGGAAACTCTTTTACAGTAGCACCCCTTGCTGAGATCTCTAGGCTGGGACACCTCATACTTCCTATCGAATGAGCAGGATTTCTAACCACTGTAAGGTGTAGCGTTGCTACTCCCAGCTCTCTGGATGGGCTCAGAGGAAATCCTGCTGCTGCATAACTTCCCGATGATCTGCTTGTTCAGACATATTTGCAGAAATGCTTTAATGTGTTTTACTAGTGTCAGGAAAAAATGTACCACTAAAGCCAAAGGGGAGTGTGTATTCATAACAAGTGGAGCATTCTCGGCAGCTGGCTGGAAGTATCACTGACAAGTATCACAAGTATGACAAGCATCACTGCTTATCAGTAAGATCTTGAAGAGCAAAGAGGGGAAGATTCATAGAATAGAGTCAGAAAAAATTCTCCTCTCCAATTATCCCTGTGGATTGTCTGGTGCACACCGTGCACTTAGGTTTACATGCATGGGAGTGCAACGCTGGGATCCAGGGCAGACGTGTGGGAGAGATTCACAGAGATAATACTGCGACATGCACAGGGGGCCTGTAGGCTAAGCAGTGCATGGCGCTTGCTATTAACTAAATATCTAAATGGAACCCAGAGGTCTGCTCTGGTCCAAAGCACAGCTGTCCCCATAAGCGTCCCTATAGAGACGGGCACGAATGTGGATCCACCCTCCCCTGTCCCCAGTAGGAGTTTCACCCGGATAAACATGTTCTACTTCATTTTGTGCCTTAAGCTGTTGTGCTGGGTTAAGCAGCTGCTGTGTTTCACTCCAGAAGTGGTTGCATTCCAATGGCAGCTCCATGATCCCTGTGTACAGTATACTATCTATATTTATGTTTTATATTGGGTCTGTCACCATGGCATCTAAGCACTGATATATCATTTGATAGACAAATTGATACATCGCTTTGGGATCCATCAAATTCAAAGGCACTTTGCAAACGTAAGACATTGTTCTTGTCTGACATGGCTGTCCTGTTAGAATCACACATTCCCGCCCCCTCCCCCCCAGATCCCTTGCTGTTTGAGTTATTACCCACGATTCTTTAACATAGGCCACATGTGAACTGCTAATTACAGTGAAATCAAGAATTTAAAATAAATAAATAACAGGAAATGAACTAGAGCTGCAAGCAAGAATCGGCAAAGGAAAATTTTTTTTAAAAAAAAAGGGGGGTGGGGGGAGGAAGGATTTTTAAAACAAACAACAAAAATTAAAGATTCGAATAACATAAATGATTCCAAAAACTCAGGAAGTGGAAGAAGCCAACCACCAAAACGTGCAATTCAAAAAATAAAATAAATAAACAAATTGGTTTTAGGCCACAAACTTGGACTGGCACCCGCCTCTCCAATTTCTTACCATCACTAGTGGAGTCGTTATTTAGCGAGCGTCTTTCTCGCTTCCCCTTATCGCAAGAAATTTGACGCATGATAATCACATCTATGAAGTTGGCCGCTGTCATGGTGGTCTTACCGAGTGCTCGGAGCTCCTGTTCCTGCATTGAAAAGGATTTACTTTGATTCTTTTCTCTACTGTGCTGCTCATTGACCGAGACTGCGTGCTGCTGATCCAGGGGTGGATGATGGTGCTGGTTTTTCCCCTGTCCTCTGCTATACTGCTGGGTAGAACCTGGCCCGGAGGCTGGTAAGGGCCTGGACTCCATGGCTTTAATAGGTGACGATGACTGTTCTAGGCCTGCCCCACTGGACAGCTTTGAGGTGAACATGTTGTTGTCAGTCTGAGGGCGTTCTACCTTGGCTTCTCGGGCCCTGGACGCCTCTTTCTGTAGGAGAGCAGGGTCCATCATGGCTGCGTAGCTGTCCACTCCGCCGAGGGAGCAGCGCAGGGCGGATGCTGGGGGAAAGCCTGCAGAGCGGATAGGCGATGTGGTGGTGGTGGAGGAGGATCTTGGAAGCAAAAAGGAACACAGAGATAATATGACCATGGGGCTGAGAGACACTGCAGCTTCCCCATCCCCACAGGAACTAGGCTGTTTGCTCCTGTCAAATCCAGTAACCCTACAGAGGTATTAGCTACGGTGCATGTTACTCAGAGGTTAATGGATCCAATGCCATACTATGCGAAACAGACACAGGAGAAGGTCACAATGCGTCTTTCTTGGAAAACTAAACAAACGGGGCCTGCCTCTGGTCCCATTTACACCAGCCTGGACTTCAGCAGAGTTACTCGTCATCTGCACTGACGTAAGTGAGCGGAGAACCCTACCCATGTTCCATTTAACCAGTGTGGTTGATTCCCCATTTAAAACTTAGCCATGAGACTGCACTGGGGTAAGAAAGGCTCAGGCAGAGTGTGGCATAATACCAGAGAGCAAGAGGAATCAGATAACTTCTAACTTCCTGCTGAAGTTGGGACTAAGAGCAATCTGGAGACCCCACCATCTACATATGCATTTCCAACAGGAACGGACTCCAGGTTGTTTGCTGCACAAGGGGCTGGCCAGTTGGAGTGACCAAAGTAAGGGGCCAAATTCTGGAGCCCTTACTTCAAAAGGCTGAAGAAAACTTCTCATTGAGGCAAGGGTTGGCGCACAGGCTGAGTAAGAACATTTGGATTTGGCCCAGAGCAGACAGCCCACGACCATCCCCCTGTTTGCTCCCCGGGAGCAGCTCCCAGCAAAAGCCATTTGAAAAGGAAAAGACCCCGGTCAAAATCAGCCAGCCCACCACAGGCCTCCTGCTAAGGCCTGCTCCTATTGAAATCAATGACCAAAAAACGCCTGTCACTGTCAACGGCGCAGGATTAGATCCTTAACAACCCAGAGCCCTCCACCTCCCGAGGGCAGGAGCGTGGTGAGCCGCAAAGCCCATACACACCGCAGAACCGACGGGGTGAGGCTCTCCGACGAGATGACCTTCATGCCCGTGTTGTGCAGCACGCTGGGTCGCTGCTGGACGGTCTCGTGGGTGCGGGGCGAGGCGGGAGAGTGCTGGTGGCTGTGAGAATGAGTGGCTGAACGGCTGCTGCTTTGCTCGGTCCCTGTAAGAAAATGCAGAGAAGAATCTGAGCTGGAAACCAGTATGGAAAACCAAGGGGCAAGTGACAGCGAGATGGGGAGGAAGAGAGCTCTGCATAAACCTTGGAGAACTGTCCCCAGGCCCCCGAAAAGACTCTGCTCACCAGTGGAAACATCGCTATGCACCAGCTGTATGGACCGGGTTTCTCCAAGCCTACCTGGTCTCCAGATGGGTGCATGCTCCACAGTGGTGGCTGCTAGGAAGGATTTCTCGCGCTCCCGATCTCGTTCCCGTTCGGAAGCCGATGCTCCTGTCTGTTTGGTCATGTGCGTGGGGCCTCCTGGAATTCAAAGGCAGCCAGTCACAGGGGTCCCTGCAAGCGGAATTCTGGTGCCACCTTCACTCTTGTGAGTGTTGCAGCTACGGAAACTCTGCCCCAGCTTCCTAAACCAGATCCTGGCAGATAAGCAAAGACGGGGCCTGATACCACTTATACCAGGGTAAAGCTGGGGCAACCATCGGGCCACGGTCTGAACTTGACTATCTGCATTAACTGCACATTTCGTTCCGTACCCAAAATGTGACAGATGCGCTTGACTTTAAGATGGTGTGTTCGTCTGACAAAGGGATCAGACGGTTTCAACCCCCTTACCTACGGGGGGAGACAGCCACTAGGCCAGTGATTACAACCCACTGAGATTACAACCTGCCCATTGTAGGTGCATTCTCCTGGGTAGGCCATGCTGGATGGGGACAGGGGTAAACACTCTCAGGGTATGTCTGCACTAGAGCTGGAAGGAGCTGGGGTCAGGAGACATCCCTGCCCTAGGTCTGATTGAGCTAATGTGCTACAAATAGGAACGTAGCTGCGGCGTCATGAGCAGTGAGAGGGGCTAGCCACCCCAAGGACGATCCCGTCCAAGATCCTAGGGAACTAGCCCCTCCTGCTGTTCACAAAGCCATGGTGACTCTTCTCTGCTCAGCGCAATCCGAACTAGCACACAACGTCCTTGTTTCTCTAATGATTTGTTCCCAATGGCTAGCTAAAGAAAAACACTTCAACAGGGGATCTCTGGTTACAGACTCCCAAAGGGAGGAAATGCAGATGTCCAACACGCAGTCCTTCAAGCCTCAGAGCCCTCCATAAAAGAGAGAAACAACCCCACTGATCAGCTCCCCAGCTTGGGGCCCCCACCGGCCCTGGCCCTAGCCCCAACTCCGGGCCTCCAGCTGGCCCCAACCCTAACCCCAGCTCGGGTTAAGCCCAGGGAAGAGGGTCTGGTAGGTAGTGATCAGACAAGAGTAGGAGCAGGACTCTGCTATGCTCTAAACCTGGGTCTGGACTGGCCTTGGACAAATTACGTCTCTCCATGCCTCAGTTTACCAGCTCCCTTCCCCTGTTGGTTCAATTTGTGCAACTCAAGCACCTGAAGATCTTTATATGGGAAGTACTATCCGTGTGGTAAGAGCCGTGGGGACTAAGAATTCAGGCTGTAGGACAAACCAGCATGCCAGGCTCACCATACCGAAATCCTGGAGCAATGGGAGTTCCCAGGAAGCTTCCAACACACACACACAAATGGTGCGGGGGTTTGGTTTGCCCACATGCCCACCCAGGCAGATTATCAGGTGGCAATTCAAACCCTATGGGTTTTACCTGGGGAGAGCGGGGAGCTGCTATGCCGGCTGCTAAATGTCTGGGGGGCGCTGGGGATGTACGTGATTCGGTCCATCGAGGCGGCGGAGGTGCCAGGTGTGGGGGGCACGAGGACAGGCAGGTGTGGCACTTGGGACAGGTCGATGATCCCTGGAGAGAGAATCGAAAGGACCGTCAAGACGACGATAAAACCCACTCTCCACACAAGACGGTGTGGAGAGAGATGCTGGGAATTGGACAGCACACGAACACACATACCACGGCAGTTGGGAAGGGGACACTAGCAAGAGAACAATCTGACTGTCTAGGGCTAGCTGCATAATTTAAAAGCTGTTTCCTGCTCTGGGGTGTGAACCCCTCTGGCGATGGATTATTAAAAGAGGAAGCATTGAAAAATTAGGATCTCACCATTGATACTCTTGGGGCTATCGGCATTTATTATTTCTACCTAGGAGCCCCAGTCACGGACCAGGACCCCACGGTGCTGGACAGACACAAAGCACAAAGGTAGTCCCTGCCCCAGGGACCTTACAATTGGAGGATGAAATCTACCCCGGTGCAGAGGCCCAGCTGAAGGCCCAAACACCACGTAACTCCCAGTTCAGACCCATCTTTCACAGGGGGAATTTCAGCCTTGGTTCACTTAATGCCTTTCACTCAGCTCGGACAGTGAAAGCGGAGGAGTCAGCAGGGCTTTCTTCTGAACAGTGGGTTCCCAGGCACTGCTCTGGGGGTTCTAACTCTGCAGCGTGGAACACCCCACACATGGAATTCACTGAAATTAAACCAACAGGGATTGTCAAGCTCTGGAATAGGCTTCCAAGGGAGGTTGTGGAATCCCTGTCAGTGGAGGTTTTTAAGAACAGGTGGGACAAACACCTGTCAGGGATGGTTTAGGTAGACCTGGTCCTGCCTCAGTGCAGGGGGCTGGGCTAGATGGCCTCTCAAGATCCTTTTCAGCCCTACCTTTCTGTGATTCTATATACCCTGCGTTCTGTACACGCCAGGGTATGAGAAAGGGCAGAGTCAGAGCCTGAATGGAGAATTCTCTCACTTGGGGGGCACTTGAGGGGGGTCATTAGCTCAGATCGATGTGTTCTGCAGGTGAGACTAGTACAAGATACATACAAATTTTAGTTCTGGAGTCAGAGGGGACCCCCAGACTCCCTGCGTGTGGGATTTTAGCTGGAGGGAAACAGAGTCAGCTGTGAGGAGAGGCCTACTCAGCACAATGAGATGAGAAAGTCCCCCTTGGTCTTTTCTCAGGATTTACACTGTGCTAGAAGGGCCCAGTTCAGCACAGTTCATTGGAGATACTGTCTATAAAGACCAGTACAGATGGGCCACTTTTGCCCAGCGATGGGAAGGCAGAGATCCATTTGCATTGAGTGAGAATATGGCCACAGTCAGCGTAGACTCAAAGAGCCAACAGTGCAACAGCATAAATGCTATTTTACAGGGCTACGGACCTCTGGAGCATGTTCTGAAGAGCTGGAAAGCCACAGATCGGCTACCTGACTGCTTGAGAAGACGCAAGCAATTTTACACCCACATCCACACAGCAAGCTTCTCTCATTATTAACAACCACACTTCGCACTCATGTAGCATTTTTTAATCTTGAAAGAGCTTTACAAATACCATGGGCCAGCTTGTGGAGTCCTTACTCAAGCACAGCTGAAGTCAATGGAGCTCCCCAAGTGCTCTCCATGGAGAGGAAGGGCTCCATAATCCAGCCCCTCACTAAGTCATCCTTCCACCTTACCCTATATGCTTTCCTGAGCTAGTTTCCAGGGTACGTGCCCAGATCACGTTCAACACGCCCAGGCTTTCTACTGTACCTCTCTCTTTCAATATTACACTCTTGGTTTCTCACCTCCTTCAGGCTGCAAGGTTTCATTGGCACCTGAAATTCCTGCCATTTACTCTGAATCTGGCCCCACTGCTGGGGGATGGTTAAAGGACAGCAGGGCAAGGGACAGGTTAGTGCAGAGCCATGTATTACTAACAGAAATAAAAACCTGCAAACTGCTAGCAGTAAAGAGCTCAAAGAACAAGAGCAACTTATAGAGCAGCTCCCAGCCCAAGGGATCCCAAAGCGATTTCCTCTGCGTGTATGGAATCACTTTGCCTACCACTGAAAGTCCGTCTCTTTTTGGGGTGGCAGCTTTCTAACAGCCTGCAACAACTGCACAACTGCTTAGGGCAGGAAGTAGAGATCAACAATGTATTCAGTTTGGAGGGGGATTTAGGGGGGCTGAATCTGGCTAGGACACGCCATGCCTGAAAAGAAACCCAGCCAAACAAATGATCCTGACTAGTCACACACAGACTGGGACGCCAGTGTGGTTTCATCTGGAGGAGGGTGCAGAAGCAGCAGCCCAGCCCCTCGTTCCACACTGGGGGCACTGCACCCAGAATTGGATCCCATCTCCCCGCAGAACACTGAGCCTCCCTGAACGGGTCGATAGACTCAGGTTTGCAGTGGTTCTCTAAAAACAGCTGTATCGAGAGCGCTTTGCAGCCGCAGTGGGGCTCTGATGCCCACCCCCACCGCTTGGCTTCAACACCCCGGCTCCAGTCTGAGCCACGGCTTCAAAGGGCCATCTATCCAGCAATTCTTAGAGCGCGACAGCAGGCCCCGCAAGTCCGAGTGTGTCGGGCCGGACTGGGAGGCTCACTGCCACAGATTGCGCAGATGTACCCCGAGGGGCTCTCATCCAAGCACGGCACTCTTTAACTTGCAAGAGCTGATCAAACTCCAGCCCAAGGTCACGTCGCTGCCCCCGAAGCAGTCTTGAGAAATAGGCTACGGAGACTGACAACAACTAACCGCCTTTGCACAGATGGCTCAGGAACCGCTCAACCGGCCGAAGCAAAGATGCTCCTGCCCCCGGCGCCGGGACCAATGTGGCATACCAGTGTGCATGCCGCATGGGTACTGCCGTTGTGATCTCCACCACAGAAACCCTGCTGGGTGTTATGCTAGAGGCCTGGGGTCAGAACGACAGCCCTACGCCTTTCAAGAAGAAAAAATGCCACCTAAAAACCACAGACAGCTTCATACTTCGAGGACCTGCAGCATAGTTGAGAGCCAGCGACGGTTCTCGGGGCGAAAGTCCGCGCAGCATGTCTGCCCTCTGAGCCATAGCAGTGGCAGCGGCGTTCTGGTGCATCTGCTGGGAGGTGATGTAGTCGTTGATGATGGTCTGCCTGTTCTCCATGGCGGCAGTGTCTGGGTACCCTCTGATGAGGTATGGAGGGTAGAGATGGGGGTACGTCGGGCTCGGAGCAAGATGCCTGGGCAAATAGTAAGCAGCAGCTAAAAGAGAAGATTGAGATGAGTCAGTTTTCCATGTAGTACGGTCCTACGAGGGGGTGGCAGAGCCTGACTCATGAAAACTAGCGCTCGAGAGCATCCGCTGGGATGTGGGATAATTTAGGAACAAACGAGGTCCAAATTAGCGAGCACCAGGAATCCCCCCGTCTGGCCTTCGGGCTGGGGAGGCCTATGCAACGCACCAGAGACATCAGCCCCTGTGGGCACGAGGGTGGAGGAAGCTGGCTTTTTGCTGTCTCAGGGCCTTCATCTGCCAACTGTGCAGAGGAGCAGTGTCAGAGTAAGGATGGAACTGAGTCAGAGAAGAGCTCATCCGAGACGCGGTTTAAGCTAAAAAAAAACGTTACTCAGCAGTGAAGACAGCGCTACTTTAAAAGCCCGTTTCCACGGCTCGTTGCGAAACGGAACGTCACCAGCCAGCCAGCGACTTGTTACACAGCTTAGAACAGAAAGGCCCCCGGTTCTGTTCTCAGCTACGCTACCTTCATAGCAGTGGAACCCAAGGCAGATTTTTTGCCCAGCTGCCCAGGGCCGCTCCTGCCAAGTGCCCCAAATAAAGGAGTACCTGCTTCCAGTTGAATTCCCCTGGGAATTGCAGCGGGGTCGAAAGCCAATGGAATGTGTCCTCTGTACAAATCGACACCACTCATTCCCCGGAGTAAATGTTCATAGGGGGAGATGGGATGGTGATGGTCCGATAGAGTAGCGTGAGGAGACTTGGAATTGGTGATGTCTCTTGTCGTGGGGGTGATCTTTCTGTCCTGGGATGCCGGCTTCCCAGCCGTGATGCTCCCTGCAGAAGCAAAAGAATGTAGTCAGAAGAGTCCGTGCTGAAACACGCTCGCAGCCACGCTCCGCTCTCAGAGGGGCAGGCCCAGCTGCTGCTGAGCTAAGGGGAACCCTCCTTCCTCCCCGATCGTTATTATTTTGTTTATAAACTGAGATCGTGCCCAGAGGCCTCAGCTAGGTTGAGGCCCCACTGCACTGTGCATCGAAGGTAGAACGTGGCCCTTGATCTGAACAGTTACATCTACAAATGAAGGGCTCCCCGCAGCCCCCAACTGCCTTACTGATTCTGGCACGTACATTGAACTTTGTCAAATAAAGAAGTGTTTTGATTTCTCTGTTTAAACCTACTGGGCCCATTGCACCCTCAGGGTCACCGTGGCGACTGACACTGCCTTCAGTGGGAGCTGCCATAGTTTACCTGGGGTCAGAATCCGGTATGTGACAACAGGTGCGATTTCCGATGTGACAACAGGTGCGATTTCCGAAAGCGCCTCTGTGACGAGGGAGGATGACGAGGGTCCCACTGAAAGCAGCTACATCTGATTTTAAGAGTTCGGCTCTCCCGTTCTGCCCATGGCAAGTGTGTTCCTAAGTCAAAACCCCACCCTTTCGTTTTGCCTTTCGAATTGCTGGGCCCAACGCAGGACAGGCACAAGAGGTAACAAGTCAGAGCAGATCTCAATGGCAATATTGGTGAGATCAAAGGCTGTTACTTCTATAAAGAGAATGAGACGCTCCCCCTGGGTAACGCTTTTGAGGCTAAATTCACCCTTGGGATAAGGGGGTGAGACTCCAATGGCTTTAACGAAAAGGGGAGTCATCTTCCCCTGACATCGATGGAGTTACCCTCATTGATGGCAGTGAGGTATTTGCCTGTTCGCATTCAAAACACTCTAGGAACAGTGATTAATCCCCAGCATCCAGGACAGGAAAGTAAATCAGCATTCCTGTTATTACAGCTAGGGGAAGAGCGGACAGGGGGTGTTGGGGGGGGCTTGCCCAAGATCAGCGCCAGAGCCAAGATTCGAGTTGAAGAGTTTCTGGCTCCCAGGCCTGGGCTCAGCCACTCTAAGGACATACCCATGAGAAACATTTCAGAGACAACCACAAAAGCAAATCTTCTCAATGCAACTGACCCTCCAGCCTGCAGGGTCTTATCTTCTCCCACTTCCGCACAAAGCTCTCCAGAATCTTGCCCTGCCAGTTCCCTGATTTGGCTCCTAAACGAAAGCCAGTTTTTCCCTGAATGGATCTCACATTTGCCCTCACAAAGATCTTCACTTAGCCTCAGCAACGGGCTAGGGACATCTGACAAACATGCTCTCCTGATGCAGTCCAACAAACCTGACCCATCTGAGTGGATGGCAGCAGCTCTGTCTTGAGTGCTCTGCTGGCAGCAGAGAGGTTAATGTTACCAGAGAGAAAAAAAGTGACCCTGGAAACTCAAAATAAACATGATGAAACAGGGCCCAGATGGTTCTGACAGCAGCTCTCCTCCTGCGCTCACCAGGAGCTGTAAACACTTTCATAATACATGGAGAAGCAGCTGGAATAATGTCAAGCTTCTCTCGCATCCCTATTAACTCAGAGCTGGCGCTTTGGTGGCACATGGGTCTCGTGCTCACCCTCTGTACAGGGTGGATATCTCCAGGCTAGCTAATTAGTAACAGCAAGCCCTGATTTTAAGAGTTACGCTCAGCTCATCCGCTCTGGGGAGGGAAACATACCATGTGAGCCCAGGGTCCAATCAAAACAGCTTGAATGTCACATTCTTACAACAAACCACTCGCAAACAAGCCACAGACCCTGAACTATTCAGAGACGTGAGCCAGCGTGTCATTTCCCAACAACAAATAAATGCAAGAAAAGCTATGATCCGTTTGCAGACAGGCAACGAACCGAAATTCCACAAATCGAGGATTCTTTAGGGATGACTCAACCAGCTCCAGTTCGGACAACAAAGCTAAGCTGCTCAATTTCACTGTCTCATTCTTATGCGCTAGCCCTGTTCAGTTACGTTTGGGTTTCCAGCCCTGCAGGGACTGGTTAATTCCCCTTACAAAACTGTTTTCATTGACGCAAAAATAACCATGGAAACGTTTCAGGTTTGTATCGTCATTCCCTCGGTTTTAACAAAATCTCAGCTACTTGGCAGGGCCCTTACATCAAACCTGCCAGGGTTGCAGAGGGATGCACTAAGCGACCCAGAACAGCTCCTTCCAACCCAGAAGAACGATGCTATGATTTACCCTTGTAGAGCCCCTATAGTGTCCTTCCTGTACATGCAGGAACCCTGTCAGCTACAGACACACAAAATGACGCCTCTCTGCTGGAATTTAATAGAAATATTCAACTCTTTCTTGGGAAACCTCCAGCCCCTCTGCATGTATCCTCCCCAACACCAGTGCTGCATATTGGCCAAACGTACGAATCACAGAGAAGCCAGCCAGCCAAAGGGCCTTTTTCTGAAATGAGGCATCTTGTTCTGCTTTGGCAAATGATCAGTCTCGAGGGCCTGTGGTGGTGAAGGCCCTATGACTAGATTGATCACACAGACAGGCAGACAGAGAAGTGTCCCCCACCTACAACTGTGTGACTTGTAGCTTGCTAGAGAACAGCAAGCACGCATGGGGCTCGCATTGCTTGGCAATGCTGAAGCTAGGGCATGGGTTTTCAGCGAGGAGGGAACGACTGATTTCCCATGTGCATGTGTCGGTCAGAGGGAAATCCCATTGGATGAACACTTTGGCTTACGTTTTCAAAAGAGACTAGTGATCTTGGGTGCCCAACATGGGCTTGATCTCTACAAAGTCAGGCCCCTTTAAGGTTTCTCATGGTGAACACTTTAAACTCAGCAGTCCCTTTTGAAAGGTGACAACAGTCTAAGTACACTCTGTCCCTGGGACCCCACATGTGGCTCTCAAGAGGAAGAGCATAAGGGGTGGAACATGGCCTTCTCTTCTTGGGCCAACCAGGCTCCTTTTTCCACCCCCTGTGCGTTTGGGGAAGGGTTGTTATTTTTGGTAATAGTGTTGGGAGAGCAGGGTGAGATCAAGGGGACCTTTTGCCTTGGTTCTATTGGTTGTTGGTTGGGGTAGGGTGGCTATTGGTTTGCCTGATTCTACTGGTTGTTGGGTGGGGTGGCTTTTGGTTATTGGTTTGGCCTGGTTCTATTGGTTGTTGGGTGGGGTGGCTACTGGTTATTGGTTTGGCCTGGGTCTATTGGTTGTGGTGGCTATTGGTTTGCCCTGGGTCTATTGGTTGTGGTGGCTATTGGTTTGCCCTGGGTCTATTGGTTGTGGTGGCTATTGGTTTGCCCTGGGTCTATTGGTTGTTGAGTGGGGTGGCTGTCATAACCATACAGCTAAGGGTAGCCTAGAATGCCTCCTTACCTGTAAGGGGTTAAGAAGCTCAAATAACCTGGTTGGCACCTGACCAAAAGGACCAATGGGGAAAGAAGATACTTTCAAATCTTGGGGAGAGGCTTTGTTTTGGTGTGTTCTCTTGGGAAGCAGAGAAGCATCAGGTCAGAAAACTCCTTCTCCTAGAAACCATCCTATAAGTCTCTCATATTACAAAAATTGTAAGTAAAAGCCAGGCAAGGGGTGTTAGATTATCTTTTGTTCTGCTTGTGAATTTTTCCTTTGCTGGAGGGAGGTTTATTCCTGTTTTTTGTAACTTTGAAACTAAGCCTAGAGGAAGTTCTGTTGTGTTTTTGAATCTTTTGTTACCCTGTGAAGTTATTTTCCATCCTGATTTTACAGAGGTGATTTTTACCTTTTTTTAAAAATAAAATCCTTCTTTTAAGAACCTGACTGATTTCTCTATTGTCCTAAGACCCAGGGGTTTGGGTCTGTGATCACTTTGTAACCAATTGGTTAGGATATTATTCTCAAGCCTCCCCAGGAAAGGGGGTGTAAGGGCTTGGGGGGATATTTTGGGGGAATAGGAACTCCAAGTGGTCCTTTCCCTGATTCTTTGTTAAATCACTTGGTGGTGGCAGAATACCGTCCATGGGCAAAGAATTTGTGCCTTGGGGAAGTTTTAACCTAAGCTGGTAGAAATAAGCTTAGGGGTTCTTTCATGTGGGTCCCCACATCTGTACCCTAGAGTTCAGAGTGGGGAGGGAACCCTGACAGTGGCTATTGGTTTGCCCTGGTTCTATTGGTTGTTGGGTGGGGTGGATTTTCAAAAATTCTTCTTCTCTATTAAGATCAAGGCAAGGTCACCATGGCTCTCTTTGGTCATCCCTCTCTCGTTCGACCCTCAGAGGAAGCAGGAGGAGGCAGGGACTGCACTAACGCTCTTGGACACAGACTGCAGTTTTCCGAACTGCAAACGTAGTTTGGGTCACTGGCACAGTCGCAGTCAGGATGAGATTTATCTAGCTCTGCCGGATGACTCAGGACCCGAGGCTCTGGCTGGATCTAGGGGAAAGCGTTGCTGGAGCTGATGCTGGCTGTTACAGTAAATGCACTCTACACACTTGTGCTCTTGTCTTTATGTTTCACCAAGCAACCAAGAGTTAACAGGACGAAAGGAAACAGGCATTTGCTGGACTGAAGAGCAATCCTATCAGCCAGGCAGCGAGTCATTCTGGCTACGTCTGTGCTCTGGATTGCTAGATTTGCACGGTGCCAAATTCTGCCTGACCAAGCAACCTTGCTGGCTTTTGAATGTGGCCTCTGAGAGCAGCTATGGCAGCACAATCCTAGTGCTCTGTCAGGCCGGGGTCTTGCTCGCAGGCTGCTGGTGAGCGGCCCAAGTGATTTCAACGCGTGCAGATGGAACTGCACCCCCTGCTGGAAACACACAACCATTCTGAGGCAGCAAAACCCTTGCATCTCCCAAAGGGACGTCAGATCTCAACAACCCAATGGGACTGTCTCTATCTACTGGCTAGCAGGGATTATACCCAGCTACAGCCAAAGCCCTCAGATGCTATGGTGCTGGATGAGGTATAAATGCAGAGCTGGGCAGACAAACACCTAGACTTGCACAGAAGAGATGGGAGAAAATATCCCCCCTCCCCCCAATTTTCCATGTTATGAGTTTTCTCCCACACCATTAAAATACGTGTGTTCCAAATCAAGGCCTGTGTACAGAGTAGACGTCTCCTCTGCAGCACGGCCTTCAGACTCACACAGGGCCAAATCCCATTCTCAGCGATTCTGGTGTCAATCTGGAACCGTCTCCATTGGCTTCCGATAGTCCAGATTTACACCACACCATTTGGTCCACAACAACTACTGCACATTTCCCTCTAGCATTTGTGAGGGGACAGCAAATGGGGGCGAGGGTGGGAACCCGGCCAATGTTCTGTATGCTCCAACCTTAGCATTTCCTAAAAGCCCTAAGTGTCCCCAGCACATTAAGGGTGTGCTGGAGAATAAGAGTACTTGTGGCACCTTAGAGACTAACAAATTTATTTGAGCATAAGCTTTCGTGAGCTACAGCTCACTTCATTGGATGCTACTGAAGGCATCTGATGAAGTGAGCTGTAGCTCACGAAAGCTTATGCTCAAACAAATTGGTTAGTCTCTAAGGTGCCACAAGTACTCCTTTTCTTTTTGCGGATACAGACTAACACGGCTGCTACTCTGAAACCTGGAGAAAAAGTTACCTTCAGGCTGCCTTGGGGTCGACTCCCTTGTGGATACCGGAGAACCTCGATGCAGATGGCTACTGAACGCCGCCCCGTGGTCCTCATAGGTAAGTGGGCTACGGCGAGGCTTTCCAGGCTCAGGGACAATCACAGGGGCTCCCCTGGTAATTGAACCTCCGGAGTTTGTAACTGGGCTGGGCCTGCTTTTCAGGCTCTCCTCGTAACATGCTCTTTCCAGAGTCCTTGGGTCTTGCATGACGTCCAGCGAGTGCACAGAGTGAAAAGTCCTCCCTGGGCTCCCGATGATCGACAGGACATCATGCTTTTTGGCACTTACTGAGGAAGAGTTGTTGTCGTATTTCAGCGGGGTACCCTGAGGAAACAAGGCAGCGAAGAGGGCATCAGAGTGGGGAAGCGAACGCAGCGGGGCAGAATCAGTGAAGATCACCATTTGCTCTTTCAGGTTGTCACTCACACTGTGTGCTCAGCCTGGGACCCAGGGTGGGATATTCCAAAGCACCGAAGTGACTTGGAAACAAAAGTCCCACTGAAAATCAACAGTGTGTTGATTTGTGTTCTATAAATAGCACTAATACTGTACACAGAACTGCACCGGTGAGACTCAGAACTAGGAGGTAATGCTATTCCACTGGAACGCGTATGGGTGAGTGGAGACTCCTATTCCCATGGGAATCAACATCTCCAGGAGCTACAGCCCAACAGAACATGGCATGTACATGCACATTCCCCATTGTGACAACAGGAAGATGAATCACCATCAATGAGTGTCTATATCCACTGCGCTTCACCCACACACCCCAAAGAAATAAGATACAATCCACAGTCATGAATATTCTAAATGGCTGCTATCGAAACGCTCCATGTATGGTGAGAGTCCAAGCCACGAAACGTGCCCCAAGCACTTGTTCCTCAGTTCCTAAAGCCGGCCCTGCTGGAGGTGACAGACCCTGCTCTTAGTGACACCTACGTAATCCAGAGTCACTCCAACTGACTTCAGTGAGTTCACTTTGGGTTTACACCCATGTAACTGAGAACACAACAGACCCAAGAAGTTTTCATGTGGTGGGTGGGTGTCTCAAAAAAGTGGTTAGAAAGGGGCACTCTTCATTAGAGAGGGGCCAAAACTGGCATCATTCATCTCATCCCACCATCCCAATATTTCATGGTGGGGGGAGGGGAGGAAGAGGAAGGAGGAGATTAAGGGGGTGTCGTGTAGACAGAACCTGCATCTGAAGGCCCCTGGTTTTACAGAACAAAATCTTGACCAATGACATTTTTGCAAAAGCACAACCCTCTCCACTTTTTCCCGTCTCTACAACGGGCTAGCCTAGCTGAGGGAGCTGGATTCTAGCTAGCGTGGCTAACAATAGCAGCCAAGACGGCGCAGCGTGGGCATCACACAAGGCTAGTGAGCCAAGTGCGTATCAGGGTCTGTGTTGGGCTTCTACTATCTGCACTGTACTGTCTTCACTGCAACTGTTACCTGTACCAGCTGGGTTCAAGCTAGCCCGGGGCAGTAACCCAGGCAGCTTTGCTGTGCAGATCAGACCCTTAGTTTAACTAATTAAGTTTGCCAGGAGTCTACACAAGTAATAAGACCACCTTAGTTCTGAGGTTTCACTCATACCCCAGGTACTAAATGATTCAGTTGGGCAATAAGTGAAAGAATCACTTGCAGTGTTTGCTAGGACTTAAAATATCCTCTGGACAACAAACCCCACACAGAATTGCTCTGACAGGTCACCCACGAAGGGGCAGGACATGCAGCGCCCTGGAGATCTTTTCAAGCTCTGTGACACCCTGGGTGTGCACTGGGCCCCTCTGGGGAAAGAGGGCCAAGTATGTGCCAGACTTTAACATATTTCAAAATAGGGGCCAAAGTTCTACGGGAGACACCGCCATGGAGGCCTCTCTTCGGCCCAGTCCGCCAGTGCTTGGGTGCCATCATCCACCTGGAGCCGTATTGATCCCCTTTACCTCACGCAAAGTTACCTGCCCCCCCAAGGAACGCACCTGTGTGATAGATCCTTCCTTCAGAGGCCTTGCTGCCACTGGGATGTCAGGCGTGTGCCTTAACTCTTCCCTGGGAATCTCGTGGATCGATCTTCCCGCTTCCTTCACGGTGGCAACGAGGCCTTCGTGAGCTGCTTTCATTTTCAAGGGAGCGAGGCCCTCGTGAGGCCTGACTTTGTAGGTGTCGGACAAGTCCCTTGGGGGAGTGTTTTCCCTCTTGAGCTGTTTGGCTTCTCTTCTGAGGTAGTCCTCGTGGCCCTCCACATAGGATCGCGGGATTCCTGCAGCCCCCCCAAGAAGGTAATGCACCAGCGTGATTCTCCAAAGAAGCAGGGTCATGCAAACTGAATGATGTTTACGGCCCCTATACAGGCTGAGGGCCATGGGGGTTTGATGGAGTTCCTATGCAAAGCCACTACAAAGCCTGGGCAACCCAACTGATTCTGCAAAGCCCCAACTGCCTTGCCGTATGGGGTCTTAAAGACCAAGAGTGGGATTTTTCAGAAACGGTCTGCGTTGGCTCAGCTCTGCTCTCAGTGAGCTCCCCAATGGGAATTTTACCAGTGACTTAAACGAGAGCAGAGTGAGGCCAATGTCATAGGCTCACTTCTGAAAATCTCACCCTCGCCGTGCAGCAGATATGATGATGATGATGATGAATACCTAGCTCTTGCCTATCCCTCTGCATCATTAGATCTCAAAACACTTGACAAAGGAGGTCAGGATCATTATCCCCATTTTAAAATGGGGAAACTGAGGCCCAGAGCAGGGAAGTAACTTGCCCACGGTCGCTCAGCAGGCCAGTGGCAAAGCTGGAAGTCAACCTCAAGTCTCCTGAGTCCCTGTCCAGTGCTCTACCCACTAGGACTCTCTGCTTCTCCAGTCGCTGTCTAGGTCTGCAATGTGACTGCAGAACCAGTGGGACAACTCAGTACTTAGTTCCTTCCGCGCTAATTGCATCCAGAGTTAATTGATAGTGCTGAGCTGCACATGAGGAAAAGTCACAAATCATGGCCTACCCTCCCGCATATACACTTCCTGATGTGGATACTTGCCAGTATTACCTTGTGTAATTGAGCCCCGAATATGATGCTGTTCCTTTAAGTTATGGGGACTGTGTCTGTCGGGTGGGATCGCTCGACCCATTAGACCTAGAATAGGCCAAAGAGAACAGTCAGAAAGTAGCAAGACTGCTGACATTTTCATTATACTTTAAAGGGACACTGACAAGAGAGAAATCACCTAATTTTTAAAAGTTTTCTCCAGTAATAGCACCACCTGGGATTAATACAACAATGCTTTCTAAATAGCTAGTTTACTTTTCTCCTTTTGAACTACTTGTTTGCTTCTTGTACTTGGGGGACCAAAAGGCCAGACTGGTCAGTTTCACTTTCTTGGTTTCCTACTATTGCTGTCCTGTTTGGATTCAAAACCCTGCAAGGGAAGGTTTTGGGTTAAAAAAGCATTTGCAGGTCCAGAATGATCATCTTCCCTGAAAGTTTTTCCTGAGACGCGTGTAAGTCAGTAACACCCAAAGCATATGGATAGATGCCAACACCTCCAAGAAAAATATGATTCATCTGCCCATTAGATAGCAATTAGAGAATTGTAACTTCAAAACCGCATCCCTTCCTGCTTTATAAATCAGAAACCCACTTTGCCCCTTCTCCCGCAACATTTCTGTGTAACTTTTTCCTGCTTTTAGTTCCACGTGGGTCTAGAGAGAATGAAGATGCCACTATTAAAATATATAAGCTCTACAGATAAACTAGATACTCGGATCCCAATCCAACAAACACTGTACCACTTGTAAGGAGCCCCAATGAGATCAGAGGTTTCACATGCATAGTCACTATTATTATGGTTATTTATTATTTTATTACAGTACGGCCTAGGAGCCTCAACCATGGACCAGTAACCCATTGTGCTAGGCGCTGTACAAACACACAACAAAAAGACGGGCCCTGTCCCAAAGAGCTTACGATCTTATATGTGCAGAGTTAGCTGGCTCTGATGCTGGGTTCTCTTGGTAATGGGGCCAGAAAAAATTTCTACTAAATATTAGTGTTAGGATTTGTAAAACCTTTTTTAGGGCTTATTTTAAGCAAAACCTTTTGCAGCTAGAATTATCTGCTCAAGTCCCTTCAACAGTTACAGTTGTGACCTTCAATGGGAGCTATGTGCCTGTCAACCACTGAAAATCGCAGCCTGTATCTCTAGTTTAGAACAATTTGGCCATTTCTGTGCAGAGCACAAAGCACTGGTGTTGAGGAGGATGGATGAATTAAGACTCATTTTCCTGGGAAGGCCTGTAAGTTCTCACTGTATTGATAGATCCAGAAGAGAGAGATGGCTGTCACTCTCTCTCACACACACATACACACACGCAAGCAAGCAGCAAAACGTGTACTTTCGGTCTGGATGTCTTATTTTAGATGAAGGAAAACATGAGCCAGAAGGTGCTGCGGGGGAGCGCATAGCCACCTGCATCTCCTCTAAAACAGGCTGCTGCCACTCCTGAAACAGAAGGGCTGCTGTCGGCAGACGGGGAGAGTTCTCAGAATGCGAAAGATGCTGCACACTTTCTGCCCCAGAGTTTGACTCCTGACACGGCACGACTGAAAGGTTTCCCCAAACCAACCTTCAATGCTAGTGGATGACAAATCGCGAGCCGGTAAACCCCGGCTGATCCTCCCCTCCATCATATCGTAGGTCCGTTTGGTACCAGCGGTCTCATGAGAAGCGCCAGCACTTCTGCTGTCCTCCTTGGGGCACTGGGAAACACCGACTCCACCTAGGAAATAAAAGGAGATGAAGAAACAAAAGCAGCATGAAGAAGGGGGAGTGAGCGAGCGAGGTTGTTTACTGTCATTCGCATGTCCACTAAAGGCTCACTCCCACAGGATTGAGTCCTGCAATTCAGTTTGCACTCAGCAGGCTTTGTCGGCATTACACCATGCTGCTGGGTTCCAGGAAATTCAGCCTCTCTCTCTCCACCCTGCCCGCCTCGGATTCCAAATTCCATGGCCTCATGTTTGGGCAAGAGCATACGTCTTTTCCACTATCCAGACACAGCCTGCGAGACATTATGGAGCAAATTCAGCTCTGAAGCTCCAAGCAGCTGGAACTCCCACTGAAATTAGCCCAGTGGCGCTGTTTCCTGAATACACCTACTGTTTGTGATCTTGTCCAGTCTGCCTAACAGACACTTTGAGACATTCCCCAGATGATAAAAGCAGACAAAGAGGAAGAAGTAAAGCAGAAAAATCTTTAACATCAAACCTAGCATAAAGAACATTCACATTATTCTAATCAGAACGAAGAGACGGACAAACCACACAAAAACAAAGGAGGATGTGAAAAATCCAATTCAGCACAATAGTGGCTGGTGGATAAAGTACAGTATCAAGCCACAGAACTAAATTAAGCCTCAACTACTAGTTCCTCCTCCAATCTAAAATAGATTTTCATGCAGAACTATGGAAATTCAAGATAGGCAAGACCTACTGTGCTATTAAACCCATCTCTCTGCCAAGGCAGTACTGCCTGCTACAGCTCTGTTGCACCTATATTCTATATTTCCAAGTGATGGGGCTCTCCCCTTTTCCCTCGGAAGTCTGTTCTACAGCCTGAAAAAAAAAAATCACCATTGGATTTAACACCAGCAAATCCATCCTGCTGCCACATTCTTATTCCCTGCATAATGCAGCCCACCCCATGAAATTTACAAGGCAGTTTATGACACAGCTGAAAGCCCAAGGTTTATGTAACAAGCTCCAAGCTCCGCAATTGGCTCGCACAAGATAAACTCGTTGCCTGTTATCCCTGGACTAGTCTATCCTGCCAAGGAATGCTGGTGTCCTGATCCTCTTCTTTCACATATACCATATCTAGGATTACACAGTTATAGAAAACACCGGAGAAGTTCAAAACATTTGTTTGTTCCCCGAGAGTTTGGGAACAAAAGTTCTCTTCTGTGATGCTAGTAATGAATAAAACGGGATTATTACGATACAACCCCCACTACCAGTTTCTGCAGTCACCATACAATCAAACCGAAAAGGGCTTGGGGAAAGATTCTGGGAAACAGAAAGTGAATCTCTGTCTCCCTCTTGGCTTCAGACTCATTTGACGTGAAAACTCAGCAGCTGATGTCTAGAAACAGCCAGGCATCTTGAGACACATGAAGGGGGTAATGTTGCTGCATCCTGTTATCAAGGAACATCTGTTCTAAATAGCTCTTCTGCAAAAGAAACGCCATCCCCTGTTCTCTTTGTTTCATGTGTTTGGGGGGGAGGGAATAGAGAGATTAAAAAGAAAGAAAATTGCTCAGAAAACATGTCCCTTGCTCACAGAAACCATTAGCAATCACATGCAGAATGAGAATAACCAATCTAGCACAATTCATCTTGCATACGCTACAGGATTTTGTCTCATTAGAGCCCTTTTATTTGTAAGTACCCTCATGGCACTACAGAACTTGCAGTTTTTTCCCCCCTGCTTGCCAGAACTCATAATCACTAACGATTTAATTTAATTTAATTTTTTTAACTCATTCGCTACTGCATTTGAAACCGTCCCAGAAGTATCTAGGGGAAAGGAGATGATCAGGATATTAGGGATCAAATCATCTTGTCTTGCAGGTCCAGAGAGGAGAGGAAAATCAACCAGATACACGAATCCAGTTACTCTGCCTAGGGCCCCTCTTAGTCAATTGTTACTGACTATTCTTATGTACAGGTAGAGGGAGAGGTGGCCTAAAAATCTAATGCACAAAGAGAGACTGGTGGAGAAAGTACAAAAGTGAATTAAATTAAGCCTCAAACCCTAGCTCCTCTTCTCACCTTAAATAGATTTTCATGCAGAATCAGAGATAGGCAAGACCTATTGGATTATATATGGAACCTATCTCTTTGACAATGCAGGACTGCTTGCTACAGTTTATGTTCCAGGTCTGCGCATGGGATCAAAACAGTGAAAACTCCTGGAGGTTCATTTCAGTTCTCACTCCCCCTGTGGCCTTGGGTGAATCAGTCAGCTCCATTGCCCCGTAGATAATGATGTGAACCTCCCTTCCCCATGTTCTTATTATTGTTTGTATTATGGTAGCGCCAAGAGGCTCCAGCCGAAATCAAGGTCTCACCCTCAGAGCATGGGACAATCCCTGCCCTGAATGGCTGTCAAGCCACACAGATGGATGGTGGGGTGGGAAACTGAGGCACAGAGTGATTCTGTGACTTGTTCAAGGTCATGCAGCAGGTCTGGGAATAGAATCCAGATCTCATGAATCCAAGTTCAGGGCCCCAGCCACTAGAACATGCAGCCTCCACGGGTTGGGTGTTTGAATGAACGCTCTGAGGGGTAAGAAGTATCGTCATTATCCTTATAAATGTAGCGTCACGTGAAGTCCATGCACAAGCAGGCCCAGCAGCCCTGGGGTTCAGTGGGAGGCGAGCACATGGAGCGTGAACTATATGGAATTTGATTCACATCCATTATTTGTGGTTCATTCTCTCCATTTGGTAATCCCCCCGTGTCCGATTAACAGCTCGGAGAGCTAATGCAAGGATTGGAGTTGTTTATTCTTTAAACCAGAATTTGGCCTGGGAGAGGAGCTCTGGCTTTTCTCCCACCGTGGCGTGATTTTTAAGATCAACTATTTGATCCAGAGTGCTGGCTAAAGAGAACCAGTTGCTTCTTGTGAAGACAGCTTGGAAACAATTCCTGGTGTGGTTTTCTGGTACTGATTCTGCCAGCTACCCTTGAGGCTACACCAATCCCAGCTGGGGCAAAGTTAACAACCGAAAGGGAGAGGAATGAAGATTTGCTCTGCATGCGGTGCCCGGTGGGCACTGCAGAAAATGCTCCTCAAACCCAGCACAGGAAGGTCACTGCAACACAAGACTGTGTCACAGGGGTGGCTCCGAGCCTAAATGCATGAGCTGTCCGTTATGGTAGGATTTTAACCCTTTTGCAGTAGGCCCAGGGCTCCGTGCCTGTCATGCAATGGTCCCGCTGTTCGCGGTGAAGCCAAGGGAGCTCTGGGAGGTATGGGAACTAAATCCCAGTGGGGCAGGCTATGTTTTTGCATTCTGATCCACACATCTGTAAGTTGCGTGCAAAGTGCCTGGAAATCTGACTATCAGCAACAGAGTGGGGGTGGGTGAGTGCTGACCCTGGCAGAAAAGCTGCCCCTGACAGGGGGGTGCTGACCCCAAGCGGGCCCATCCTGAGCCTGTGCTCTTTTCCTCCAACAGCTTGAGTGACTGGAGAGCCCCGCTCCGTCAGTGGACACGCCAGCACCGCCCCCCCCCCCCGCCCCGCAAGTGTACCACAGAAAACCAAGCGACCAGCTCTGGAATGGAACTGAGTTACAGCTTGTGGGCCAAGACTGTAGCCTGTCTTTTCAGACTCTCCCCTCCTGTTTCTGCTTCCAACACAGAGACCCCCACTCAGACACCCCCCTGCAACAACGCCCCATCCCTCCCTACAAGCCCCACCAGCAGCCCACATAAAGGAACCCTCACCTGGGGGCAGGAGGGAGGGGCAGCGGCTCCCCATGGCAGCGATGAGTGGCAGAGAAAGAGCCAACCCCAGCACATTCTCTCTGGTGGCTCCTTCCTCAGTCTGAGAATATGGCAAGTGTTCCCAGCCCTGTGCTCTAACACTAAATCTTCCCACTGGTAGCCAAAGCGCCTCCCCCACCCCACCTCTTGGCTTCATTTTGTTGTCAGGCAGGCCACAGTGGCGAGAGAAAGATGAGCACCGAAGGCCGTTGCTCTCTGGAGAGGGATGTGAGCTGTGGGGGTGTGACACAGCAGCAGATCTGAAAGATAGACAGCGAGACGGGCGGGTATATCCGAGATTAGGATCTGGTCCTTAGTCATCTCTGCCTTACACTCAGAGCAGAAGCAATGCAGCCCTGTAAGACAGTCACTCATGCTCCTCGTGCGCGTTCTGGCCAGGCACCAAAATGCTCCTGCTTCGCACTGGGCCGGGTTACCAAGCCTCCTGGGATCCAAGAGGCCAAGGGTGGCAGTCTCTCTAAAACGGCATCCTCTGCTTCCAGACTCAATGGGGCACGGACATCTCTCAAAACGGCTGCTGGGCTGCACGTGCCCGGCCCCAAAAGCTTGGGGAAGAGCAGTGGGCAATGAAAGGCTTGTATGGAGGAGTCGCTCATAAGCTTCACTGGAAACAAACCTCTGCTCATCGCTCATGGAAGCAAACTGAGCTTCTGAGCAAACTGTCAGCTGATTTTAGGGCCATCCAGTGCGCAGGCTTGGGGAAGGAGATAATAGCTGGTTACTGAGTTAACACAGAGAGCACCTCTGCACTCAACAAAGAAGTGCTGTGACCTATGCAGGGTTGTTGGGGGTTGGGTAGATGCCCCGGGCTGGCAGTATCATCTAATGGCGATACTCTGGCATGGAATGCCTACTGGCAAGAGTTCAAAGCCCAGGGGAATGTTGTCCACTGGTGAGAGACCAAGGGGCCGCTTTACAGCGGGGGTATCAGAGGCAGTGTCACCGAGCTGTGAGCGTGGGGAGGAATAGCTGGGCCCACCCTACTCCACCTAGTTCCAACCCAGGGCCCTTCAAAACAGGGTACCCTGGCACAGGGCTCAGGTCCAAATACCCCCAAGCATGTTCCCTAGGTTGCTGCCTACCCTCATCCCAGTCCCTCTGGTGTTGTCTCCAGGGTTGGACATGGGGTCCCTCTTGCGTCCCTTCCGCTCTGTCTCTAGCAGTTCCTCGGCCGGTAACAGTGAGTCGCCCCCTTCGGTTCCCATGAACGACTGGCTTCCCGCGGTGCAGCTAGGAGGCGGCAGGAGGCTGCTGTCCACGAGTGCTCTGCTGGGTCAGCCCAGACTGAACTGAGCTGCTCCCTTCAGAACGCTCCCTCCACTGGGGGCATGCCAGCTAAGGTGAAGGGCCGTGGCCTCTTGGGCCCCAAACTGCTCTTTAACCCTTGCTTCGCCAGCGTGGGATTGGCACACCTGTCACAGGGGTGCGGGTTGGAAATGTTGCGTTTCTTGACACCATGAAGACTATCTTATATTTTAAGGGAGGGGAAGAGCCTCCCTGCCTATGTTGCTGTAACACCCCGGAGATTAGTCGAACAACAGGCTGGACTTCCCACCAGGCGCACGGACGGCTCCTTTCAGGCATTCTTCTCAGCCTGGACACCGATGCCAGCTTGGGAGCTGCCCCGGCGTAGTTTACCGACAGCGTCACGTCTCAGAAGCGAGGCTCCCATGCTCGGGGTCACAGCACTGCCGGGAAAGGGTCAGGGGAAAGCGGAAGGCACTTCTAAGTGGCAGTGGAAAAGTCAGGCAGGGTATTCACAGCAGGTTCAGCAAAACCCTTTATCACGGCACCAAACCGAACTGCCGGAGCTATCTCCCTTGGCAGTGTCCCGGTAACCCAAAGGGACACTGGCAGCGATGCTAGCAAGCTGGAGATGAGAATGGAGCTTGGAGACTCGCTGAGACGCAATGCTGCGTCTGTGTCCTCCATGCTCTAAAAGGGGCTGGGGCTCCCCTTCTGCTGGCGTGCTCTTCAGAGCAAACACGTGCAGTGACCCATAGGACTCACCCAGCCCTGGCAGGCCCCAAGAGCAGCAACGCTTCCTCTGTCTGTTCTACACAAGCGGGTCGCACTGAGACAGCAGTCTCCGTGTGAGCCACATCCCTGGCTGACCGTGGGTGGGGGCTGGGTTTAATAACAACGAGGAGGAGGGGGCCACCAAGGAACGGGTCCATCGCGGCTGTCTCTGGTGCAGGTGCCTGTGTGCGTCTATGAAAGAACCCCACGGTGCAAGAGATGGAGCACTTGGGGAAGTCAAAGGAAGCAACAGGGGGAAAGGGGACAAGATGGAAGCGCTGGGAGAAGGGGAATACAGCTCCATCCATTCCAACATGGACGCCCTGGGGGACAGGGAGTGCATCTCATTCCATTCCAAGTGCACAGGGCCCCACTTGACCTCCGCCTTGCGTTCAGCTGGGGCTCATCGAACACGCTGACTCAACACCAGCGATTCTGACTGCTATTTAGCAGCAAGGTTTCCGTGGGCTGACGAGGAGCCCTGTGGCTTCTTATGCACGGCATGAGGATCACAAAGGGGCCGCCCTGCAGCGTAGACATAAAAACCACTGCCAAACATCCCTGGCATCAGCACAGCTGCATCGCATTGCCACGCTGAGCTGAGCCTGGGTGCAAGGCCCAGACGTGCTGCAGCTTGGCCACGTCAGTGTTAAGCAGCAGCAACCTAGTCACCGGTGCTAAGCACAACCTGGGAGTAAGAGGTTGCCATTCCCCTGGCTACAGAACAGGGGAGAATACTAAGGGATCCCAGCTGAGGAGCTCCAAGCACTACATGAACGTTATCCTTAACTGCACCAGGCTCACAGCACCCTGGGAAATGGGCATTATCCTCACTGTACAGCGGGGGAAACTGACGCTCCATGTTAAGGGTCTAGTGAAGGCGGCTACAGGGCAGCCCTACATTGGAAGGGGGTGTTGTTTAGTGCCCAAGTGGGAGATCTTATACTCCAGCCAATCTTTCAGCTGTGTGGTGGGATGTGTGTTTGCTGGGTCCTCCCAACGACACCTGTTCCCCAGGTGCAACCTCCCAGGGCTGGGCAGGAGCCAGCACCTAACTGCCCCTCTGGCCTGACTCATCCAGATGGCAATCAGCCAAACTACAGCTGCTTCCTGTATTAGGGGCAGAGCTAGAGGCTCCACACACCTGCCTGCCCTTTGGCCCTGTGAGAGTTACCTGAAATGCCACGGCAGGTCAGGATCAAAGTGGAGGATGGAACCCAGAGTCCTGACTCCCAGCCCTGTGCTCTAACCACTAGGCAGGACTCCGGTGGTCAAAATCAGGGTGGCGGGAGGGGAGCGGGCAGGGTCTGAAGGTAGAGTTAGGACATGATAAGAGATGCCCCTTTGCTCAGACCCCAGCTGCCTGGCAGCCCCCTTAAAGCATTCTCTGCTCGACATGGGGAGCCAGGGGCATGATGGAGTTTGCCACAGACCCCAAGTTTCATGGAAAGGCCGCAGCTCCCATGGGTCTGACCTGACACCTGCAAATCCAGCTGGAAGGGCAACCGAAGGGTCCCCATTTACTGCAGGGCTGGCAACGCTGTACAGCCCTGCCGCTGCATGCTCCCATGGCGATGTCAGCTCAGTGCAAGGTGCAGCGTGCGGGGAGGCCGTGACATTGGGCCACAGGGCTTTCAACACTGTCACCTTGCCCTGGAGGGGGGTGATCCTCAGTGGGAGAGATTTCCCCTGGGCCAGGACGGGCCCTGCTTTTTCTGCTTTCCACATCTAAGGGAATGTTCACCTTAGGGGCCTTCAGAGGTGCAATGGCCTCATGTGGGCACACGGGAACTTAAGCCCTAGAGTCTGACGCCTTCAGAGACTCCCCCGAAGGTGCAGTTTCATACCCACTGGTGGGCACGCTGCCCTCTATCCCAGGACTGGCGTGCGCAGGCTGAGGGCATTAAGCAACCCACAACATGGTTTCATTCGACCCAGCGGGAAGAAGGAGAGAAGTTACCTTCTGCGCAAGGAGAGCGGCGTCCTGCAGATGCTCTCCCCTCAGATTCACTAAGCCAACTGCAAGTGCACCAGTGTGATCACTGATACACAGCAGTCCCTCGGTGGCCCCAACCGAGATCAGGGCCCCATTGTGCAAGGCTCTAATGTAGAATTGGATGAGATTCCAGAGAGCTTACAGTCTAAATGTGCTGCCCTCCGTACACGTGGGGCTCTCCTACTGACACCAGAGGCTCTCCCTGCTGAATCAAGCAGCGTGCCACAGGCCAGATCTGCTGTGTGCATCAAAGAAGAAAATCTGGCCCTTGGATAAGACCTCAAAAATCAGGAACAGGGAGAAAATTACTCTGGAACTAGAAACAGGATACAGGCAAGATACGCTTTGCAATGTTTTCCCAAACAAACATTCTAGCTCCCAAACATTAGTGCATGAACCTGATGCTCTCCCCCGCCCCCCAAAAACCCCAGAGAGGATTCCAGCTTACCATCATAGGAGAGCACATGGCCCTTCTTCCCTTCGTAGATGACATGTCCTTTGGGCAAGGCATCCTCTCTCACCTTCTCTGCTCTGCCGGGGCTGTCTTCTCCGATTAGTCTGGTAATGGTTCCTTTATACAGCACTTCAGCTGGGGTGCCCTTGGAAAGCCACCAAGATCCATATTTAACAGTGCCACAAGCAATCAAGGAAGAAAGCTCTCATCCCCACAGGAACACACTGCTCCAAAGGAGAGGCAGAGCAAAGGAGGGAGCACAGCTGAACTCTGCTTCCTGTCAGGGCCAATAGCGAGAAATCTGCAGCTTAATTATTGATAAGGACACTATTGCTGAGCGGTAAAAGGTACGTGATCTGTGTAAAGTTGCTGGGAAGAGACAGGGGCGAGTGCCAGGCAGAGATGACAGGCCTTGCATTCAACGGGTGTAAAGAGACGGAGCGAGCCTGGCTTTCATTACATACAATTACAGAGCAGCTCAGGCTCCTCCACCATTGGGCAAAGCAGGAATGGAAACACCAAACCACGCTGCCCGCTCCGTCCGCGCTGCGCTTTTCAAAGTCAACTATCTGGTTGCTTTCCATCCCACTGGATCGAAGGGACAGACACACTTACAGCTCTGCCTTCCCTGGGGACGTCTTAGTCATGGCCAACACGACTTAAGTCTTTTTCTTTCCCTTGGGACTACTGTCATTGCAAACTATTTTCTCTGACTAATATCACGGGGCACAACTGGTCACAGAAATGTTGACGTTCAAAAGGGCCATGCAATCAAGCAGTCTGGGCCCAAAATGCCGGACCATTTGTCATTCCATCACACCAGCTTTATAGACTCGAACCGGGGTTACTGGTGGAGCAGAGCAAAGAGTCAGGTCCGTAGCTTTGCTTTTAAATAAAAAGAAGGGAGCAGCTGCTTATGCAAACTCATCCTTCTCCATCGCTTTCTTCAAAACATCCATGGAAACAGCCCAGGCCTGAGATTTGGAAAGGCATTTGGACACCCAATTCCCAGCAGAAATAATGGAAAGCAGGTGTCCAAATCCCCAAGGAAGCCTTGAATATCCTCCTTCCACCCTTTTCATCATTCAAGGTTGTTCTGGGTTTGCAAGCTGCTCACAAGAGTTGGTGCAGGAGGGAAACTGACCAGCTTCATTTCATGATTCAAGCCAGAGCAAGATGCAAGAAACAATCAAACAGCCATAAGGGTGAAATGTAAATTAGGAATACAGGGAAGCTCCCTCCCTCCACTCCTCCACTTGTAAGTGAAATTCACCCCGGGGGCAGAGAGCTGGCACCAGCGACCTTCAAGTCCCACTTAAAGGGTTCAGGTGCCCAGGCCTTGCGCTGGCTCTCTGCACAAGGGGGAAATTTGCTTTGTACGAATGCTGCCATGGCCAGAGCCAGGGATCTAGCTGCAGCGAATTTATCCCTTTTTTCTATCTGTGAATTATCTGTCAACAGACTGAGATTTTGACCTCATTTATTTACTTGGAATTATTTGATGAACGTCTTACTGGAACAAATTTCAGCCTTAAGGGGTGCTTGTAAATTATTTACTGGGGTGCAGTTATATCAGTATAAATGTGCCTTATATTGGTACGACTTATTCCCCTGCGCGTATGGTAATAGCTACACTGATATAAAGCCTCTTTATACTGGTATAACTGAGTCCACACTCAGGCGTGTATTGCTTTATCTATACAACATGTGTGTATGTGTGGACAAGTTCTGTTTATACGCTGGCCTCTTTCCTGATTTACCAAGCTGCCATCCTAGTGCCTGCTTTCTTCTGGAGCACACGGGATGGAGTCAGCGTGGTAACAATCCCCCATCGCGGGTGCCCTAGCAGCCTAGCGATCCATGTATTGGGGGGGTGGGGGGGCAAGGGAGGGAATCAGAATCGACTTGCATCCTGCTGTTCAAAGCTAAAAATCCAAACGACAGTCACGCTATCTGAACAGGCCACACTGAATGCTACCCCATGTCTGTACTGCTGTACGGGGTGAATAAGGAACCTGATTCTAAATGTCAGCACTTCAGCATGGTGGTGTTTGGAGGTTACTCCAATATGTCAGGACAGGATGTCCCCCCCATCCCCACCCCGAACCCCTCCGTTCAATGGGTCTCTGCTTCTTTGTAAGCAGTCAGACCAGCAGTCACTAAGCTGCTTGCTGCAGAGACTGGATGGGACATGTCAATGTGCAGGTTTCAATGCCCTGATTGTTCGCTCTGACACAGGCTCACAGAAACACTCAGCACTGGCTTTCCCAGTCAGTGCCAGGTAAGTTTCCTTCCCGCAATGGACGTGTTTGCAGGGGGTTTGAAAGCGAGCGATGACAGACGGCTTGGGAGCAGAGTGTACCCTATTCAAGATCTGTCTTCTGGGTGAGTAATCTGACATCATGTCTCAGCCACAGCGCTGGGAGCTGCGACAAGAATCGGGGGCGCTGCGCTTCCCTGTCAGGAGACTGCGCAGGATGCCGCGCAGGATGCCACGCCGAGGGGCATCACGGGCACTGCTCAGAGGAGAGGTCAGAGCTCTTTGGCCTGCAGGGTAGAGCCATCACACACACTGCAAACACGTGACAGCTGCTCTGAGAGCTACTTTACCATTGAATCAAACCCAAGGGGCAGCCTCACTTCCTGCTGCTACTTTATTTTTAAGACGAATACAGGAATTCTAATGTCAGTTAACTAGCTGGCTTTGAAACAGCGTTTGGTCAGATCATGCCCTAGATCGGACGTCTCTTAGATCTATTGCAGAACCTACTAGCCAGCGCTTTCCCTCCCACCCCCCATAGCTCTTCCAGGGGCAGGGCAGTGTATCTTCCCTTTTTGAAACCACCCAGAAAACAGAAAAAAATCTCAGTGCTTATAAGTGGCTTTAAAGAGCTGAATGATGGCCAGATAAAAATCCCCAAGGGAAACAGATTGTTTTTAGGCTTTCCACTCAGCACTGAGCAATAACTCACGCCGCTGAACTATCCCCCACTTGGCAGCTGCTCTTCTGAAGATGGATGATAAATGATTAAAGGCAGAGTGCCTTCCTACTGTGCTCAGGACAGCCCTTCGGGCAGGGCCCAGAGAACACCCTGCTACAGCCGTGGAAGGAGACTTACTGCACTGATTCCTCAACTTCATCACCCCACTGGGGTGAGGGATTGGTCCTGCTGTGAGCAGGGGGCTGGACTAGATGACCTCCTGAGGTCCCTTCCAACCCTGAGATTCGATGATATGATTCTAGGATTCCCTTTAGCTGGCTTGGTCACCCCCCCTCCTCTGGCCCACCCACCAGCTTACTGTTCTTTTCCATTTCCTTGGCCTGCTACACAGCGCGCCAGCAAGATTAAAACCCCAGCTAACCCCCGCCCGAGCCTGGGTTCATGAGCGCAACTGGCATGGGTGAAGGGAGTTTCAAATGCAATGCCCCTTTCACCACTGGTGAGGTCTGTTTACTTCTGCTTTTCACCAGTCTTGGTGAACGGAACGAACCTGATCTTGGGCGTACTCTTCCGCCACAGATCGCTCCTCCGCCCTGCCCTGCAGCCCTTGGACCCCGAAGCCCCCACCTCTCCTGCTGGCCCACCTGTGCAGATGGGGAGGCAACCTGGGTGGGGCTGCTCTGCTAGGAGGCGGTGGAGGCACCAACCCACTCGCCCCACCAGGATCTGAACTCAGCTCTGCAGAGCTGATAGGCCAGAGCAGTTACCCACCGGGTCCGCCGGTCCGCCCCAGGGCAATTCAAGGGTTTACACCCTCTTTGCCTAGTCCTCTGAAATGCCTCCTGATGGGTCTGCCAGGAGGGGGTGCTCTGATGTCCCCTCCAAGTAACAACAAATTGCGATCATTTCTATGCACTCCAGGAGAGGGTCTGCTCTGACAGCAACTGTTCCTTCCCGGCCCACGTTACAAACCAGCTGAGATCCCCCCCAAGCCGTTAAGAGAAGAAACTTACATGCGTGATGGATCCCCGATAGGTAATGGGCGATTCCGACCGAGGCCTGGTGCCGGGGAGCCCCTTGCTGATGCTCCCTCCTGGGGTTGAGCCCAGCGATGCCCCTGTAAGTCACAACAAAGCAAGCGGGATTAGGTTGCTGAGATTTAGCTTGGGGGCTGCCTTGAGTTGGTTCCTATTTTATCTGCTTCGGTCCTGAGCCAACCCAGTGAACTTTCTGAATTTGGCTGAATTAATCGGGTGTTTACGAGAGACAAGAACGTACAGCTAAAACAGAGTTTTGTGCCTTTTTTTTGCACTGCAGAAAGGGGCTTGGATTTAAAAATGAAACGCTCTCTCTGTCTATCCCCAACACGCACTCATGATTTTGGAGAGCGAGGTTCAGAATGTAATCAGTGCCATTTTATTCGCAGCTGCTTTGCTTTCTTCATTAGCAGACTGCCCTTCAAAACGAACCAGGACAAATCCCTTCTCCTCAAAAGCTGGACAGAAGTTTGCGGGCTCAGATTTTTAAAAGGGGCTAGTGATTTCAGGGGCCCAGCGTCCGGCACTTGGAAGACTGGCTCATCTGTCCACTGAAACTCAGGCACTCTTAACGTGTCTCACGTTGGGTAGCAGAAGCTAACGTGTCGCCAAAACAACGAGTCACTTTTGAAGAGCTTGGCCCGGGTTGATCCCCTTCCACCTCCTGAGCAGCCTCCCCGAGAGGCGCCTGGTTTCCACTGATCATCACAGCTGCCCTGCTATGTGCTTACCCCTCAGGATGGAGCTCTCTTGGGATGTCTGCAGTACCAGACTTTCAGGCTGGCTGGCCTGGCTTCTAGGAGAAAGTTGTTCCTGCTTTACTCCAGGAAAAGGCACTAGAAAACATTAATCATACATGACAACGTTTGCACCGGTCACCACCAGACAGCTCTTGTCCTGAATTGCTCTCTTGCCTTTTTTATTTTGCTTAGTCTTTAATTTTGTCTTGCTTTATATTCACAGTTGCTGAAAGAGACAGGTCTTAAATAACCTAGGTCCCCATGCAGCTGCTGCTGCTTCTGAGTAGCAGATTACACAACTCCAGAGGATAAAGGAAAACTCAAATTGCCCGTATCCCCTCTGCAAGGGCATTGTTCAAGGTCTCCTGGCGGGCAAGACAGCAGGGGTTCCTGAAATCCACTCCTGCACGGCGCTGCACCCCCAGCCCTGCAGCAGGACCAGAGTCAAATATACAGACCGGGGCTGGATTTAATGCCATGACTGCGTTTGTAAATGGGCTAAATAATTTTAAATCCACTGATAACTGTAGCTATGCAAACTCAGAGAAGAGTTCTCAGATCCTGGCTACAGGACTTCAGTGGATCACCCAGAAATTTCCCACCCTTTGCATAGCACTGGGCAATTGGAACTATGTGGACTGAAAGCGCAGCTGTCTTCAAGTTGACCACTGCCACAGGTGGGAGGCTGGAGCTGATGGACTAATTGTCCGACCTGCTATGGTCAGCCTGATGTTCTTAAGAGCTGAGGGACAATAACCCATCTCCTGAAACACACAGTTCAGAGCAGCCAGGAAACAACCCTGAAGGGTGACAAGCCGACTGCAGAATCCGCTCAAGAGGAAGAGAGCTGGGAATAGCCTCTAGTGCTGTGCAGGCTCACGGAGCACACTCCCTGCTGGTTTAGCCCATGGCCTTCTCCGCTCTATGCATTGCTGGGCCCAGGCCTTCTCCCTTAGGACTTTACTCTCTGGCTCTTACGAGATGTTTCCCAGTCTGCAAACTGAACATTTTCCTCTCTCGCTTCAGACCATTTACTGTTTATCCCACCAGCTGTGGCGAATGTCAATAAGTTTCCTTCCATCAATCACAGTTAGCTGGAAAGTATTTTTAGTCCGGGATCACGTCCCTGACCGAGTCTTCTATTTTCCTAGACTGTAGGAATTTCGCTCCCTCTGCCTCTCCTCTTATGCTCAGTTAATCCTTTTAGTGGTTTTGATTCCCTTTGTATTTGCTCTTTTACTATAGTTCCTCCTTTAACGGTGGGGGCCAATATGGCACAGACTACCCCATGTGCAATTCCCCCAGGACCAAGCAGAGTAGCATCACTCCACCCCAGATTGGCATCTCTCTCTCTCTCTATAAGACATACAGCCGCACACAGTGAGATTCTGTTGGCTTTTCCCCAGCAGCCTGGCACTAGGTGTTTGTGTGTCGTTCGTTGATCCCTTTCTCGAAGGTGGTTTTTGTACACAGCCATTCCCTGGGATATATCTGAGCTGTTCATGTCCTCCCTCGGTGCATAGCTATCACTGACTCATCTCACACCAAGCAGGCTCTCTCCTCATGTGTGTTACACACCCTCCTAGCTAACTCCATCATAGTTGAGTTCACTTTTCTCTTGATTGATCAAAATATATCAAACCTCATGAATGCCTATGACAGACCCCCACCCCCAACCAGTGCTCCTCACTTTGGGGCCTTGTTATTCCTCGTCATTAATTAATTCTTAACCCATCTATTTTTAATCTAGTTTGGTTATTTATTCAGGCTCTTTACAGGTTTCTGATGCTAGACAATGGTGGTTGTGTGACAAAGTGGGGGATTTTCTCGTTTTTTCCAATGGTTTGCATGCAGACGGGGTGGGATGCCATTTCCCTGGGTGTTACTGGTTTAAGGAGGTGATGGGAGAGGGAGTTTGTCGTTACAGAAGACAACAATGGACAAAGGCAGGGTTTGGGGTTGGTGATATCAGATGCCCAGCTGGGAAGCAGGGGGGCTCTGGGCTGGAGAGAGGGAGCAGGCAGAGCCCACCTGGATGAGGGGAGACTTGGATGTGCTGTGCTGAGGGAGGCCAGGCCTGAGGGTTTCCTGTGCTGTGTTCAAACGCTCAATAAACCCTCCTGTTTTACGCTGGCTGAATGTCACTCCAGTCTAGAGAACAGGGTTGCATTATTCCCTCTGGGAGTGGAGGCCCTGGGGGTCCAGAGCAAGTGGACTCCCTGAGAGGGCCCATGGCGAGAAACAGCTGTGCTAAGGCTCAGAGAGGTGTGTCTCCAGGAGGGGGAGGGGCTTAACCCCCCGAGAGAGAGTGGACCCCCAAAAAGGGCTGTCTCACTGAAAGGGTTTCCCCCCCCCCAGACTGCATGGGGCCAAAAGTGGGCATGACCTGAGAGTCCATGACAGGTTGCCATTAAAAAGCAAGCATTTATCCGATCACAGTCTTGATTGCTACACATTGCACTATCTTCCCATTCCTGGAACGTAACATCGATGTGAGGGAGGCAATGCAGTACCATAGGTTCCTTTCCAATGGTAACTGCTTGTTGGGGTAGACCATCTTCTTGAAATCCATGCATGGAAACGCTGGCTTCTCCTTATGGGCCCTGATCCTGGAATCAGACCCGCAGGGACTCGAGCTACAATGATCCCCAAAAGCAGCTCTCTCCCCACTTGGAAAATGGAATAGCATCACCACCACCTCTCATTGCAGTTTGCAAGTGCAGAGTCTTGAGAATTACAAATATCCCTGCTGCTGAGTGATGCCGGGTTGGCAGCACTGGACCAGAATCCTCTGTACCCAGAGCCATTACAGAAGAGGCAGTGACAAGGTATGCTTCCCTTGTATCTGCTCCACCAATATGTCTCCGCCTTGACCCCAGAGAAATCATTGAGAGGGGATTCATTCAAGCCTCTCCTGAGATCGCCAACGAGGAAGCCAAGTGTGTCAGCAGATTTTGTAGACAACTGCGCACTAGGATGCGAGAGGAGATCACCGTGCCATTTCCCATAGGCCACCAGACAGGAATTTCATAGTCACTGCTGACTGGGTGAACCCAGTGAACTTGCAAAGCTCTGCATCCTCCCTTTGTGTCATTCAGCTCACTGGGAATGGCCCTGGTGGGTGGGTGGGTGTGGGTGTGCTCAACTCAAGGCTAACAGCAGCTCAACAGGGACAGCTCTGACCTTTCAACAAAAAGGCCAGGAGTGAACCAAGGGTCAGAGGCACACAAATAGCGTGTCAACAGCTTACCCAGTTTCTTAGGATCCATAGTCAGTGGCAGGCCCATGGTGATGGAGCCAACGGGAACTTTTGCATGCTCAGAGCTGTACGGAGTATGGAGCTGAATGGGCACCCCCTAAAACACAAGAGAAAAAGGTCACTGACAGTGTGGGATGCTCTGCTAAGACCCTTCCTGAAGGGGGCAGTCACCAAGGAGAGGAAGCTCAGGGGAAAAGGCCTCCACTGAATGATTACAAAGCCCTGTGCCCAGGAATCAAAACGGGGACCTGGCAGGAAGCTGCTCTCAACAACGCTTGGAAGGATTTTTATTTGGTAAACGTCGATTTCACCGCACACACAAACGGAAGAAAAAAATGTTTCCATTGCTAATCAGACCAATTCACAGAGAGGCAAAGAAAGAAAAATGCTGCTTGAGAACTTACTAGAGTTTGATTTAAGGATATTTACTTGGTATCTAGCGACAGGTGATGCTAACAATTGTGTTTTAACGGTCACAAAGCTTTACCTTTTTGAGTCTTCAGTGTCTGCTGTCATTAAATAACTGTCTGCTCCCTACGTAATTAACTGCAACTGTGAACATGTAAAATCCACAAAAACTGAAAACAATGCTTAAAAATAAACATTGATATTATCCATCAAAATTATAAAAACAACAACAATCTAATTCTGCCAAGCCTGCTCTTTGCCAACAGAGAGGTCTCTTTCCTCGAATACTTGGGAGTACCATGGCACCGGGATAGCATCTTACCTGGGAAATGGAGCTGATGGGCCGCTCCAGAACAGATGGGTGTTTGGTGGAAGAGATGAGAGGGGGAGGATTGGAGATGTTGGACAATCTTTGTAGCCCAGACCGAGAGCTCTCATGCAAAGTTAATGGGATTGGGTGCGCTATTGACAAAACATAAACATTATTACGGACTGATAGTTATTTGCATCAGAGACACAGAGACCAGGGGACACCGAACGGGGACAGAGACAGAGACCAGGTACAGAGATTCTGTAGATTGACTGGTGGTTGTAACTGTAGCTTTTTTGGCACTGCAGCCATTAATCCTGTCCATCTCCCATTGCATTCTGGGATCTACTGTTTCCATACACGGCATCTCTGTATTATAGATGGGATTGGCTGCTCCACACTAGGCAAATCAGATGGGATTGCTAGGCTCCTGGCATGCCGCCTTTGAATGGCAAACTTTCAGCAGCTCTCCCCATCAGGAAGAAAACGTCTGCATGAATTTACTAAATGAGGTGACTTGAGACAAGAACCATGGAACCTTTTAGGCCACGCACCCCCAGTGGCTAAACCAAAGTGGCTCCCCCTAGTGGGTGCAGACCCCTGAAGAAGAACGCAAGCCTGTGCTCACCTGGCAGGTTATACTGAAACACATGTGGCTCAGTGTGTGGGGAGGTTTTGATCACATCCCTAGAGGACACTTGGTACGGCAGCACGGGGGGCCAGCACGACGTGGCAGTCTGCTCTCCGCTTAGCTTCTGTCCTTCTGCAAGGGACGAGAAAGGCACTGGTTTTTCTGCAAGGAGAAAGAGAACTGATCAGCTTGCCACACACATGAACTCACACACACACACACACAGCATTGCAAATCAGCAAGATCTTACAGAGACCTGCAAAGGGAAACAACAAATGGGGCTCCTTTCTTTTGGTTAGGGCTTGCCTGCACGGTGAGTTACAGCAAGACAAGACTCTGCAGTGCACCTGCCGGCTGCCACCAACTCATCCCGTGGACGTTGCTAGCACACAGTGAATGCCCCAGAGTGTAGCTTAGCAGAGGTACACCATGCTACGTTCCAAGGCTTTCGTTGCCCACATGAAACCCTACCGCAGGGTAAGTCCGAGGGTCGGAGTGTCTCAGCCCAGCTTGCTGCGCAGTAACTCGCTGTGTAGACAAACCCATAGGGCGCATGAAGAAGGCCTGAAAAGTGCCCAAGTCATTTCTGAAAACGGGACCTAGATACTTCTGGAAATTTTACCTTAAGGCTCCACTTCAACAAAGCATATAAGCATGTGCTTAATTTTAAGCACCCAAGTGTTCAAAAAAGAGTTATCTAGCCAAGATTCTGCACTATGCTGTGTAAAAGGAAGGCGCTTTAGCAGTAGCAGACCTCACGACAGCTCTGACTCTGCTATTAAAGCTTTGCAGATAAGTGGGATGAGATGCATGGCTAGCAAAGGGCCCATTCGTAGGAATAATACAGAAAAGACTCATTAACACTTGGAGTGCTGAGGAGCTGGGAGGCTTAATCCTGTGCCCCTCACACGGTGATGAAAAGAATCCAGCAGCAGCAAGCCTATGTACCTATCCAAGCACAGAGACTCTTGGGGAATGTTTGCACTGCAAGGGTAGGCGGGACTGATAGCTCTGGGTACGCATACCTGTGCTGGCTTTAATTGAGCTAGTGTGGGTAACCATAGCAGTGAAGACGGGGCAGCCTGGGCTTTAGAGCGAGCTACAAGCCTGCCAGGACTCAGATGGCAAGCATGCACCAGGGTCCGTGCTGCTGTCTTCACTGCTCCTTACCCACGCTGTCTGGATTAAGGCCAGCACGGGTATTACCACCCACACTACAGTTACACCCTAAACTGGAGTGTAGACGTACCCTCAGATTCCAGAGGGGGTGGTGTAAGGGGCTAAGCCTCAGGGTCAAAACACCCTGACCCCCCATTTCACATCTCAAACGGATCAATTCACCCTCCCAGGGCATCTGAATTGGAGCACCCCACGCTAGTCACTGTGAAGATCTTTGGGGAAATCCTTGAAAACAAAGACCCTGTCACGTTCTCCACGTGGATATTGAAGATCCCATGGCACTTCCCACCAGAGGAGGGCATTTGTCCTGAGACACAAGCTCTCCTCCATCCCCACTGCCGTGTGGTGCGCTGTGCACCAACTGACTGCTGTGCTCTACACCAGAGGCAGCTGCCTTGCACGGGTGGCATCCGTGTATCGTACAGCTGGGCGAAGATGATCTGTAATGCCAAGATACTATTGGCCAAGCGCACGTGCACCTGGAGGCAGCATGGAAATCTTGGAAAAGGGGTTCCTCCTCCCCTGGGAGCTGTTCCCGCACACATGCCGCTGTGAAATCTAGGAGATGTGGCCAGTTGATTATTGACCCCACATTAAAGGTAACAATAACTCAGCCAGCTTTTGATAAAATAGCACTGGATCCTGGGAAGAGCTCCTATGGCCATTTGTCAAGTCCCTGAAACCAGAGCTGAGAAGTCAGCGTTTATATCATCCATCACCCAAATTAATGCTTTTGGCTTCCAATCTCCAGAAAGGCCAAGTGAAACGAGTGTCTAAACCAACAGAAAACACATTGCTGGCTTTAAAACTGCCCCGAGATAGCCAAAAATAGGCGTGATGGCCACTCGGCGATGAGCGAAAGGATCCATCTGTCTGAGAGCATGCTCCAAATGGACAGGCCGCGACCCCCCAGCCCCACACCAGAGCAGCACTGTCAAAGTACCTTAGGAGGAGATACTAAACTGGCCGGGCTCCAGACAGATACAGCCCCAGCCAAAGGTCTGCAAGGGGCAGCCAACGCCTTGGCCAGGATGTGATGCTCGTGTCCAAGACAGTGCTTTGAAGCGGCTCCAGGATGGTGCGAAACTTGTCCGTCTCTGGAGAAGTTGCAACAGTTCACGCTCTCTTATCAGGCAGAGCCGTGCCAATCTGATCACAGCTTTGGGGGGAGTAGGAACAGCTGCTCTTGCTGCAAGACCAGCCCTCTGCTAGGATCACTCCACTTCTTCTGCAGCAGCACAATGAGTGTACCCGGGGCCTGGTCTTCACAGCAATTCAGAGTCCAGATGGATGCCTGGTGCACGGTCACTTTAACAGGACATTCAAAGGAGGCTCCCGATTTTCTTACCATAAAAGGAGAGAGGAGGGATGCTCCCCTCCTCCCACCCCTTTCACTGCTTTGCCCTGACCAACTGGCTCCCTTGCTGCCTTCCAAACCTGCTGCTGGTGCCTCTCCCATATCTCCAGTTCAGAGCCAGGCTTGAGCCACTGGGTGAAATGCTAGCGCCATCCAAGTCAATGGCAAAAGTCCCACTGGCTTCAAAGGGGCACGGATTCCACCCCTCTGCTCAGCTGTGTCTGTATGTGAGCCAGCCCAAACGCCAGAGGGAGCGGGGCTCTGACCCAGGGCCAATCATTTACTGAATGTTGATGGGAATGCAATGCAGTTCTCCAGCTCCCACTGCTATCTTGGATGCGTGACTGCTTCAAAACTCCGTCCCCGGGCACATGGGATATGGAGGGCGCAGTACGGCGAGCGAACCCCTGGGAGTCGAGACCTGCCATCTCCTCCTCCAGTGGCCTGGGCAATCTCCTTTCACCTCTCTGCCTAAGCTTCCCTATCTGTGCACCGGGAGATAATACGCAAGCACGGTGCAATTAGCTGAACTAATCTCTGCAGCAAGCTTGGAGGATTCAAGGTGCTAGGTGTGTGTCACCAGCAGTGCGGGCTCAGCACCCGAAGCCAGGTGCTTTGCAGACAGCAGAGCTGCGTAAACCTGCATTGATGTCAGATCTGGACGTTAACAAAGGAGCCACCAGGTTGCAGAGTTTAAAGGTTATTCTGAAACCTGATCTTTCACATCCTGGTCTACCCACTTCCACATGGTATGGTGAGCCTCCCTCTTTCCTCGCTGCTCTCCGGTCCTGAAATCAGAGCTGAAAATCAGCTGGGGCAAAAGCTGGTGGGAAGATGAACCAAGCATCCCAGCGCAGTGGGAGCCCATAGAGGAACAATCCGTTGGCGTTCCAGGCTAGAAGGAGCTGTCGTAAGTGCTGGTTCTGCCATGAGACTCGACAGGAAGCTGAGCTGAGCGAAACGGGCTGCCCTGTATAGCGATGTGTAACAGCAAAAGCGTAGCCCTGATCACTTGAACTGGAGTGTAACTGAGTCTGGGTAATGAACATACGAAAGCAAGAGTGGAGAAGGCAGGAGAGGACAAGCTGGAGAGTCTGCACCAGACAGGTATCAATCATGTGACTTACCGGAGTATCAAATTCCTTCAAGGTGAACAGCTATCTTCCTTACATTCAGATTGTTTTATTGTGCTGTGGCCAGTCTGTATGGCTATGCATGCTGTTATTTATTATCATGCAGAAAGCCAGCTGGCTGAGCAGCAGCCATCAGCTCTCCTAGGAAGTAACTCATTTTGCAACACTACTCTGTCTAACCTTTGGGCCAGCACACCACATATCAGCTTTGGGAAACCTTGGCTGACAGAAGTTGAACTAGCATAGCTGCTCTCATGACCCAACTTTTCCGCAACAACGGAGATCAAATTCCAACAAATTCAAGCTAATTGGTGTATTTTTTTCCTCCTTTCTCTTGCATGAGTGTGTGAAATTCTACGGCTGCAAACAAAATTCTTCCGTCCGGCTGCAGACACAATATAGTGCTTACATCCCCAATGCCTAGATTTGCTACCTTATAGGTGACGTCCTCTGGGACAAAGGCACTGAAAGTCATGATGTTCGCATCACCATGCCACAAAGCTGCAGCCACACATGGCAATGGCACGTCAGCCCTTCCAACGCACCGTCAGCCCACAAAAATGACCGCGGAGAGCAACCTCCCCCCGCCCCCAACAACCTCAAATATCACCTGCCAAGGGGATTCTCTCTCTAAGGATCTGAGGCAAACCCAAACCATTTCCTGTGAGTAACAGTCATCAATTCTGTCAAAACCTGCAAGATATGGGGACTGCTGTTGCCCACTTAGGGCAGGGCTAAGCACACCACACTCACTAGCCGGGGAGATCCCGGTGAGGTACTGGCTTGGAGGCACTGGATAGATGGGATCTCGGCTGCTGAAACGTTGAGGTGATTGCAATGGTCTCTTCCTCTAGTGGCTGGGGGTCTGGGAAGAAGGTACAAGCGCAGGCACCCCGGGGGGGGGGGGGTGGAGAGAAGGGCATGGGTTTGGTTAGCTGACAGCCACAGCGTCTGTTACTGTACCATCACAACTTACAGACCCTCCCCTGTGGGGTGCCGAACCGCCTCCGTTCTAACTGCACTTAACACGTCGCAGGTTCCGGCCAGCCTCAAAGCTGACCACGCCCAAACCCTCTCCTCAAGGTGCACAGGTTTAAAGAGCACAGGCCAGGCCAACGTACAGACTTCCGATGGGAACCAGCTTTCAAATTACAAACAGCATCAGCAAGAGGGCCCAGTTCTCCTTAACCGCGGCCCCCAGGGGACCAACGCTCACGATGTGCTCTGGTGGGAAGCTCTGAATCCCTCGTTAGCGCTATCCCGAGGGGACGGCATTGAGAACCTTTACAGGAAGCTTTGGGCTGCGAGTCACAGCAGGAGTATTGATTTTTAAATGAAAGAATGGCCCCCGCCGAGCATTAAAAGCATTCTTTATAAGGAGCAAACAAGGTAGAAAAGAGTGACTGAAACCAGTGCCCTGGCGCGCCTCCAGGTCCTCTACTCTCCGAAAGGCAAACAAAGGCAACCTTCCCATCCTCAGCGTTCGACGTTCTACCAGGATTTGCTGCAGGTTCAATGAGACACGATGCTCTTCCTAATGAACACGGCCAATTAGCCATGCCAACATGACTCTGCTCCGCCACGCTATCAGCCTTTAAAGCTAGCTTCCACCTGCAATAGGACCCCTGTCCCCGCTCTGTGAAATCACATGCAGGCGCATCTTACCTTCTTTGTCACCCACAGCTGGACTCTTGCTCTTTCCCCTGGGGCTACTGCTTGGCTGCTGCTCCTGCTCAGTGGGCTGCTGCTGCGGCTGCTTGCTCTGGGCTACGTCATCCCGGGCAGATTCATGGGCTTTAGTGATCTGCTGCTGGTAGAGGGCCAAGGCGTGGTGAGGCACCTGAGGCTTCATGCTTCCACTCTGTAACGTCCCGTCTGGGAATCCCTCAGAAATCTGCAGTGGGAGCAGAAAGAATGGGATGGGAGAAGCAGGACATATTGTCCCAGCTGCCGTTAACTTCCACAGCAGAGTCTGCAAGGAGGTTTAACTCCAAAAACTTGGCTCCTTTCTGGGGAGCTTTTCTCCCACCTCTGCAGACGCTCCGCTCAGCTCCCCAGGCGGGGCTCCCAGGGATTCTAACCAAGCCACTGCCCTTCCTACCACAGGCAGTAAACAAGAGAGAGTGAGGCAGCATGTTTATCTTTTGCCACAAGGCTAGCGTCCTGTTTGGGAAATGTTACAGGGGAACCTCTGATTTGGCTTGTCTAAGGAATGTAATCGCTAGCCCAGGACTGGCAGCTTAGAAGTGGTTTCAATACTATGCACCGATCTCAAGTCATGGCACAGAGATGTCTGAAAGGACGATGTGAACTTTTTGTTTGTAACGCCCTCTTTGGATCACCAAAGTACAATGGGATTTTGGCCATGTCCCACTCTGCAAACATTGCTCCTTGGCCAGTGTTTTGAGTCTAGTGAAGAATAACTAGGCTGCTTTTTGTTTTTACTTCATTGTGAGGGCACCAGCAACAATGATCAGCGTGGAGAATGCACCTTCTGGGGGGAGGGGGGGCTGCTGCTGAATAGCTAAGCAGGGGGAGCACAGAGAAGATTTTGGGGGGACCAGCCAAAACGGCACCTCTCTCTCTCTTGTGTTAGGTGAATTTACTGATTTCAGTGACCCCAGTGGAATTCCAGAGTAGCTCGGATGGTGTAACTGACATCACAATCTGGTCCTTAACATTCTGAGATAAAGGAAAACACTGGGCTGTGAAAGGTGTGTATGGCTGGGGTTTCTCCCGCGGCCGCTCCAACTAAGGAAGGAAATGGCTGTACAGCAATGACAAGGTTTCTTATAAAGAAACTCATGATACAATTGAACGTCTCTGGGGGAACTTTCTCAGAAATCAGGAAGGAGTTGTCTATAGAGAACCCGGTGAGAGCATGCCACATGGCTCCCAAATGCCCTTCGCACAGCACGCACAGAGAACCGTGTCCGACAGCCCAGTGCTATCACCCACCCATGGAGAAACACACCTGGCCCATGCAGGAGCACAATCAAGCACAGATGCCCACTCCCAAACTCATTCACTCACACCCGTTCCCGGAGCAAACAGACCAGAAACCCGCACTGTCCTCCTCAACAGATGCCCACATGAGAACACGCACGCACGCACACAGAAGCGGGACCCCATGCTCATGCGTGCACACCCATGCCCACGCGTGCACAAGGCAAACTTTTGCTTGGTGCCCTCAGTCCGAGGATTTTAAAAACCCCATGGGATGCAGAACTTGGAGGGGAATGAGCCACTTTCCCAGGACCAGGTGACGAGAGGTCTTCCGTCTGGTACTTACGATGGGGGGGATAGCAGCAGCTCTCTGCTTCAGCTGCTTCAGGTCCAATGGTTTCTGAGGTGAAGAGTTCAGCCTGGCATCGGTGGCCGCGTTGAGGAGGCTGGGCCTCGGAGACAGCAGCCTGCACACAGACACAGGTCATAAGGAGCCACGTACTTCCCACCCCCATGAGCGAGGATGCACTGGTGCCTGCACAGCCTGTGCTGGGAGGAGGCGCGGGGCGGGGAATCTTTTCGTGATGACTCTAGAGGTCGTCGTCCTCACCAGCCCACCGAGAAGAAGCCGGTCACACCGACGCGTGTCGGTCTGCGTGCGCGTCACCCACTGGGGAGCGCACGTTACGGGTCCCCCCCTCAGAGCCTGAGCCACAGCGGAGGAGAGTGCTACTGTCCCAGCTGGGGAGCGCTGGCTTTTCAGCTCAAGCTCCAGCAGCTCGTGCTGTTAGCTCTGGAGGTCCCCGGGGCGTCAGCCAGGACAGCAGCCGTCCCTTGTACAATATACTTCGTATATTCCTGGTTAGCACCTCCCGTACCTCCCAAAGTGTCTCAGTATTGGGCACCTGCAAGGGTCTGCTTGCTGAATAGACCATGCTTCAAGGAGCCACTGCTCGCCTTCTTGCATCAGAAAGGAGCAGTATCGACTGGCTTGGTACCTGGAGTTCTTACTCGCTAGACTTTGATCTATAATCAGTGATAAAGTAGCACAAGTCCCGGACCATCCTAATCTGAAACAGGAAGCACACAGCGGTACGGCTAACTACTACTGCACTGAGAGCACCGGCCAGGATACAGCACCGACCTTTGGAGATAACAGAGCACTGTTATCATGGAGCGCAGCACAGCGCAGCTTGCGACAGCCAGAGCTACTCGGCCATGGAGTGCAGCTGCAGCGGGAAAGGCAGGGCAGGACAGGGAGCTGGGATTACACAGCTACAGAAGAGGAAAAGCAGGCCAATTCCCGCCTGCCTTGCTCAGAAGGGTACGACTCCAGTAGGACCCCTGGCATAAGTCCGAAGAGCAGGATTTGGCTCAATGGGCTTGATTACTCTTTCACGTACCCAAGAGTAAATCAGGAGCAATGCTAATGAAGCCACTGCATTACCCTGGAGTGAGCCCAGGGACAAATCAGGGCCAACACAGGATGCCAGTTAGTTACAAAATCAGGGTGCTTGGTTCTGATCTCTTATGGGACTCCAGATTTCACCAGCATGTGTGAAATCACAAGCAGGCCCAGGGCTGGAGATATCTCTTACAGCGAGACAGCCAAAGTTTGCATCCAAATTCAATACAGCTGAGTGGTGTGAGGAACTGAGTGATCTGGCCCAGTCAGACAGGATCTCATCAGGTCCACAGGACAAGCCGGTGCATTCTGAGGGCTTTTCCTGTCTGGGCTGGCCACTCTGCGACCAGCTGGCTATCAAGCCAACTCTCTCGGCTACATAATAAGTCACTGGTAAGAGCCAAAAGCAAAGAACAATCCTTGCACAATGTGCTGGGCTGGATGCTCCCTGCCTGAGAGTGAGAGACAATAAAGCTGCCCCCCCACCACGATGGCATGGTTCCCAAACCTAGCCACTCAGCAGAAGATTTGGCTAGAGCTGCCAGGAAAGATTTATCCCAGGTGTGTGTCTGAGTGGGCTACCACCTCCTCACAGTGCCCTCAATCTCCAGATCTTTAGGTCAATCCTTCAGAAGCTGGCTCATCGCCACATTGGTGCACCTGAGCTTCCCTAAAGCTGCTGGGTGGTCCTGGCTGGGTCTGAGTCACATTTGGCCTGGCCTGGCCTCTTCTCCTTCAGGCCCTGCTCTGCTTCCCTTCTCCCACATGCTGCTGCTCCTCAGGGTGTCTCTGTGCGCATGTGATTACCCAGAGGAGGGGGAGGAAGGGAACAGGAGCGGGGAGGAAGGCAGAGCTCGTGGGGGGGAGGCTGAAATCAGGCTGTCTTCAGTGCAGAACCCCAGAGGGGGGAGGAAACTTTCCTTCGCTTGAGGCTGGCCAAGAGGCTGCAGTGAAGGATACATCAGTGGTGCCCTCCAGCCAAACACACTGCTTCCCAGCCCCCGCACAGAGCTGCCTTCTTCACCTGGGGAGCTGCTGCCTGTGTTAGTGAATGGCCTGGCCGCTGGTTCGTACCCCAGGGTCTATATTCACTGGGCCGGCAGGCTGCGTGGGGCGCTGAACCCCTCCATAGCTAGCTGCAGTTCCACGCGCCAGTGCAATGGAGCAATGCAATGCAGACTCGGCGACAGACCCGCCAGTGGCCTCAGTGGGAGCAGGCTGAGTCCTCACAGCACAGGCCATTGGGGTCGCCCTGTTCCGCGGAGCAGCTGCTAACTTACATGGCTCCCCAGTATTGTTTAGCTCACTCACCGCTTTTTAGCTTCCAAGCCAAACCCTCCTAGCACCCCTGGGGAGTGGGGAAGGCTCACCCCACAGAGGGGCGGGGACTTGCCCTAAGCAGTCAGAGCTCCTGGCTTCCAGCCTAGTGCTCAGACCACTGGACCAGGCCTCTCTCTGACCCTTCTCTTCTCTCTCCCAACTACCAGCTAGTGAAGCAGTCTGGAGTTTTAAGGTTTACAGCCTGCTCTGTTTATCGGAGCTGCGAGCTGACTGCTCTTTTCAGTCTATAAATTTCAAGGTCATTCTGTGTTCAACCTTGGATGACAAACAAGTCCGGCGAGGCCATGTGAGGGGAATAAATATATCTTTGTGCTGTGCGCCCATCCTCCTTTCCCCGCCCCTTGCCCTAGCTCCATTCCCGCCCCACCAATTCTTCTCCTGCAGCAGATTCTAGTTACACGGCAGGACCTGCAAAACGCACAGCCTTGGATTCCCCCCAGGAGCTCTCTGAGGAGGAAATGAGAAGAGGGGAGGCTAATCAGAGCGGTCGTGGGAATAAATGCACAGTATCTGCCAGCTGCGGTGTATCGAAAGCTAGAAGCTCGACCGCTGTGGAAACGTAAAAGGATACATACCCCAGGGGGCCTATGCCCCACAACGGCCATGCAAAGCCATTGACGGGTGTAGGTAAGGGACCGACTGGTGCAAACTCTGGCCAGGATTTTCAAGTGACTGGTGATTTTGGGGACTTCAGACACCAGAAGGAGCCCTGATTTTCAGGCTGGGCCAGGCACCCGCCCCCTCTTTCCTTCCGGCCCCTGCAAGGCAGCTCTGGCTGAGCATCCAAATAGCTGGTCGCTTTTGGAAACTTTGGCCTCGGATTCTTTTAAAAAAACAAAACAAAACAAAAAAAACCCCACACTCTTTTCCCACAAAATCAAGTTCCATTTCTTTCCTAGCAAACGTAGCTTCCAGACGCACTGATGCCGGGGCCACCTCCACCCAGCTTCCACTGGCTGGGAAGAGCTCGCTGCACCGCCAACGCGGGCTGCCAGGTCACATTAGACACAAACCCTGCCAAGCAGGTAACCCATCAAAATCCACAGTGCGAGCACAGTCCCCTCACGGAGCAGCAGGCCGACTGACCGGCGAGCTGTCTGGGAACGGGGACCGGGCTGCACTTCACTCCTGAGTGCTGCTGAAGGCACAGCACCGATTTCGGTCACAGACCCTACAGAGGCCATTCCAGTGATGTTAAAATGCAGGGCCGGATTCTGACAGCTTTGCTCACGTTCAGCAGCATTTTACTCCACGAATGGCCTCACTGGACAGCTAGCTCAGTGGCCTGATTGTCTATAGCGCTGGGCACCCAGCAGTTCCCATCTACAGACAGACCTAGCCAGCTCCTCAGCTGGTGGGAAGCAGCACAGTTACTCAACAGGAGCTGCTTTACATCAGCTGAGGATCTGGCCCCAGATCCTCATGTGCCTGAAGTGGCTCTAGAAGCCCAAATTTTGGTCCTTGGGTTTTAAAAAGTCTTAACTGAACCCTCTGAGCCTTGCCTTCCCTGTCAGTCAAATGTGGCAACCACCACCTGCCTCACCACGGTGCTGGGAGGCTGAGTTAATTCAGGCTTGTAAAGCAGTTGGAGAACCTCAGATTCATATAATTCATTTTGTTACAATGTCTGTAAATTACATAAACTGCCAATTGACTAAAATGAACACGTGCATACAGCTCTACTTGTTGGGAAAGCAACAGATATCACTTTACTGTGTAAACCACCTGCCCATAAACCGGGCTCTGGAAATTTACTCACCTAATCTGCATGTGTGTGAAGTGGAGAATGACATCTCCAGGACACTAACTTATACATACACACACCCCTACACTTACCTTCCATAGTTAATTTTGGGTCTCCCAAACCATGCTCTAGACATTGACAACCGAGCCCCGAAGAGCTGAGCGATGGAAAAAATCAGGGAAGGAAGTTTATGCAGGGTCTCTATGGATCTCTTGCCTGATTCAGTACCATGGAAGGGGGGGATGAACATTGGCTAGGTGCACACATATCCCAGGAAAAGGATGAGATGGAAGATTGGGACTAAACTGTAAGAGTGTGACATGTGGATCCATATGAAGAGTTCTATCATGGTGTCATTTCTCATTCTACTGCAGAGAACCCCCCCCAAATACTAATCCATGCACTGCAGTAAACAGTGTTGGGCATCAGTGTAGTAAATCTAAATTCCTACTCAAACCTTTCAAATACTTAGCCTCATGGCTCGGTGCAAAAAGTCAAGAGGCCTATGAACAGTTGCAGAACTGGCCCCGTTTCCCCGGCAGTGCTGCCAGGGAGCAGGTGTTAGGTACTTGGGTAGCAATGTAACAGTGGTTGGCACCATGTCTCCTGGGCACATAATTACCAAGCACAGGTGGTAAGTGCCTTCCTGTAACTTTTACAACTCAGTCTCCTGGTTTCTCTGCTAGCTGTAAACTTGCAATGGCTAAATCCGCATGGCATCACACATTCATTTACGTCTAGTGTGACCGACAGCTGAACTTCGCCACTGGCATAGCTAGTGGCCTTTTTAAAGAGATATATATGAAGACAATTATCTGTATTTTTAACACTGGAGAGTTAAAGCTGTGATTATCTTTACCCTGGCCTGCCACTGAGTCGCACGACCTGCAGAACGATGGAGGGCAGCCAGCGCAGCTGTCCCTAAGCATCACTCCTCCAGCCTGGTCCCCTCCCGTCCCTCCTCATCCTGCAAAGCTACCCCACCCCCATCTGAAGGAGAAAGCAAAACACTTTAAACCACTGAATGCACTTATAACTGGAGCAGAGAGCAAAGAGGGAGAAAACAGCTTCCAGCATCCCAGCAGACAAAACTCCGTGTGTGCAGGTGTTTGCATACACACGCGTGTGTATACACACACACACACCTGCACCCAGAGAAGATGGCTAGGTTCTTCACCAATCCAAAGTAAAGATAAGAGCCGAGGGCTTATCTCCACAGGAAAGCCACCCGGGGTACAAGTCAAGGTGCGCCTTCGAACTGATAGAGGGGATGGCGACTGAGTAGGACTGCAGCAAGCATGCACTGAGCTAGCTAGCCCCAGCACCACAAGCCGTGAAGCTGCGGCACATGGGCTACCTGCCCTAGTACGTCCCCACGGCTTCGCTGCTACCTTCTCACGCCATCTTCTAAAACAAAGCCTTCCCACAGGTATAGGCCTCTGACTGCAGAGTAGGTAATCTAGTAAAACGGCCCCTGCTGACAGTCAGTCTGGTAGAAGAGGGATTGCCCAGTTCGGCTGGGGTTGCTTTCTAAAGACTAAAGAAGCTACTTGTATCCCAGAGTAAGAGCATGTCCACATGGGGAGTTATACCAGTATAATTAAACTGGTCTAGTTGTACAGGTATAACTGGCCAAACTTTCCCAGACAGCCAAGCCCTGAATCCCTGCAATGTCCCATATTTCAGCACAATGGCTGCTAAGCGGAGTGGCACAAGGCCCCGGGGGAAGCCTGTTTAATGATTAACGTCCCTGAAAACTGATATTAGTTTGCCAGGGCAGATATGGACTGCCTCTGGGGGGAGCCTGGGATAAAGCGCGGTTCCCTTGATTGGCTCCGGGAAGCTGATAAATGCTGCTGTTGTAGTGGTGTGAAGCTGGGTTAACAGTCAACCTGAGCGCTGCCCTCCCCCTTTCTCACGGGGATTAGTATGGGGTTTGCGGGGAGGAGGGAGGCTGGGCTCCTTCCTCTGCCTAAAGGAGAAACAACAAATTCAAACAGGCCTGAACTCTGCAGCAGGAAAGCCAAGAGCGACAGGGCCAGCCTTACGGCACTGTCAGAGTCGCCTTAGGCAGCACGGCCAGGACTCACCCGCAGCCCTATCTCTTAGCAGCTTTGCAGCAGAATCTGCCGTTCCCACAGGAAGTACGAACAGCATCTTTGACTCTATTCTGCAAACTGTGCTCACAAGTGCTCGCTAATAATCTCACCAGGCTCCATGCAAGTGCAGCAGCAAAGCCTAAAGAGCTCATGTCTCCTTCAAGTACACGCTGGAGAGGGCAGGCTCATCGAGGGGAACTTGTTGCTTTCGCATTCTTTGGGCCAGCCAGGCTATTAGCTCTCAGTACCAGCTTCCTAGCCCTGAACCACATGCCCTACTCCGATAGGCAGGGGGTTAAAAGGGGCCAAGCTAGGCTAATTGGGGAAGCAGCCACAGGTGTGGCCAGCTCAGTTAGGGCCCAGCTGGCCCTGATAAGAGGGCTGGGGGACAGGAGCTGGAGGAGTCTCACTCTAGCCCTGGAGTGGGAAGGGCTGGCTGCCTGGGAGCAAGGTACCTGAAGCAGAGCAGTGCTGGGGAAGGGCAAAGGGGAGGTGGGGAGCTCCAGCCTGGTAAACCCCCAGGCTGCAGGCCTTGGTAAAGGCCCAAAAAGGTACTGGGGCTGCCGAGATACAGCCTGGGAGTAGGCAAAGGCAGCAGGTCCAATGATGAGCGGCCATTACAGACTGCAGTCTGCCCCAGTGAATGGGGGGCTGGATGACAACTGGCAGTAGCCACTGAGGTAAGGTGAGCTTAGAGGGTTGGGGGTTCCCCTGGGAGGGGAGACCCAGAGAGTGGGGGTACTGCTGGGGCAGAACTCCAGAGTAAGGGACATCGGGGTCTGGTAGGGACACGGGGGCCTCAGGCAGGTGAGCCACCAGCCAGCAGAGGGTGCTCTGAGCTGGAATCAACCTAATTCTCAGGACAACCAGCAGGAGGCGCCGCACTGGTGAGTCATTTCACTACGCCCCTGCATCCTGCTTTCCTGTCAAACTGGCTTCCCCTCCCCCACAAACCAGTTCCCCACGGGGAGTTGGGACACCTCCCTGGCTCTGTGTATGTGGGGGGGACAACTCCCATCGCGAGGGGCCCCTCCTCAAAAGCAATTCTTCACAAGGGGAGGGGAGGGAACCGAGATGGCTCCCACTCACCCATAGAACCAACCGCTGCTGAGGGAGGGCAGAGGGGACCAGTGATGGAAAATCAATTTTAGAATTTGTTTTTATAAATTACATCTTTCAAGGGCTGGGGATTGAGGAATCGGTTGGCTGAGGGGGAGGGCACATGGAACCGGGAGGAGGGTACAGTTGCTAGAATGCTGCCTCCTCCAGAAGTCTGGCCACACCCCTGAAAATCCTGAATATTCACCTCCTTGCTAATCTAAAACACCCTGCAGCTGCTTCCCTGTCTCCACATGCAGCCCCAAGTTATCATAGAACATCAGGGTTGGAAGGGACCTCAGGCGGTCATCTAGTCCAACCCCCTGCTCAAAGCAGGACCAATCCCCAACTAAATCATCCCAGCCAGGGCTTTGTCAAGCCTGACCTTAAAAACCTATAAGGAAGGAGATTTCACCACCTCCCTGGGTAACCCTTTCCAGTGCTTCACCATTCCAGTGAAAAAGTTTTTCTTAATATCCAACCTAAACCTCCCACACTGCCACTTGAGACCATTAGTCCTTGCTCTGTCATCTGCTCCCACTGAGAACAGTCTAGATCTATCCTCTTTGGAACCCCCTTTCAGGTAGTTGAAAGCAGCTATCAAATCCCCCCTCATTCTTCTCTTCCGCAGACTAAACAATCCCAGTTCCCTCAGCCTCTCCTCATAAGTCATGTGCTCCAGCCCCCTAACCATTTGTGTTGCCCTCCGCTGGACTCTTTCCAATTTTTCCACATCCTTCTTGTAGTGTGGGGCCCAAAACTGGACACAGTACTCCAGATGAGGCCTCACCAATGTAGAATAGAGGGGAATGATCATGTCCCTCGATCTGCTGCCAATGCCCCTACTTATACATCCCAAAATGCCGTTAGCCTTCTTGGTAACAAGGGCACACTGTGTTGTGGGAGGAGCCATGTCTTCATTTCCCCAGTGTTTAGGGGGGAAAATACGGGAGATCCCATTAAAAGTCCGATCACACTCATCATGGCAGAGGCGTAGAGAGTTGCAGCATGTGTGGGCCGGTGACTTGCCCTGCTTTCCTCACAGATAATTAATGTCTAGATGTTTAAATGCCTCTCTCCACCCCAGGAACAATTCAGATCCCAGTCCCCTCTCCATGCTGTAAGTGAGAGATCAACGCAGCTCCTTCCCTGCAAACAGGATGCAGTCACTGAAGGAGAAACTGCCCACTGACCCTTACTGAAATTGACTGAGTCTATGCAATAAGCCAGAAATCCCAGGTCACAAGAGCCTGCCAGCGATAGAGGACAGGAGCGTATTGCAGCCAGTGACCTCTGTCTTACTGCTGTCCACAGCCGTCTATCGTGGGTCTGTGACACAGCAGGGCAGCATAGTGCCCTTTATTCCACTTTCCCTTCAGAAGCTGTTGCCAGCACAAGGTTCAAAGACACAGGCATTAAAGAGCTTTCGACAAGGGCTGGCCCGATGAGAATGGGGATGGCAGGCAGCAGAGATGGGAACTACTTACTTGGTCAGCAAATGCACTCATTGCTAGTTCAGGATAAAGACCTAATTAATAAAAATGCTTCTCCCCCCCCCTTTACTTCTGTCGCCCCCCTCCATCTTAGGGGTCCAAACCTCAGTTAATAATGCCTGTCAAGCTCACTGTGAGGGAGGCAAGCCTTATCATCATCCCATTTTATAGATAGAGAAATAGAGGCCCGGAGAGGTGAGGTGATTTGCCCAAGGTCATACAGCGTGTCAGAGGCAGAGCTGGGAGAAGCGCCCAGGAGTCTGGAGCTTTCTGCTCTGCGCCTTAGGCCCCCAATCACTTCCGCACACCCTCACCCAGAGCAGCACCATACTCCGCAAATGGTCTCGCTGATTTCTGTGGAGTGGGTGCACCTCAGCCTGAACAAGGCTGGCACGATCAGCTTCTGTATGGTAGGCATGAAGGAGACAGGGCTATGGGACTGCGGAAGGACCCCACGGGATCTCTCCTTGCCTCCTGGCTCCGCCATGGCCGATGACTGGCACTTCTCAGGAAAGACCTCATCTGTCATGCACCCCTGACGCTGGCCCATCACCGTACTTGGGAGAAAGATCTCCCCCGCCACAGCACGAGCTGCTGACATCCCACGTCCTGAGACACGACCTCCCCTGCAAGAGGCGTTCCAGCCACACAGCTGCCAAGGCATCCACAGGCAGGGAGGTTATCCGGCCCCTTTGCCAAACCTGCTTTGCCGGCTCTGCTCCCCAGGCACCTCTTCTTACCTGTTTTTGTCCATGGCGTCCTGCTCGTCCATCTCATCCGCACTGCAGGTGGCGCTGGAGTCGCTGTCGGGGTTGAGCCCGGCGGCTTTGCCTGGTTTATGACTCTCCTTCTTCTCAGCTTTGGACGTCGCCTCTTCTCCCGCCGCGCTGCTGACGCTCTCCGTTTTCTTCTCGCTCGCCTTGTCTCTCTCTGGGGAGTCCTTGCTCTCCTCCTTTTTGATTTCGCTCTTGCAGGGCTCCTCGCTGGGCTTCTCCTCTGGCTCCTCCGTTTTCACCACGTCTACTACCAGCTCCTCCTGCGGCTTCTCCTCACTGCTGGCTGGCTCGGCAGCTGCCTCCTGGGGCTGCGGGGTGGTGGTAGCAGTGGGATTAGCTGCAGTAACAGCATCAGCATCCTCTGCCTTGAGGGCAGGTTCTGCACCGGAGTCTCGCCCAGGCGTGGGCTTGGGCCCATTCTCTCCACTTTCTTTGGCTTCAGGCCTCGGCGAGGGAATGCTCTCGGTATCCGAGCTGTGATTTACTGCAGCTGAAAGGAAATCAAACCAGAATCAATATCTATAGCGTTCGTTACTAACATCTAACACACAAACATGAGGCAGACACAAGAAGGAAGGTACTTCCCCAGCTTTGTGAAACACTTTTATTCCCTACGAAACGTCAAATTCTCTTCCCGGTTACGCTGGAGTAACCACACTGGGGAAGCAGGATGCACCAGTGTCAACTGGCAGCAAGAATGGAGACCTACATTTGGAAATCACCAGTGTCAACGTCCCACCTGAAGCAGACGACAGCACAGAATCATAGAATATAAGCGTTGGAAGGGACCCCAGAAGGTCATCTAGTCCAACCCCCTGCTTGAAGCAGGACCAATTCCCAGTTAAATCATCCCAGCCAGGGCTTTGTCAAGCCTGACCTTAAAAACCTCTAAGGAAGGAGATTCTACCACCTCCCTAGGTAACGCATTCCAGTGTTTCACCACCCTCTTAGTGAAAAAGTTTTTCCTAATATCCAATCTAAACCTCCCCCACTGCAACTTGAGACCATTACTCCTCGTTCTGTCATCTGCTACCATTGAGAACAGTCTAGAGCCATCCTCTTTGGAACCTCCTTTCAGGTAGTTGAAAGCAGCTATCAAATCCCCCCTCATTCTTCTCTTCTGCAGGCTAAACAATCCTAGCTCCCTCAGCCTCTCCTCATAACTCATGTGTTCCAGACCCCTAATCATTTTTGTTGCCCTTCGCTGGACTCTCTCCAATTTATCCACATCCTTCTTGAAGTGTGGGGCCCAAAACTGGACACAGTACTCCAGATGAGGCCTCACCAATGTCGAATAGAGGGGAACGATCACGTCCCTCGATCTGCTCGCTATGCCCCTACTTATACATCCCAAAATGCCATTGGCCTTCTTGGCAACAAGGGCACACTGCTGACTCATATCCAGCTTCTCGTCCACTGTCACCCCTAGGTCCTTTTCCGCAGAACTGCTGCCTAGCCATTCAGTCCCTAGTCTGTAGCTGTGCATTGGGTTCTTCCGTCCTAAGTGCAGGACCCTGCACTTATTCTTATTGAACCTCATCAGATTTCTTTTGGCCCAATCCTCCAATTTGTCTAGGTCCTTCTGTATCCTATCCCTCCCCTCCAGCCTATCTACCAGCATGTGGTTCATCATTTCCCCCCTCTCCTTCTCCAGCATCCAGCACGTTACATTTCAGCACATTCATTCAGCAACGGCCCAGAGGGACCCGACTGCCAGGGGCGGGGGCGGAAATGATTTCAGAGCTTCCATCAGTTGGGTTTAGGCTTTGGGTGGCTGGGAGCTGAGCCATTATATCTGATTTCCCCATATTTCAGAGCAATAGCCACGGGCTTGGCCCATTCCCGGATCACTATACTTAAATGTCAAGAAACAAAAATGGACACTGCCTTGATCTTATCTAGCGCTTTTCATCAGTAGATCTCACAGTGCTTTACAAAGGAGGGCAGCATCATTAGCTCCCTTTTATGGCTGGGGAAACTGAGGCCTGAAGTGCTTTGCCTGAGATCATCCAGCAGACCAATGGCAGGGCTGGGAAGAAACCTCAGCTCTCCTGAGTTCTAGTCCAGTGCTTTATCAGCAGGCTAATGGGAATCCCCATCACAATGCAGTTATGGGTTATACACACCATAACAAACCCCCAAGACGAAGGGAGATTTTACAGTGCATTCCACAGAGACATTTGTGGCCAAATTTTCAGCACCCAGTAGCTCCCATGGAGAATCTCTTCTCCCCCGACTCACATGCTTCCCTTTCCTCCACGGGGAACTATGGGAGCTGAAAATCTGGCCTGTATATGTCCCAGTCATGTTGCTCTCCCCTGTCCCAGCTGGAGAACACCAGTGCCCAGCCAGACAGGACTGTGTTTGGGAGTAAAACAAGGTGGACGCATCAAATCCCCATCTCCCATATGATGTGTGTTAGGGTCACGCGCTTTCAGCCTGGAACCAGCTGCCCCAGCCTGTCCCCCCCCAAAGCACACCCTTCAGGTCTAGCTCCCGCCAGGCTCCCCCCCTAGCTGCGTGGGACGGGGACACCTGCTCAGCCTCCTGGCTACTTTCCTCATCTCTTCTGCACTCCCCCCTCAGTGGTGTTGTGGTCTGACCTTCTCCCTACCTGCCCTATACAGGAGCAAACACGGAATGTCTCAGTCTCCTGTTCCCGCTACCCCACACAAAAATGTCGACCTACCCAGTCTCTGAACTGAACAGCAAAGCACTGGGATCCGCATACTGTCCATGACACATCAAGGACAGAAAGAAGCTTGCTCCTCTCTCTGCCCGGGCTGAGTGCATCCTGTAGGCTGGGTGCCATTCAAATAACGGAGCCCAGCCTTAAAAACCAAGGGACAGGGTCATGAATCCAAGAGCCAGAACACTGCGTCTAAAACCAGGCAGGCGGGAGCTGTCTGTTGGCCCTATGATCCAATGACAACATTTAAAAATCGCTCCCTTTGCTCTTCTTTGCATCATTCTCAAAATTCCAACCAGCTCTCATCAAGGCATCGGGGCCAGTTCCAATCTGATCAAGGCCTAAGCCAAGGTTCCAACCTCTCTGCTTGCCTCCCAGGACTGCATCATTGTGACTATGGATACCAGCCTTCCCCCATCCCACGGCCCAGCCACGAAGAAATCCATGGCAGCAGAAGGAGCCTTCCACACGTTTTTGTTTAGCAGCCAATATGAAAAGAAAGGAGATCAGGGTCTGCCGGAGGAAAAATATCCCAGAGTTTCAGGACAGGTTAATAATTAAGCATCCAGGATCATCCCCAAATCTATGGGAAATGGCTTCCTCCTGAGCTGAAAACACTCACGTCTAGATGCAGGGAGGCGTTTCAGAGCAGAGACGGCTTTTGTTTCTTTGTCCCAAAGGGAGGAATATTTGGAATGACCTGTGCCTTGGAAAGATGGCCTGCAACTCCTTCAGGGACTTCCTGACCCAAGGGAAAGGGTGTGCTCTATCAGTGGGAGTTGAGGGCTCTCAGAATATCTCAGAACGTCAGAGGTGTAGGGTCAACATGAACTTGCTTTGGGATTTAAGGGCAGTGCTCTCCCCCTCAATACTGTAAGGATGGGAGGGAAGGTGGAATTCCTTCCAGACACAGATGGTTATCGGTCTGCAAGGCTTTCAAGTTATATCCAAAATGGATGGACGCAGAGGAACAGTATTCTGATAGCTTTACGTCTCAGCACATCCAAAGTATTCCACTTTCTTGGCAGAAAAATGCCCCAAGGCCAATAGGAATTTCAGCCTTCCCTGATGTTTATTTACTTATAATAAATCAGTGAAACACAGTCACCCAAGGACTATGGGCCAGGAATTTACAGTATTTAGGCCGGACAGAGATTTATGGTGTATTTGGCCAAAGCCTCGCTCAGAAATGCACCCGCTTCCCTTCCCAAAGGGAAATGCAGTCTGCTGAGGCCAAAGAGATGTCTGCAGAGATTTCGCCTCTGGTTCAACCAGGCTTTAGATTTCCATGTGTTCGTTCCCAATATTGCAAGCCTGCTGCGAGCGTGAGGAGCTGAATTGCGAATGAGATGAGCACGGACAGTGAGGTGCACACTACAGTTAGTGATCAAGCCTGCCTTTGCTACAAGAGCCTCATTCATTGGAGCGTTAGGTGAGCCGTACGCACACTTTGCGCTTGCAAACCAGGTCGTCCGGACACAGACAATTAATCGCGCAACAAATTCATCCAAAGCCCTCCCCTCCGGTAGGTATTCATTACGCCAAAATGCATCCCCAAATGTCACAGGGGAGCTAGGCAAACTGCTCAAGCGTACTGCTGCTCTGACATTTCTGCTCCTGTGACATTTCATCCACTTGGCTTACAGCTTTGTTCAGCTCAGTAGCCCACTTCAGAAATATAGTCCCACCTGCCTCACAGGATGAATAAGAGACGAGAATTGAAGCCGTAATAATGTAAAGCGTCTAAGTGTGTCAAGAGATCGGTCTTCAAGTCTTTAATCTTAAAACACATGGTTTTACTCTGAACAGCTCTCACAAAGAGCAAGAACCACATCTTACACCAGGTCTGTGAGTCACAGATCACTCAGCGCAGACTTACCTGGAACCTGCCTTATCGTGAGTCACTTTCAACAATGACTTGAAAAGATTTGCCATTTCCAGTCCCATTAGCCTGGTCTCCAAGGCCAGGACTCAGCATGGTGTCAGCACCGCTGGTTAACTTATTAAATTACTTTGACAAAAGTCAAATGGGACCATTGCCGTAAATTACACACGTTTTCCCAAACTCCCGGTTGAGGTTTCTGAGCCAGAAATAGCTAAAACTGTCACTTTCGGTTGGCTCCCTTTCTTCTGCTCCAATGGGAGTGTGGAAATTGCCTGCCTGAAAGAAGATATTAAACAATGCAGAGGTGGGCTGACCCTGTGGCTTAGAAGCTACTCAACGTGCTGCTGCCCCGAAGGAGGACGACTTTCCGAAGCAGAAGCCACGGGGTGTTTGTTGTTTAGGTCAGAAAAGTCAGAAAAGCGATGCCCTAGAGAGAACAGGGCAGTCTTGGCTCTTCCAGCCCTCCTGCTGGTTCGCTCGTGGGGGATCGGAGTCAGCAAAGCACTTCAACCTGGGCTTAACTTAAAGCACGTGAGGTAGACCCCTCCCGATTCAGCAAAGCACTTAACTGAAGAACATGCTTATGCCTGGTGCTCGAATGCTTTGGTGACTCATCGCCTGGGGCAGCAGACAGGGTAGTGACGCTTACTTTGCCTCACGACTGCTCCTACCCACCCCACCCCGGCACCTGCTTTCCAACCCTCTCGCCTCGCTGGGGGTCACGCAGCTTGAACAGGCCTTTATTTAAAAGGAAACCCAATCTGAGTTACAAAAGTCTAGACGTGCGCAAGGCCTAGCGACGTGGGGACTGGAGGCCAATAACACTGCAGACTCTTCACTAGGGAGATGGAAAACCTAAGGATATGCAAGATGACACCCTTGACCAGCCCAGAGATGCCCAGTGGTAAGGGAGGGGGCTCAAGGGATCGGTCCGAGGATACAAGGTTTTGTCCTACGAGGGCAGCAATGATAATTTGGGCCAGGAGCAGTAGTGGCTGAAAGTGAAACTAACAAAAATTCTATCCCCCAAAATGGCACCAATTGGGTTCCCGGTGGGCTGTCTAAGAGAGGCCAAAGCATAAATGGGCTGTGGAAATAAACCACCTGTCTGTGGGTAATCCCTCTGGAGCTAGGCAGTGGGGGAAGGCTGGCACTGTCCGTGCTCTCCCACTCCTGGAGACATACAACCGGAGCTGCCAATCAAACCCCTATCTAAACAACCCCCACCTCAGCCTGAGGGCATCCTGGCTATCAGCTGACCAGGGTATGGAGCTTCACGGCCTCCACAAATAAATCAGACCAGGGCTGTGACTGAGGACAGTCCCAGCGACCGTGAAACCTGGAGGAGCCAGCAATGTCAGCACTTCTGTGTCTCCGGTGTGGTGTGAAAGCATCGCCCACGCATATCCTCAGGGTGCCAGAGCCCCAGCATGACTCCTCCCGCCCGGGAGACACGCTTACTAGGGAGACCCATGGAAGCACTGACATTTGCAGGGCGAAAACGCCTCTCCTGTCTCCTCCCCTGGCAGGAAAGGGCTGCTCGGCTGCAGCCAAGGGTCCAGGGATGAAGCAAACAAACCCGAGCCAATTCCCCCCAGGGCCACCGCCCCTCAAATGTCTCACCTTCCGCCTCCTCGGTCATCTCCTCTTCGTTGCCGCTTGTCCCCGATACCTCCATCTCCTCGTCCTCTGCCGTGGGAGGGAAGGCAGCTTCTTCATTTTGAACGGCAGGGGCTTTCTTCTTCTTCCGCCTTGCGTTCCTCTCTTTCTCCTACGGGAGAAGCAGTGAAGGGTCAAAGACTAAGCCCTCGACAGTAACCAAAGGCAGAGTTTGGCCTGCAGGGCCAGTGCTTTCCCTGTAATCCTCAATGGGAAGGAGGTAACAGGCTACATACAATGCTACGTATTCTTGGATTCTCTTTACCCCCTTGTCGCTCCTGGACCTTAGTGACTGCACCGCAGAAGGGCAGACTTCATGAAATGACAGAAAGAGCAACTTTAATGCCATCCTTACTGTGAGTGGTGCCTCATGCCTTGGGACTACTCACAGAGTAATGTCCTACTCAGTGTGAGTTAGGGTGGAACCCCCTGCTCTACAGTTGGCATACATGTGCAGAGTACCAGCCCTCTAAGTTTCCCAATGAAACTTTTACTAATTGAGTGGCACGCCACCTTTAGGAGGCTGTTGGGAGAGGCCAACAAGGAAACATTCCTCTTTGCACAATACCGCAGTATAAGAGCAGGAAAGCATTGCAAACGATCATGTGATAAAATAAAACCGGTCTCCATTTTGACAGCACAATTGTGTGTGCATAAATGCTAGCAATTCAGACCTTAAGACACCTAATTACCATCAAGAAGTTGGCCTCAATTTGAATTAATTGGGTGCCTATCTTTAAAACTAAACTGGGCCTGGAAGATCTATCACCGTATTATGAAGCCAATTAACAGATGACTAAGATGGCAACTCAGACAAACTTTAGTCAACATCGTGGGTGTCTCCATTTTTGGATGCCCAACTTGAGACACCTTAAGGGGACCTGATTTTCAGTCACGCACGTCTTGACACACACTGCTACTTCCAATAAACTGTTTGGCCTGAATCAAGAGTCTCGTCTCTGCTAATGTTTTCCGGGGTCATTACGGAAATAAATATAACCAGTAGGAACATGCCCGTCACCTGCTGCTCCCTCCGCTCGCCCCACTCGAATGACGTACTTAGAACGTTTATTTAAATGGATGGCAAATGAAGGCTGCAGCAGCATGCGAACTCTACCTTTGGATCTCGAGGTGGGGTGTGTGGGGGGGTGTCTTCCCCCTGTCTCTATAGACTCAAAAACCACTGGATAAAAACCCCACAAACTGCTTTTGCTTGGCAACACTGCCGCTTTAACCGCTTTGTATCGAATTGGGAAGGAGAGGCTGGAAGCACCTGAGAAGTTACATGATAGCAGAGGCATTACAAATGGAACCAAAGAGCCCTCTGAGCTGACCCACCCACTTCTGCGGTAACCCCATTCTTTCGGCAATCTCTGCTCCCTCGGGAAGAACTTTGTCAGAGCTTCAATTTGTGCCAAGGGAACAATTCAATAATTGTATGTTATTGTCTGAAGAAGCAGCTCATAGTTAGGCCTTCAGATAATGCTAATGTGATGACAAAGCTCTTGCGTTACTATGGCAAAGCCTTCTTCACCTTACTGCCTCTCTTACTCATGTGTCTGTGACTCAGAGGAGCTGACGAGTGGGATCTTATGCTGGGAAATTAGCTGGGAACAAGCCCCTGCATCAACCAGACTTGGCTTTTATGTTTGCACTAAGTGATAAGCAGCGGGATTTGGCCCATGCAGAGATGAAAGCTCTGGCAGGCAGGCCTCAGGGGCTGCGAGAGACCCACTGTGCAGTGAAGTAACAATGGTGAGCTATTGGAAGCAATCTGAATCTTGAAAGCAGAGTTCGGGGGAGGGGGACATACCTAGTGACAGGCTCAAGCTGCATGCACACACGTTCTGCTCTAAGGTTTGGGTTCTGGTCAAGGCATATCCAGCCAAATTCATCCCTGCTCAAACTCCATCGCCTTGTAACTCCATCAAACTCAACGCACCGGCTGTCACCATATACTTCGTCTGGAAGCTCTTTATGGGTAAGGGTGGCCTATCTTAACACACTGGGTCCCTAATCCCTGATGGGCGACCCTAGCAACTACAAATGTATCATCCAACATTAGTTCAGTTCACATGGCAGCGAAAGTGAGGAGAAGAGAGGCTTCAGTCAAATTTAGCATTAAAGGCAAAAGTTGGTTGTCCATAGAACCGAGGTGTTTGTACAGTGCCCAGCACAGTGGATCTCCAAATCCCAGAGGTGCTAGATACAAAGAATAAATAAATGAGATGATGGTAAGGTGAAGCTCATAGTTGATGCAGGAATTAAATGCTTTTACGTGGTGTTCCATCCTTTCTTTGGTATGTAACTGAGTAGCTCCCTAGGCTCAGTTTGAGCCCTGTTATCAGTACTTCAGTGGTTTTCACATCCATCCTATTCCTTGGTGCTAAGCGTACAGTGTGTCCTATTAAAAGTGACTTGCTAGATTCATCCTAGAGAGTTTTTCCCCTTGGAATGTATAGGATAGCTCGAGCAGGACTGCGCGGCAGTCTTTGGCTTACGTGATAGCAGAGACATCTACGTCAAAAGGGAAATAAACCAAACCAGACTAAACCCTGAACTTCTCCCACGGCAGGTTATTTCCGAGCACTCCGCGATGCCTCATGTGTCATTCTACTTCCTAGGGGGAGAATGGCCAACCCAGGCACCTGGGGTGGCTGGTTTCCAGCCAGCTCTATTAAGTTGTCTCCAATTCTGGTGAGAATCAGCAGTTCTTCTCAACCTCCTCTCCAAGCTGTCTGGTGTTACTGGAGCCTTCCCCACTCCTCCACCCCACCTGAACAACCCTGAGTGGCCAGGATATAGCTAACACAACCTGCTAGTGTGACATCATTCTGGCCATCTGCCTCAGAAGGGAAAGAAGCAGCCCGGACAAATGTGGCCTCCTCACGGGATCACCACCTGACACAGAGCGAGCAGCCAAAGCGGCTTTAAAAAACCCTGCTCCTGATACAGAGCAGTCATTATATTTATGCCCCATCAGCAGCTGTCTCAGCCTTCCCTAAAAGCACAACGCTGGCACTCCCGAAATAGCGTGGCAGGGCCGTGCGTATTCCAGCACTGGGATCGGAAGCTAAGGCCCACTGCGATGGGGTGTGTACCCCACGCAGACCCTGAAAGGGTTAATGGGGACCTGAGAGGCCAGTTGTGTTACCTGTTGGCACCTGGGGTAGAGGGAGAGAGCCAGGTTTAATTAGAGACCATGGCCAGCTGAGAAGGGGCTGCGTGGTAAGCAGGAAGTTTAATGCAGAAGGGACAGATTCTGCAGTCAGGCCCTGGAATGAGAGAGGAGGAAGCTCAGGGATCCTGAGTGGGGAAGTCTGGCACGAGGACAGGAGAGAGACAAAGCAGCCACTGGGAGTGGAGCAGGCTCCAGAGGTGAGCCCTGAACAAAGCACAGATTTGGAGGACCAGGGAGGGAGCCCTAGGAGGTGCTCGGTGGATGAACACTGCTGCAGAGAGGGAAGAGAGGCCAAGGGTAGAATTTAGTTTGAGTCTGTATATTTTTGGTTTGGGATTTCTGTTAGAGGATCGAGGGGAAAACTCCAGGAGTCCTGGCCCCTGAGAAGGGAACAGAGACAGTAGAAAGCCCTGGGAGAAGGGTGTGACGACCACAGGGCCCAGGGGTGGGGCACGTTTTGTGAGGACCGTAGACCATTTTATGTTGGAAGTTCCATTACCCAAGAAGGGATGGATTAAATCCGGCCAGTGGGCCGGGTCACAGGATGGTGTACTCTAGCAGTGAATGCCGACCGTCGCCCAATACGATAACCCAGCGTCAGTCCCAGGACTGGCATGGAGAACAAGGGCCTGATCCGATGCCCGCTGACTTCAATGGCCTTTGGGTCAGGTTCCATATTAGCAGGGGAAGCATTCCCCACAGGGTCCCACTTGCAGAGAGGAATCGTGGCCTCTGTTCCGCAGCTGGGAATCACAGCCCAGACACACACGGAAAGGGACAGCCAGCCTTTCAATAGGAAAGGGTGACTGGATCTAACTCTTTCCCTCAGCCCATGGGATGAGCGAGTGAATGGGGTCCCCAGCCTACAGTGCCTCCAGGGCAGCAAAGAGTTCATTCCCCTCTTCCGAAGGGAAAGCAGACGGTTGAGTAGAGGATCGGAACCAGGATCCTGCCAATCTAGGAGCTGTCCAGATTCTGAGGCAGCGTCTAACAGGGAGCAGGCTCCGTCTAATTAATTGAGGAAAACGCACAGATGGGTGCCCTGAGGACATCTTTCACAGACTTGTAGGGACCCTTCCTTTGATAGGTTAATATGAGCCACATCGTTCCCTGGCCTAAGACAAGTCCAGCACAAGTGGCAGACACCCACATGGGGAGAGAGAGTCTGAGCTCCAATGGCTCAAGGCAAGAGCAACTTGAAAGGACATTCTGGATCACAATGCCCCATTTTCCCCTTGAATGCTGTGATTAATGAAACAAGAGATCAGTGTGCAGAAGGTCAAGACCAACCGAGGCTTAAGCCAAGAACAGATCTCAGGTGCTTGCAACAGAACTGAGTCGAAATGCCCAGAGGCAGAGACTCAGAATGAAGCTCAAAGGTGGCGTGACTCAACCCTAATCAGAGGCACCGACTCTTCTGATGGGTTTCTTGGGCTGTCAATATACAGCTCCAGGCAGGTATTTCCAGGGGTGGGGCTGTAAAATCTGGGTCCCCCCCGCCTATCTGATCCTGTCTTAACCCAATACTGCCAGGAGGGTTCTCCTCCAGTCACAAGCCAGTGAAAGAGGGACGTCTGGGACCTTGTACAGCTCTGCTGAAAGGCAGACAGGGCTACACAGTGTTTCCCTGTGCTCCCAGTATACAAAGTCTGTCTCTCAACAGCTCTCCAGGTGAGGTTTATTTTCTATAAGGACAAAAGGACAGCCCTTAAACTTCAAACCCCAAGCATGGCATGAGTGGAAAAGCTGTGGAAGCCCATGGACCACCCACGCCCCAGAGAAAGAGGAAGGAGCTGCCATAGACCTGCGTTCTGACTGCAGCTCGAATGGCTTTCCTGGGCAGTGGGGGGCAGAACAGGCCCCACAGAGTCCCTTTTTGGGTATGTCTACACTGCCTCTGGGAGCCAGCCTCCCAGCCTGGGGCTTGCACTAGGATTGTGGCTCGGGCTCTCAAGCGTCAGGGGGAAGGGGACTTGACAGCCCAAGCCGCAGTGTCTACACAACTTTTTGTGTGCTAATGTGAGCCCCACTAGCACAAGTCAGCCTGGGCTCGAATGGGCTCATGTTCCTTGGGCCATGCTTTAGGTTCTCATTTGAATGAGCCCTCAGACCTAAGCTGAAGATCACTTGAAGCTACCGAGTTTCATTGGGATGAAACCGTCTGGAACAGTGACTTTCATCTGGCTGAAATTCAACACCACGCACTGGCACTGGCTAAACCATACATCGACTCAGGTTTTCCCAAAACTGTGCTCTGGTTCACTTGAAGGTTTCTAGAGACCTCAGCAAAGCTGGGCTGAGATCTGAGTTTGTAACAAAACCCTTGTTATACCCATCCTAGCAACAGGGCTACAAACCATAAACAAGCTACATTTGAGAAATTAACAAGCGTTACTCACTGAGTCTATCCTCCTTAAATTAAATAAACAACATTCTAGCAAAACTGGGAATGCAGAGCCTATCCGTTTCCTTGTACGTTATCTGCAGGGAGATCAGTAATAGCAGCTGACATCCAGGTCATGCAACAAGCTAGAGCCTTCATTGCAAAATTACCTGATGACACATTGGCCTGACCTCTGACTGCTTCCACTGAGAGGGAGGTCAAAGCTGACTATTTTGCATGCCCAGATTCTATACAGGAAACCATCAGGAGGGTTGGTCTACTTTTGACTATATTTAGGAGTTCGGAAGGAAAGTCTGTGGAAATTCACTCTCAGTTGTTCTTTTATTTTATTCAGTTTTATGGCATCTGCTGTTGCCATAAAACAATGGAGCTCAATAAATAACAGCTGAGCATTCATTGTTTTTATACAAAACCTAAATTCCAAAGCCCCCAGCATTTAAAAGACTAGATGATGATGATGATCTAAACTGCATGCGCTAGTGAACAATATGAATGGGGGAGAAAAGGATGAGTGGAAAACTGGTTCTGCAGAAAAACGCCCATGCAGTGCAATTTCTGAAATATTAGGAAGCAGAATAAATTATTATACTCAACTCCAATTCTATTACTGAGTTCAGCGATCTTCCTTCCAATTTTCCCAAGGAACGAACACTAGATCTTTATAACATAAAGCTCTATTCGGAGACATTGTGTGTGAGTGTTTCATCCCATTCTTTAGGTAGATGTTTTTGTTGTTTTCTTTGTACCGTTTGTTTGCTTTGTCTCTAACACAAAGAGGAACACAGGAGTATCTTTCAACTTGGAGAAATGATCAAAAGAATCACCATTGTCCGCTCTACTTCTTGTTCCTATAGAGTGACTAGGATATTCAATTCCTGGCTGAGTCACTGAGTGTTTTCCTGTCTTTTTACTCATACTGTAATAGCTTGATGGAGAGATTCCTGTATTGAACATTGTCCCTTTCATTTCCAAAGCACTCCTTGGGGGGTTACACCATGTGAATTCTATTAGCCAGGAAGCTCAGAACCCCAAGGTCCTCTACAAATGAAATTATAATTATAATACTTAGCAGATCTGTAGTGGCGCGTTGCATCTTCAGAATGCTTGGTGAACGCCAGTTAATTCATTCCCTGAACTTTCCGAGTGAAGAAAGTATTATCCCCTTTCTGCCACAGGGAAACTGATGCACAGAAAGGCTAAGTGATTTGCCCCAGACCATGGAAGGAATCAAAATGTCTGTCAGGATTTGAACTCCTGTCAGTAGGCCACTGGACCATGCTTGTCTCTGGACATCCCAATGACTGTTCTTCCTGGGAATCAACCTCCCTCCTTCTAATATTGTTAAAACGGGATGAAAGCCTTGTGGGGTTTGGTTTTTGTTGGTTGTTTGTGGTCAGTTTGCCATTCATTTCTTTAGACTCAGTGCTTGAGCTACCATGGGACACACAGTAGTTGAAGACTGCACCGGAAATGAACAGCATTACTGGGCCCATTTCCAATCTCCATGACACTGGGGTAAACTGGTACAACTCCACTGGCATCAATGGATTCACACAGCTGTAACTGGGATCACAATCTGGCTACGCATCTTAATACACAGCGGCTACTCTCTCCTTCCTATCTCCTTTTCTCTCACTGAGTAGCACGTATGCGTCCGAGACCTGGTCATTGTGTCCCACAGGAGCCCCCAACCTAGCCAGAAAATACCAAGGGCCAAAGGACAAACGCCCCCTTTCTCATTATAAGCTGTCAGCTGAAGCCTGGGCTCCGTGATTTTCACCCAGTAAAATTCTCAGGGACGAAAAACTTCCCTTTGGACTTGGGAACGTCAGAAGCTGTGTCACTGTTTGCCGGGAAATATCTGTGGTGCTTGGAGTGGGCTGCGGCGGGCTGCTTACCATTTTTAGTTTGTGCTGCTGTAGGATCTCATCCAGGTTCTGTCTTTTCTTGTAGTTGAAATAGAAGTTTTTGCACTGTGACACAGTCTTGGAGCCCACCATCCTGGCAATGGCCGACCAGTTCCGCCCATGTTCAAGGAGACCTGCAACCGGGAAAATAAAATCAGAGGGGGCAAAACAAGATTAACGCTCACAAGGGTGGGGCGGTGCACGAAGGCTGGGTCACGCCCCACGGACAAACCAAACTCTGCTGGGACAATATGGTCACCAGCACCCGTCTGCGACACTTCCGTGGCCAAGAGGATGAGCGAGAGGCTCCTGTTTTTCTTTCCAGGTGAAAAGTATCAGAGCAGCAGTCTTGGGGAACAAGGCATGCTGTAGCAGCATCTACCAACAACGCTGACAGCTCTGCGGGTTTGAGGCCAGACCACACCGTTATGGCCTGTTGGGGGCAGCACAGTGACAGCGCCCCACAAGGGAGTGACCAGAAGCCTGTTGCTCTACCCCTTCGGAAGGTGAAAGCACATACCCTCCTCCCGGATGGCTGTAGTTGTGCCTGATCCCTACCCGGGGGGGGGCTAACGGGGATGGGGAAAGGCTTTTTGCACCCTCCACTATCAGAGAGACAGAGCTTTCGAGAGCTGGAGCCCACAGGCTTGGATGGGCTGGATGCACATGCAGAGATGGCCAGGAGGGGCCCAAACACAGGAGCCGAGACGTAAGTGCAGTGATGTATTCACCCAGGCAACTCCACTGCTGGAAGGAGGAGTGGGGGGGGGAGGGGGAGGAGATCATCAGTGCTAATCGTGGGCTCACATACAGAAGATTTCCAGGTCAGGCATCAAGCCAGGGGCTGACAAGTGACTTACCTAAAGTCACACAAGGAGTTCCTGGTGGAGCAGGGAACTGAACCCAGGTCCCCTGATTCCCCAGCTACTGCCCTAACCACTGGACCACCCTTCCTCTGAGCAATGCTACCACACGGCTCTGCTTCATACACACACTATATGCAATAGACACGGGTCCAGCCAATACAATAGAGAGGGATATTCACACACAAAAATATGCCTGCCACAGGCACTGTGGAGAGAGACATGCTAACGCTGCTACTAGAAACCAGAGGCCACTGGAACCAAGGAGGGAGAAACCTGGATTGTGAAAGATCTAGAAACCTGGGGCACTGCCAAAGATTTAGTTACACGTCTGGCACTGGGAGGAGGCCAAACACAGTTAAAGTAGGGAAATTACCAGCCTCCCCTTGGGACGCAGAGGCCAGCTGAGCTCACAGTGTATAAAGGTGCGGGGAGCAAGAGAATCCACACCAGCTCGAGGTGGGGGTGCCAGGGGCCATTCACTTAATGAGCGCCCTGCAGCTCTGAGCAGACCATCACAGCCACTGTATTGCCCATTGGGACTGTGCAGCTGAACCAGGATGCTACCCTCTTACAAATCTGTGTCCTTCCCTGCATTACCTGTCTGGGGACTTGGTTTGCCCAACGGCCTCAAACCCGCATCGAGCTGGAAGCTCTGAATCAGGGGCATGTGGCCCCTTTAAGGTTTCCCCTGCATGCATGTAAATAAGCCAGCCTGACCCCACTGCTCCCTCTGACCCACTGAGATGTCCATGAGACCCTGGCGTCTCCCCCTCTGCCAGGCTGGGCTGGGGCTGGCCTGCTAGGTAGCTGCCATCAGGTTGCCCACAAGCCCTGGGGATGAGACGTTGCACAGCTCCAGCTGGCTCCACACCGACTGTCAGGTGGGACTGCAACTGGCTGGCCCTTGCGTCGGTCCACGTTCCTTTGCCTTTTGCCTGCCCTTGCCACGTTCTTTCTAACATGCTTGGCGAAGACAGGCTATCGCAAGTCCCATGAAAAGCAACATTTTAAGGACACACGAAGCACCCAAAACGAACTGGCAAAAGCTGTCTTGCCCATTGTGCCTGGCCCCTCTGGTGCAGAGCCTGACACCATGCTGGGGTTCCCTTGGTGCAAAGAATGCCACTGACACAGACCCTCCTGCAGCACTGGAGGGTCTTCCTTGAAGGTCCCCCCATCCCCATACTGGTCAGGCCTTAGCCTGAGAGCCCTGACGAGATCAAAGGCAGAGTCCTCGTTCATGGTACAGGGAAGCCCTTGGCATGTCCTTAGGACCCGCACTATACTTCCCTTTAAAAGTGCTCTAGCAACGAACAAATGAACCCACAAACACCGGCTTTGTTTATGTGTAGGGCCCGCTCTAAAAAGGCTGCCTTGGTTCTGTGAATCTGAAGGTTGACAAATAAAACACCCCAGCACCAGCACACACAGCTCAAGCAGCAGCGCCCCCCTGGGATCAGAGCAGGGGCTGGGAGAGCAGGAATTGGCACCCCGGGTCCGGGCAGGTGGGTGAGCTGAGTAGCTGCAGAACCAGCAGTCCCAGCTTTAAATACCCCCAGAGGGCCGGGGCACAGGGAGTGTAGTGATCCCCAAATCCCACCCACCACCCCCATGCAGCAGAAGCACACCAGCTCCATGGCAGATGAGGGCCCTACACAGGCTAGGAGAGAGGGGCGTGGGATTTGCCCCAAAGAGATGCCAACCAGTACCCGGGCCAACCAGCCCTCGGATAAACACCCATCCGGCTCTGGGTGACCCCAAGCACAGCCAGGAACGTAGAGTGACAGTTCCAGGAGTGCCCATATCCTGCACCCTCGCATGGCCCTGCAGCCCTGACTGCGCTGTATGTAGTAGACCCGTCGTGCACAGCAGAGTGGGGGTAACAGAAGAGTCAGGCTTGAGCTTTAGCTCCACAACTCCCGACGTTGATCCATTGGAAGCCACGACCTCGGCTGCTGCTGCTTTCGACTGGGACCTCTCGAATCCATCTTGCCACCAACCTTGAGAGACACTAGCCTGCGAGATCCCTCCCCCCCACACTGGCTACACAAGGCAGGGGAAAGCAGGCCTGCCCCATGCACTGCGATTCATCATCGCTTCCAGAATGAACGAATGAATCAATCCGTTCACTCTTTGCTACTTGGAGGGCTTACTCCCCAGGGTAACAGACTGGGCCGGAATTGTAAGCTACATCTTGGGCAAGGGCCTTGAATAGTAACAACGGTTCCTGCATCCACAACGGGCGCTACTCTCTGTACGATTGTGTTGTCCTCCGAGATGACTGGGCTGCACGGTATGGGGCAGACAGGTGTGCGAATTGCAATGGCTGTTACTGTGCTGGGAAGGGTCTCACCCCAAGGTCCGTCCGTGCCCACTCTATTTCCAAGTGCAGCTTGACCTTGTCTTGCGGCACGGAACAAGTCTCTCAGCTGCCCTTTCATTTGTCAGGTGCGCTGCACCCAGCGGTTTTGCAGGGCCACTTCCCAATCACCAGACTGCGCTGAAGCCCGTTCAATTTAAAGTCACCTGCTCCAGCGGCCCCACGAGGCCCAGCTCCTTGGGAAGCTCGGCACCCTTCCCCTCGCCTACTGGGGACAGTGTGCCTGCTCTCCACCATGCAATTGGCGCGGGCCTGGAGGCAAGCATCCAGCTGGCAGGAGGGGAGCCGCGCAGGTGTCTGTGGCTATCTCACGAGGTGGAGGCTGCATGTTTCCAAAGCACAGACAGACCTTCCCTCTGCAGGATTAAACCAGTGCGTACAGATGCCCTTATCTTCGCAGGCAAGAGAACAAAACAGCAACACCTGCTTCCCAAAACTATAATTATCTGTACTCTCAGGGCGGGAGCAGCCAGCAGCTGCCCTGGATCTCGCTGGTGAACAGGCCACTCGCCAGACACTACCAGGGCTCTGCTGAGCAACGTCACGACAGTGTTCCCTTCCACCCCACCGCCTCCCCGACGCACTCTTTGCTGCCCCTCCCCACGTCTCTATCACACGAGCCTGCCACACGTAGGTCTGTCTCTCACAAAACGCACGCTCATTTAGCACCGCAACTGAAACTGTGACTAACCAGCCGACCAGATCTTAATCAGTCCTGCGCTGACTGGCGAGGAGGAGAGGATAGGTGTGTGCACAAGTGTGCACACGCGCCCACACTCGCTCGCGCGCTCTCTCCCCATCCTTAACGTTCACCCCAGAAGCTCAGCATTTCATTACTGCCCTATGGCTGTACTTACATTCTCCGAGTCTAGCTTCGCCTGCCAGAAAATCAGCTCCGAGCATGCGGCAGGCAGATCAGAATAAACAGGGAGAGCACTTCTTCAAAGCCCTGCACGGCAGAGCAGTTTGTTACCAAGCGCCGGGAGTTCTTGACTCACATCCTCCCCGCTCATTTTGTTTTCACTCCCTCGCAGCAGCCAAAGAAAGGGAAGGAAGGAGAGAAAAAAAAAAAAAGCTGATTCTTTAAATCCTGGGGGCTCCGGCACTTAGGAGCCCTCGGTAGCAAGAGCAGCTACTGTGCGGTAACTTAAAACCAGGTCTTAAAAGCAGAAGGCGCCTGACCCTGACGCAAGAAGTTGCCTTGAACACATGCTCTGTCCTCAGTGCTCTCTGCCCCACTGGGGCTGGCGAGAGGCACCCTGGGCACTCCTCAGGCTCAGCGCCTCCGAGCTTTCCAGCAGTCTCGAGCGGCGTTTGTTAAGGTGGACTGAAGTGGCTTTGCCCCCCCGCTCCGGTCTCACCTCCTCGCTCAGCGGTACGGGGAGGAGAGCCCGTGCAGTTTCAAGAGATGCCCAACACTGCCAAAAAAAAAAAAAAAGAGGGGGGGGGCGCGGCGGCAAAGCAGTCGAGCGCGCGCGCTGCAGCTTCCCTCCTGCCAGCTGCGGGCCGGGAGGAGATCGGTGCCGGGGGGGGGGGGTGCGGCGGAGCAGCAAACAAGCTCTAATCTTTTCCTCTGGCTGACCCAGAGGCTCGGTTTGTCTGAATGTGACCTCTAGACAGAGCATTAATAACGAGCGTGGCACTGACCCAAGCTGACAAGGGGTGCGGCCAACTTGGCACCCACTTCCTTTCTCTCTCTCACTTTCTGTCTCTCTCTCTCTCTCATCTGAATGTCAACAGCAGGGGGAGTGAGCCAGGAAAACAAAGCTTTGCTTAATAGTTTCCTCTGCTCTGAAATGAATCAAAGAGGCTTTTCTTTGAGGAGGTGTGAGCCAGATTCGATTTCTACTGAACCGGACCAGACCTTCCCCACACGTCTCCCCTCTGC